TGTTTCAGGTGTTTTTGTCGGCCTGCAGCGATTTGACTCACTACAGGTAGAAACAGATTTTGCTCCTTAAATTAAAAACCAGGAGAATAAAACATTCCCGTCATTGTTGTGCTTGTTATAGAGAACGGAGTGAGTGTGTTTCTATTAAAGCGTCCAGCCGAGCAGAACGGCTGTAAGAGGGATTTAAAAATGTCACAACGCCGAGAGAGGAAACACAAACACAGAGAAAACAAATCTCACAGGGGGTCCTAATGATGATTTAAAGATAAAACATAAACTGTAATGACTAAATAAATATTTTATCGGCTTTGGTAGAGTTCCCCTGATAAACGTCGTCCTTTTAAAGGTCAGGCATGTTGTTTTTTTCTCGACATTGAGCATAAACACACACAAGTTAAAGGTTATTTCAAACCCTGTTGGTTTGGTTCAGGGGTTCTTAAACTGTGAGCCAGTGAACGTCAGGGGTTGATTTGGTTTGTTATCAGCTCAGTCAGTGGTTAAAGACTCAGCAGTGGCTGTGACACACAGGTGATGGAGGATGTTAAGGTGATTTAAAAGTTCTGCCCCTGAAATAGTGCCTCCTGCTCTCTGAGTCACACCTCCACCAATGAGCTGAGCTCACAAAGATTAAATCTGAGGATAAAATATGACTCACACTTCCATTTTTCCCACTTGAAATGAAAAAATAAAACATTATTTTCTGCCCGTAGTGTCTAAAAACTTTCCTCCACCATCATTTGCATGCAGAAATCTAACTTTAAAACAAGCGAAGCAAAAACTTTCCCAAAGGCAACAGACTTTTAAGGGCCTGTTTCCACTGAGTTTCTTGTTTGTTTGTTTAGGTTTTTTGTGTGTGTGTGCTGGCAGGTTATACTTTCTTATCAATACCAATACAGTCAAGTGTTTTCAGCACTTACGCCATGTTTCTACTTACCTGTGTCTGAGTGGTGAGTCATCCAGCAGTCCTCCCTTCCACAATATTCCAGTCAAGAATTTGCCTGAAGTACATCCAGAGAGTTGAACTTTTGGCTCTGATGAGGCTCAAGTGACTTAGAGGTGAAACGTGTTAAAATTGAGTTTTTACAGATAGACTGTCGTGACAAGTATGATCCTCCACCATCAACGTCTTACCTCCCAAAAATGTCTATCAGTTCTAAGTTGTTTGCACATTACAACTACTATCTTCTCCCTTGTGTGTCTTATAAGTTTGTCCCTTCTCTGCTGTGGTAGAAACACTGCAGTTTAAGATTGAGGGCTGCCATGCCCAACAACTCCAACAATTTGTCACCAGTGATTGTGATCATAAACACTTTGGAACAATATTTAATAAAGGGATTAATTCAAGAATTTAAGCTGTGTTCCAGTTACCTCAGAAGTCAGATGTCGGAGCTGGGAATGGCGTTACACCTGAGTTGACGTTGTTCCAGTAAACAAGTCAGAAAATCAAGATGGATGCATACTGTTAGCCATTGTTAGCTGTTGTTTACAATTGTCAGCTGTAGTTATCTATGGTCAGGTGTTGTTAGTTGTGAGTACAAAATATACTGCTTATTTAATTTCACAAAAACAAAACAGAAGCGCTAACAGATAATACATTGCGAGAGATTTCACTGTTACTCTTTACTGTTGATGCACTGCGCTGCCATCTTGGTTTATGACGTCGTCAAATCAGGGTTGGCGAGGATCGTCCGACTTTGTAAGTTGGAAATCCAACTTCAGGGGGATATTCCAGGTGAATTTCCGACTTGGAGCTCGAAAATCCTGACTTCCGAGTACAACTGGAACGCAGCACAAGTTTGGTTTGTTCTCCCATAAACTCGTCATAGTAAACAGCACAGTCGCCCCCTGCTGGCCTTCAGAGAGAATGCAGTTTCAATGTTCAAATGCACATTTCAGACTTGTTTCTTTTCACCTTCTGTATCAAAATAATTTCTTTATAATCAGACACATGCTAAACAAGTCAGATTCCTTTAGGTTGATTCGATAACACATTCGTATTCTTTCAAGTGTTTGCAGCATGTTTTTTTTCCAGATGAAGCTGTTGCTACATTTGGTTTGTTTGGGAACAAGTCAAATCAAGTTTTTCCCTCCTGTGTCAGCCCGATAGTTCCTGAATATTTACATCATAACAAATCCAGACACAGAAAAACAGACAGAAAATATCCCCAAATAAAGACATAAATATAGACACAGATACAAACTGACAGACAGATGAGTGCAGACAGACGGTTTGTCATTGTGTCTCTCTCTCCTCCCGTTTTGCTGCTGTCTTCCTGTGCTGTCATTACTCACTCTGAGAGTGCGATGTCTAAATTGTTGTATATTTTCCTCTCTGCAACACCAATATGTCACAGCCGAGATTTACAGCAACACAAACACACCGTTCACTAAGTGTGTGTGTGGTAAGGTGTGTGTTGTGGGTCAGAGAATTGAGGGGAAATTGACCAGAGATGAATTTTCAGGTTGTTGTGACAAAGATATGGTGACATAAAACAATATGGTTTTGTTGCACTCTGACACGTCCTTCAGTGTGGTTTTACAGTATTTGGCCTCATGTTTCAGGTTATTTTTCTTCTAGAGAGTGGTGACGATATAGTGTATATTACTCTTGAATTTATTTTTATTGATTGAACAGACAGGATTTTCAGTGGGAGAAGAGAAAACATAAAACAGATAACAAGATAAAGACATTTGCAAATTTAAAGATTTAAAATTTTAAACCTGCTTCGGTGTGTCAATTGTACTAATCTTAGATTTGTCTATAGACTGGATTAAACTCAGCCAAAACAGCAACAAAAGGGAGATATTTATCATAATCGTCTTTTAAACAAGGTCAAGTCTTTTTATCTCTTAATGATTTTGAGAAAGTTATGCATGCTTGTTTCAAAACTCGTCTTGATTATTGCAATGCACTTTATTTTGGTGCCAGCCAAACCTGTTTCAATCATTTACAGCTTGTTCAAAATGCTGCAGCTCGTGTTTTATCTGGTCGTCGTAAATAGGACCACATCTCCCCGATTTTAGCCTCTCTTCACTGGCTTCCTGTGCGTTTTCGGATTGATTTTAAAATTTTATTATTAACTTATAAATCTTTAAACGGGCTTGCTCCTTTTTATCTCTCTGACCTTTTAAAACCCCATATTTCATCTCGGACTCTCAGATCCTCTGACCAGTGCCTTTTGACTGTCCCTAGGTCAAGACTAAAGTTCAGGGGTGTTCCTCTGTCTTTGTTTTATTCTTTATGTTAATTGTCTGGCTCTTTTTATTTTGTTTTTAATTTTACTGTACAGTACTTTGGTCAGCGCTTTGTGTTTTTTAAATGTGCTATATAAGTAAACCTGGATTTGATTTGGATTGGACAATATTCAACTTTAGGATTCAGTATAGGGTACTTTAATGTGACTTATTTCTTTGTCATTTAGACAGATATTTAAATTCTGTCTGCCCAGCTGGTTTAAAGGTAAGAAAGTAAGAAAACAGTCAAAATCCCACACAGTTAACCAAATATGACATTACAAAGTCTGCAGGTGAACAGTGTCAGACTGGTTCACACTAGCAGAGCTAATACATATATATATATATATATATATATATATACGTCATACATTTATCTATACACCCACATACAGCCTACATATAACTTTATCTGTGGTGCACCAGTTTAGAAACAACATATGAGTGGATTTTGGCCCTCTAGTGGTAAGATTTTGAATAACTTGATTAACTGACCTCAGCCATGAGTCTGGTTCTGACTTGCAAGGTTTATATTTGATAGTTACGTCCACTTTAACTCCACCATAGTTCATGAGTGCCACAAAAAAAAAAGACATCCTGTGGACAAAGAAAAAAAGTTAAAGCAGAGGTTAAAGTTTTTTGGATGAAGTGGAATTATGAAAAAAGAGACTAGCCTCTTGAACACCATTGGTGCTCTCTGGAACAGTCCAGGTCACTGTGTAGGCTTCATTATAAGCCAGCTCCAGTGATGTGTGGTGAGTCACTGGAGTCATAAGCCAAAGCTTTAGTGGATAATCCTTTTTCAGATGGATAGGTTAGACCTCTGTAAAACAAATATATGGAGCCACCGATTCCCAGAGAAACTAGTACAAAGGAATAAAGCGTTAAGCATGGGGATGGGTTGCAATCTGTGCATACAGGTTGCAGATAAATGCACAAAGATTCGCAGTGGGTATGTTTGAATCTTTATTTAATGACTTTTAATATTATTAAAAATGCAGACAGCACATTTTAAGTTACTTTCAGTGGCCCATTTGCATTTAATGGATCTAATGTAGTTGCATAACTGTCTTGTGTTCCCACCAGGATTCTTCATGTTCTGCTGCCACAGGAGGAGGAACAGCCTCCCGGTAAACTGGAATAACTCTGACTTTATGAGTAAATGAAGAGTGAATGAACACACCAATAGCTCCATTCTGTTAGAGGCGTCCCTGCAGGAATACTTCATGACTGAGTACTGGATCCAAAATGGCTGCCTCCGAGCCAGTTTCCCCTCTCCAATCAGACAACTTCATTTAAAACAGGCTTCATCGGCTGGAGAGGACGTTCTCTCCATTTGCTCGGGTTGATTCATGTTCGTACTTTTTCCAACGATAAATTTCTGTACCTGAGAGGTGGAGAACGAAGGAGAGGAGAGAGAAGAGAGAAAAATCGTTTCTTTTTCCCCTCAAGCTAAGAGAGTTTTAAAAAAAAAAGGAAAAGAGAAAGTGAGGGGGAGGAGGGAAAGTTTTTCCTCCTGTGGCAAAAAGAAATCAATCAACCTGACACACCTGTCCGTCTCTCTGTCCGTCTCGCTACGTCTGCGAGAAAGAACGACGGAAAACAAGTGAGGTGAATTATTCAAATGTAACTGTAGCTGACACACACACACACACACACACACTCACACACTCACACACTCACACAGCAGTCTATCAGCTGTGTTTGTTGCTTAAAGCGTCTTTTTCCTCTTTTTTATCCCCTCTATCCTTCCTCTCTAATCACAGCCTGGCAGACTGCTCGCTGTGTGTGTGTGTGTGTGTGTGTGTGTGTGTGTGTGTGTGTGTGTGGAGGCCTTAAGTGCTGAGAGAAAACCTGAGGAAACAAATTCAATCCAGAATGGCAGACAACTTCAATTCAGAGAGGATGAGGAGTGAGAGAAGAGGATGAGAAAGATCGAGGGAACAGAGGATGAAGGATGGAGTTTCTTGGCCTGGAGACAGAAAAACAGCTGCTGCAGATGTAAAACACACACACACACTAACACACACACCAGAGGATGGACGAGACAATCAGTGTGTGTGTGTTTGTCTGAGCGCAGATGTTCCTCATTTGTTCTAATTATCGTTTCTTTGGTGTGTTTTTCTCTCACACTGAGCGAAAATTCACTCCAGCTCACCTGGACACACAATGATGACGACGATGATGATAATGATGATGATGATGATGATGATGATGATGATGATGAGAATGGTATAAAAGCAGAATAACAAACTAATTCTGTTGATCAAACATAAGAACTTGAGGGTAAATCTTGCACTTATACTTAGATTTGAAGAAAGTGCATAAATAGGATTAGGTATTAGGATAAGAAAACATCCTGTAAACAGTATCATGAACCAAACAGTGGGTAACAGAGTCTGTGGGTGAACAATGTCAAATTGTTTAACACTAGCAGAGCCAGCACCACCAGCATTTGGTCCCTCTTGCAGGTGAATGTCCACACATCTGTGCTTAATGGATTATTCACTGTTAAATCATTAATTTGAACCCCCCCCCCCTCCTCTTACTTTAAATCATTTAAAGCTAAATCCAGTCCACTTTGTGTCTGGGAGAATTCTTCAATCAGTCAAACTCCAGACTACGTTTTATAAAATGTCCGCAGGCTTTTTTATTTTGATTCTGGCACTGCTGGACCATTCAGGAAAACTTCATTAACCACCACAAAAGTAACAGTTAAAAAAAACAAATATAAAAAAAACAAATGTAAATCAGTTACACTTTGGCCCAATACAGCAATGGACACAACTGTGCAGTTCTTAGAAATGTTTAATAAATTCCTGTTGTCATGGCGAACTATTGCTGTTTCCAAATGATGCCAATCACACATAACACAAAAAATAAATAAATAAATGAATTGCATCCTAAAAATGATTTCTTCTCGTTGATGAAAATAATCCCAATTTCATTAAATTAATTAGATTTTCTCAGGTCTGTCTTTTTGAGTAAAAAGCTTCGATTTTAGAGACAAAACATCTGAAAATCAAAACCTATACATGATGTAATTTTTTGGTTGTACATAAACTTAATAAAAGCTCCAATTTAGGATAACCATAATTTATAATAATGTTTAATCATCATTTAAAAACAGCATGTAGACCAATTATGAATGGCAAATAGTTTATTAATGTAATTTAATAGTTACTTTACCATTAACAAGAAATGAAATTATGATTAATAATTTTCATTAATTATTATTTGACTATTTATTAAAGGTTTATTTAGGGTTTAAATATTGGTTGTAAAACATCTAGATTAAAATGTGTGTCAGAAGCACTTTGTAAATGGTTAATATTTGGTTATTAAACCGTCTATAAACTTTTTACTTAGATGTTTTTTGTAAAGTTAAAATTAGGTTTTTAAAATTGTAAAATTTACAATTTATTAATGGTCTATATGCTGTTTATAAATTATTAAACATTAATAAACTGTCTGCTTACCATTTATAAATGGTCTATTTACCATTTATAAGTTATAGTTACTTTAAAGTGTTACCGGCTTTTATTTCATCACTGAACAACATCAATGCCAGTTATCAAGGCGAAACATTACCTATCTTCATCAGCTGTTTATCATGTTAAAAAAAGAGTTTTAAATTAACTCTTTTACTGAAATATTGAAACATGAGTTACCAGAACCAGGTTTTAATCACAGGGACATATAGACTCAGCATCCAATCACGTGCCAACGCCTGCCTCAAGGGCGAGCGTGATTGGCTGACAGCTCATTATCCACATGACTGAGGCTCAGACAGCGTAACTGATTGGTTTGCTGAAGGGAAATGAGGATGTGATTGGTTCGAGTTTGGACTGAAATATAAATGAGGCAGTTTGGTTTAAGGTGGAATATGCAAATTATATTCTCTCCATCGAGAACGACTCAGAAGAATTTCATTTCAGAGCTTTTTCGATTTGTGCGCACTCGTTTTGATGAGTTAATAACACAACACTACAGCTGGGTCATGTAAACACTTCGGTTTTAAAGGTTGTGTTTTCTCAGCAACACTCCTCAGAAACAAAGAACTCACACGAGATCCTTTTTTAAGTTGAAAAACACGGTCGGACTCCACTTGTCCACCAATTATCCTCAGCTCGTTCTGATAACAGCTGCGTCATATTCAGAAAGCACAAAGAGGAAGAAGAGGCACTCTGAGTGTTGGAATAATTGAAGAGTCACCGAGCAGACAGAAGCAGAGACAAAGAGAATCATAGAGCGCGCAGATATCTGATAATCAAAGTGTTTTCAGCGTTTTCACACACAATATAAATGAGGACCGTGGTGATCAAATGGTTTTGTTCTGGGAAATCAACCAGAGAGAAGAAAGACGGGATTAAACTCACTTCTATTCACTTTTTTTTTTAAACTATTCAAAATAACAAGCTTTTACCAATTAAAAACAGTCAAAGGAATTATCATTAAAGAGAAAGTGTTTGTACTTTTTTGAAGAGAAAACCATGTGAGTGGATGTTCGAGGCAGAAAAAAACAGGGTTTGAAGTCTCTATCTTCAGTCCTTGCAGCTGCAGTCACTGACATGTCGATGTGTTTCTTGGTTGTCGGTGTGAATTAGCAGATATGACAAACAGAGATGTATGGAAGGCTTACTCCACATTTTCTCGTGACGGCATCATCCACTGGAAAAATGTCAGAAGCTATTGGAACCATTTTAACAACATTATTTTGAGCTTTAGTAAAGCAGCTGTGAAGAGTTTTTTTTTAAAAAACATATATTTAACCCTCTGCGTTAAAATGGTGCAAACATAGGCTGTATATACTACAGACAACTTGTTTCCACCTTCCGCCAGTATACAGATTTGAAGCAGAAAAGCGTGAAAATCGTGAAAGTAATTCCACGATTTTTCTCCATTTCCTGAAACCAACATTGCGCAGTAACATTGTACGCACTCCACCATTTGCGCAGTAGCATTGTACTCATTCAGCGGGAGAGCCACCCTCTGGATTGGAACAGAAGCTTAAAGGGATATTCTGGCAAAAAATTAAGTTAGGGTCAAACCCACCATAACACCGAGTTAGACAACCCGTCGAGGAATGAATGTTACCGACCGCTTTCTTCTCTAGTTATACAAACTTTAGTAACGACCACAGATACCAATACAGAGAGCCACGCGCTCGACCAAAAAGCCACTCTATAGCCACAAATAATGCTCCGAGCAGCACCTAACTTCATCAACAGCACATGTAGGGTCCCAGTATAGACTGTATACACTATGGACAACTTAGTCCTGCCTCCAGTATACGGATCTGAAACCGAAAAGCTCCCGGTAATTCCACGTTTTTTTCTCCACTTCCTGAAACCAACATTGTGTAGTAGCATTGTACGGACTCCACCATTTGCGCAGTAGCATTGTGCGCATTCGGCAGGAAAGTCGCCAAGAGTTGTTGTGATGACGCTGGGCTCAATCAGTGGATACCCCTGGTGAGCTACGCAAACTTTGTACGCCAACAGGCTGTATCAAGTGTCAATCATAGAAAACATGAACCCCCTAATAACTTTTAAAAACGGAGCTGCACAAAAAGAAGAGGACTTGAGCACAAACAAGTCTTACAATAACTATATGTCAACATTGCAAGCAGGGGGGAGAAAAATTCATTTTCTGTTTAGTAAATTTTTAAAGTTTGTCCACAGCTCCATAAGGATGGCTGGCATAGGCAGGATTTATGACCCAAACTGCAGCCTTTCACCAGAGGGTGCTGTTCTCAGAGTGGCTTCACCCAACAAGGACGCAGAATCTGTCCATTCTTTGTCCAGTCTATGCGTGCAGAACTTTAACATTAAAAAAAAAAGTTATGAAATCCTGCTGAAAGAGAAACCGCACAGTTCTTATGCCTTAAACATGAGCATACTTTCTCAGTTTGACACAGCTGCAACTTTAAGAACGATAATGTTGACCCATATTGGCATAAGCAGCCACTAGGTTGTATATTAGCAGTTTTTCAGGTCAATCTGCTGCCTCCAAATAGCCCAAATAAAATCTAATTACACTTTTAAATGCGATAATAAGAGAGTATAAATGGTGTTCCGGCCTGCCCCAGTCTCCCCGAACGTAGTAATGGAAACCCTCTGCAGGACAGACAGCAGATGAGCTGAGGAAATCTGATGTAACCATGCTTAAATTTTTAATAACTGGGTTTCCCTCCACAGGAAATCACTCACTCGTGCAACTAAATGAAAATCTGACTGAAAACAGTCCATCAGCCCGTGGCTAAAACGGAAAGTCGATAAAATATCTTGTAGGAGCTACGTTCCCCTTCAGATGATTTTAATCTCTAAATATTGAGTAACATCCCTGACACATATTTACCGTCCTGTTTATCTGCTGCTTGATTAACCTCGAATGATGTTTCACTTTAGGTTTTAATGCGAGTCCAGAGCGACTTGCGGAAAGCAAACAGCATTTAAATGTCACTTTTGGTCGGAGATAATCAGCAGCTTTGAGGGGGGGTGAGGTGGACAGGAGGGAGGTAACACAAATGCTATTGTTCTTTTTGTAGTGGGAGTGAAGAGGAAAGGAAAAACACTCCCTCTGGAGATAATTGCCTCCAGGATGAAAGTGTAAAACAGAAACACTTGTGCGGTTGAGAGAAGAAGAAACAGCGGGGTGAGGGCAGGTGGTTTTGACTCGACTCATTAAGTTTAACAAGAGGAGAAGAAGTAAACACCTTTTATTGCTGGGGAACAGAGTTTGCCTCCAGTGTGAAACCGGTAAGAACACCAGAAAAAGTCAAAGGTCAAAGTTCAAATGGTTTGCTCAATATCTGGAATAGGTAGACAATTTAACCTTTGTTTGTTTCTTGGCTTCCTTACATCCTTGTTTATTCCTTTACCGTCCCTCCATCCTTTATCTGCATATTTGGTGATTTTTAAAGTAAGTAAGCTCCCGTCCTTTTGAAGTTGATTTCACCTGACATGAGTTAAATTTCTTCTTTAGAAAACGTCTTTCCTATCTTTGTTTGAATGGACTCCATATTCAGGGGCAGCAGCCTGCAAAGGTCGAATTTAAAGGCTGAATGCGTCACGGTGGCACGTCAAAGGCTGTATCATTTCAAAGGATCCTTCAAATGTGGTCCACAAATGTGTCCTACTTCCCCAGGCCACCAAGGCTGCATCAGGTGCATCCTTTGTCCCAATTATCCTGTGATTCTTCAATGCCAATACAATCAAGATAGAGGACTCTCAAAGTATTTGGTTTGAGCTCAGTAGGGAGCTGCACAAATTCAATGAAAAACAGAAGCACTGAAATTTGAAATCATCTTTGAAATGGTAGCAATAGCGTTCCAGTTGCATGACACCAATGTCAGAGTAGTGATGCTAGCACGAATCCTCCCAAGGGTACACCGTCTCAGTCAGCCTCACTGATCTATGCAGGCTACAAAAGCTGAGTCCCTTGAAGGCTGGATTCAAGGGTCTCAGCAGTTTAAAGGGATATTCTGGCATAAAATTAATTTAGGGTCAAACACACCGTGACACCGCGATAGACACCCCGTTGAGAGATGAATGTTGTCGACTGCTTGCTTCTCTAGTTATACCAACTTTAGTAACGACCGCAGATAGCAATACACAGTGGTCTCAGGAGCCAAGCGCACACCTCAACCAAAACGCCACTCTATAGTCACAAATAATGCTCAGAACAGCACCTAACTTCATCAACAGTAAATATAGGTTCCTAACCACAGCACTAGCCACCAAACCTCTTTTTAACTTTGCCTGATTTCTTAAGCAAAGAGACTAAACACAACTCACCTACTCTCTCCCAGCAGCCGCTTGTTTGTAGCGAGACCCCGGGCCAGTCCATTAAAGACTGCAGCGGGGTGACGCAGCTCAAGGAAGAACATTTATGATCATTACTTCATGGAAATGGAATCAGACCGAGACGCTAAGGCAGAAGAACTACCGCGTCTGCAGTGCAAAATGATATATATGATGATTTTTACTTCAAGGAAATGATAAAGTATTGATCATAAATGTTCTTCCTTGAGCATAGTCACCCCGCTGCAGTCGATGGACTCGCCCAGAGGTCTCTGTACAGACAAGCGGCTGCTGGAAGAGAGTAGGTGAGTTGTGTCTAGCCTCTTAGCTAAAGAAATGAGGCAAAGTTAAAAAGATGTTTGGTGGCTAGTACTATGGCTGGGACCCTATATGTACTGTTGATGAAGTTAGGTGCTGTTCTGAGCATTATTTGTGGCTATAGAGGGGCGTTTTTGTTAAGTACTTGGCTCTCTATATTGCTATCATGTGGTCGTTACTAAAGTTGGTATAACTAGAGAAGCAAGCGGTCTGCAACATTCATCTCTCGACAGGGTGTCTAACTCGGTGTTACGGTGTGTCCCTTTATATCCCTTTAAGTCTGCCCACAGTCTGGTTCTGAGCACCTTGCCTTTCTTGTCCTCTCCTCATTATTTGACCTTCTTGACTTCATTTTCAACATCCTTCACCTCTCCCTCTTCTCAACATCGAGGTCTCTCTTTGTTGTCTCTTGTACTCTCCTCTAGGTACTTCTCTTCTTTCCTCCCTTTTCCACCATGTCTTCTTCTGGTAGTTTCCTTTCAAATATGTACTCTCCTCCTCTCCTCTGTCAAACCTCTCTCTGTACGCTGTCACTCTTTCCAGCCTCCTGTAATGATGGATGGGACAGTCGCCGCTCGGTCGGCTGCAGCAGGTTTGATTGATGGTTTGCTGAGCGATATGAGACACTGTGCAGTTTTCTAAAACCCACATCTGCCTGATAGTTAAAAACACTCCACCGTAATTTATATTAGAAATATTTGAACTTTGTAGTTTCATTTCTAAAAAACCTGCATTTAGTTTCAAATCAGGTTAAACATGACTCAAACTGAAGAGCCTCAGCCAGACAAATACGTACCCTTGGCACTGGTTGCCGTGACAACGGGCAACTTCTGTGCAACACACACGCAGAGTCTGTGAAGGAGGTGATGGTTATGAATGACCCAGATATGAATCATAATTAAAGGAGTATTTCCCCCAAATTAACTTTCTGTAACAAGGAGAAATGGGCGGAGTGTGTGTGTGTGTGTGTTTGTGCGTGGTCATGTGTGATTTTGTGTGTGTGTGTTTGTGTGTGTGTGTGTGTATTGTCCTTGAGTTCAGGCAGAAAAGATGAATGAGCTGTAATTACGCTGATACTGAGATAATAGCTGAATAAAAAAAAGAGTAGAAGAAGAAGAGGGAGGAATCCAAGGTCGACCACCGCAGAAGAAGAAGAAGTGAGGGACCAGAAAACTCACCTGAGAAAACTTTGAGCTCCAGAGGTCAGAAAAGTTTGTTTTTTGTCTGTAGTATTTGTACAACTTTGATTTGTCATATTTGAAGTAATTTTATATTCAAACTTTCATATTTAACTTTTAAAGTTGTCTTAGTTTGGAGGTGTGGAGCTTGATTTTTAGTCTTTAATCTGTCTCAATCTGAATTCTTCTCAGGAGCTGTCAGGGGTCTATAAACAGAGCTTAATTCTTTCACTGAGCAGAGAGAGAGGTGCAGAGATGGCTGCAAAGGGAGATGGAGATTACAAAACATGAAATATTTTCCTTTATCTGATGAAATTTAATGATTAAAATCACTGACCTGCAGCCCAAAGCGACTTTTTCCAGTGGGAGTTCATCTTAAGCTCGGATAAAGAACTGCGTTTTTTTCCCCAAATAGCCGTCATGGACACACCTTCAAAATAAAAGCGTTGTCGTCGTCGTTTTCTTTCATTTTTCCGGGGCGCAGGGGCAGCAGCCTCAGGAGGGAAGCCCAGATGGCCCTCACCCCAGTCACTTCCACCAGCTCCTCCAGGGGGGGTTCCCAGGCGCTCCCAGGCCAGGCGGGAGATATAATCCCTCCACATGGTCCTGAGCCGGCCATGAGGTCTCCTCCCGGTGGGACATGTCCAGGACACCTCTAACAGGAGGCGTCCAGAAGGCATCCTAACCAGATGCCCGAGCCACCTCAGCTGACTCCTCTCGACGTGGAGGAGCAGCGGTTCTACTCTGAGCGCCTCCCGAGTGTCCGAGCTCCTTACCCTATCTCTAAAGCTGACCTTTTGACTAAAGGCACCTTTTGTTGGCCTTTTTTTGGCGGCTTGTATCCACGTATGATGTGGATGCTTAGCCGATCTGTCGTGGTGAAAAAAGAGCTGAGCCGTACGGCAAGACTCTCGATTTACCGGTCGATCTAAGTGCCGACCCTCACCTATGGAACAAAATAAAAGCAGCGTTTTTTTCTTTTTTCTTTTTTTTATTAACTTCTTTAATGTGGCCGTGAAATGTATGACTCTATGAAAAATTTTGATCCCATGACCAACTTTGACCTTGGTTTCCACAAGACAGAGTCGCTCAACTTCATCAAATCACCCCTGCTACTCCACAGAACTTAAAGCACAGAGTTTAAAAGTCTGTCGACCATCAGATTCAGTTTTTCACAATGGCTTTGATATAGTTCTTGAATTATCCTGCAGGATTTAGAGTTTCAGTATAAAAACAGCAGAAAGTCACAGGAACTGCTCTATTGGAGGAACTTTCAGTGGCGGTTTAAGAATTGTAAAAAGCCAAAGATATAACCTGTCCTATTGCAGACCTGCACAGTCACAGACTTGTTTCTGACTGCAGAAGCCCCGATCTTTAGACCTGTCCCTTTTGGATTATTTTGGTCTAAATGGTTCAATTGAGCGAGGACCAAAGGAGTCACAGGGTGAGAAAAAATAACAGTCTCCGAAGACTGAGCTTTCGATATAATTCGACATCTTGACTTTCCCAGTTTAGGAACACAATCATCAGTCCTTGGACGGTGGCGGTTAAAGGTTTCTGTGATTGTTAGGCTCCCTGTGGTATCGGCTCTGTGCGGCTCATCAGCCATCAACTTTTCACTTCGTTCATCACCACCCTCAGCAGGACCAACGCAGACTGAGATTGTGATAAAATACAGAAAATCGTCCAATCCGGCCGCCTTACAGGAGGATCAAAGAGAAGCTGCTGCTGCTGTGGTGTCCACCAGCTCGACTCAACATTAAACCTCCTGCTGAGAGGAAGAGAAGAAGAATGGGAGGTTGGAGGGAACTGACCTGCAGGCGGCCGTGACAGAGGATCTATTACAGTGCCGCACACACAGAGAAGAGGACTGCAGCTGAACACCAGCGCTCTGTAATTTATATTAAATGCTTTTTAAAGTCGTGCAGAAAAAGTGGAACACCGACTATCATCAGTCATGAACAGACTCACAAACTATATCATAGGAAACACTATGTCCAAAAAATCAAGGACTACCTTTCTTTGTCTGTCTGAACCTGCTCTCTCCTTCATTTAAGGCTGTTTTTTTTTCTAGATAATTATTTAGGAATATGTTGATTGCTCCTGTTTTTTATACTTTTTATTTAATTTATGGACTCCTTGATACTTTTTTAAATTATGATTGTGAATGCAGCAGAAAATAAGTGCAGCATTTCAGTCCAAGTCTTAATTCCCTGTGAGTAAAAATGTATGCAGGGTATTGTATCCTATTGTATTATATTGTACCAAAACATATGAACTACTACTGTATCATAATATATAACTAACTATAATATTGAATCTGCGTTTGTAATATACGGTATCTTACTGTAATATGACAAATTGTATTGTATCATATTGTATTGTGTTGCATTTTTCGATGTCACCTTATATCATAACATAAATCTTTTTGTATATTATTATATCCTTTTGTATCGTATCATTTTAAATCTTATCGTATCACAGGTCATATCACATCATTTCATATTCATGTCATACTGTGTTGTAAGTTATATCACATTGCCTGTATTACATCATATCATATAGTCTTACATCATATTTTCTCACATCTTATCATTTTGTTTGGTATCATGTTGTATCGCATTGTTTCTTATCATGTCATGTTTAACTAGGGTGACCATACGTCCTCTTTTACCTGGACATGTCCTCTTTTTTGGGGGGCTGTCCAGGCTGTCCGGGCTTATCCGGCTTTGTCCAGGAAAGTTTCTAAAATCCCTCAAATGTCCGCGGTTTTGTACGAGAAATTCGATTTTGTGTCACATGGACTTACTGAGCTAGAAGCGCGTAAAAGACACTTGATCCGACCGAAAAACCTTTTGGGAGGTCAGAATATGGTCGTCCTATTATAACATCATCTTCTTTCATATTGTGTTGTTTCATATGTTTGAAGTGGCCTATTGTATCTTATCATATTTAATATTATAGTAGAGTATCCTATTAAAGGATACCGGGGCCTATTGTATATTGTATTACACTTAATTATGTCATATTATTATGTGCTGTATGATATTAGTGGTATTGTATCATATCTTATTGCTCAATATCACATTTTTTGTACCTTTATTCACTGTTGCATGCTAGAGTATGGTATCTTAAAATGATTGTATGGTATGTTTCTTGTTAAATTGTAATCTCTCATGTCTTTTTCCAACACTTCAGGGTGTGGACATCAGGGACTTTTTGTTTCATACTCATAGGATCCAATGGCCAGTGAAGTAACTGGCACATTACATCCACGTATGTTAGCTATGCAAACACCACCTTTTTTCACACCAAAGAACGTAACCATCCTCGCCTGCCGTCATGGTTGGAGCCTCAGTGCTTTTCTTGTCTGCTCTTGTTGCCTCAAAGTTTGCCTGCGGGGCTCCCTCTTTACCTCAGGGTTTTTGAAGCTCCTAAGTTTAAATTGTCTGGATACTGAGGCCAAAATCATTGCCTGCCTCGAGCAAACCGGACATTTTTTTGTTTGTTAAGGAAAATGTTTGTTTTTTTGTCTGATTATGTTAAAGGTCACATTTGGTCTCATTTGTGAAACCAACAGTGTTCAGCTAGGTCAACGTCCTTGTTCTACGGCATCCTCATAGACCACAGTTGTTGACTACATGTTAGCTTTAATTCATGAGGTCCATTTATTGTTAAAATCACAGCTTTTGAGTCATTTAGACGCATCGAAAATGTTTATTGTGAGAAATGCTCCGCTTGAAAATAGTTTTTTCATGTTATGCCATCTTTTTTTTAATTTATTTTTTTGCTTACAGCACTAGTTACTTTGATCCATGGTGTTTATCTCTCATGCATGTGACTTCCATCATGTTCACTGAACTGCACAGTCAGTCAGGTAAGATTTAATCTGAGCTGTTCCTTTCAGGGATCTCTATAGATCCATTGCACTTTGATTTCACTGGAGCCTTTTTCCTTATTCAACGTATTTCTGGGGTCTCATGGTTTCAATGTTGCAGTGGGAGTTTGAAGCAGTCCTGTGATACCTTAAATGCATCAAAAGATTATTGAGTTTTTTGTTCTGAGAGGGACCGGAGTCAGCCAGGCAGTTTAAGGGATGTTCCTTCAGCATCTCTGCAGAGGATTCAGCTGGTTAGATTTAAATATGCAAGAGCAGATGGCCAGATCATCTTAACAAATCAATCTCTCAGATCAATATACGAGCTTCAGAGACAGCAACAAGCTGGTTTCCATGTCGAGAGGAAATCAAGGCTGCATGTTTTATAAGGAGCCTTCAGGGGGATTTAAATTACATGTTTGGTTTGCAGTGGATTAGGAATTCAGATGTGTTATTTGTAGAAAATGCTGCTGTGAGAATGGTCCTTCATAAATCAAAAGTTCTGCATTCAAGATGAAACGGCTCAAAGGGTTCCCAGCTTATGTACTTATAAGCGACATAGATAAAAGTACTTCTAGCTAGATAAATGTATCATTATAATTCTTATTATTAATGCATTTTCCTACCTTTATGTTTGAATTTGCATTTGTCACCTCTTAGTCTTAATGATGCATTTTTATACTGACAGCATGTTTCAACATATGCTGAGAAATCATGTTTTGGCTTTAGGAGCAGACTTCGATTTAGATGTAAAAGAAGGTGTCATGCAGCCGTATGTTGTTTGATGTTGAAATTGAAGGCTTACTTTTCCATTTCAGCAGCATATGTTTCTTTTCCCTTCAGACTGACATGAAACTTATACATTGAGGTTTGAAAATCGCACATAGGGGGGTGTCCTATCGACGCAGCCTGCAAAGTGTCTGCAGTCCCCAGCTAATGGGCTTCATACTTCTGGAAGGTGAAAGGTGTGATGAAACATGCGAGCAAACACACACTGACACGTCTGCAGCCAAGAACACCTGAGGGATGAACTGCATGTTAATGCGATGAATCCTGTTATAATCCTCATACCCCTCAGGCTCAGGGCTGCATGTAAACAGACAAATGACGGACAGCAGGGTGGACAAACATACTAAACACTGCTTTTAAGAGGCAGATCTCTGGGGCAATTGCAAAAAGAAAGGACAGGAAAAAGGAATCCTTTTCTTTTTAACTCTTTCATGTTATACTAGTAAATTTTCTATTTCAGGTAAGTTTTGAGTTGATCCTGTTGTTGCTATCTTGTTACTTAAAAATACTTTCTTGCAATTTTAAGTCTCATTTGGAGTAAAAAGTTACAACTTAAGGGGAAGAGAGCCATAATATAAACTTCAGAATAGGAGGTATATTTGACATCCTGTATATTTTAGCCTTTAGACACCGAACCCTCACTTTAACTCAGCTAGGCCCTCAGTTAAAGGTGGGGTAGGCAGGATCTGAGGAGGTGCCAGTTTTTAGGAGAAATCTTGAATGTAAACTTTACCCCTCCCAATCAGTTTTCCCCTCAGCTCCTCCTCTCCCCTCCCTCTCTGCTCCAGCAAGCCCCGCCCACAAACAGACACTCCTGCTCGCTCGTATCATTTCAATTAAATTCAGATATAATGCAGATAAATACTTCAGATAATTACAAATGGGGCCCAGTCAACATGAAAGTAAAAAGCATTGATGCTACTGTAGATGCCAACAGATTAGCAGCAAACAACATGTTTACAGGACTTCTACAACTAGGATAAAGTGACATAGTCCAGGACCCGAGGTCAACAGTTTACTGCTACAACACGCAGCAGGTCTCGTTAGACAAGAAACACTTCTGTTACAGACAATAAGCTTACTTTGTTAAAGCAGTTTACCTGTCCAGCAGAAAGGTTATAGTGTCCGTAAGATCCCAAAGTGTCCCTCATCATTGTTGACCCGGCTTTTGAGCTCTTGTCCGGGGGGTCTACCTCCTTTTTAAGCGCCTGTTATTCCACCAGAGTCTCCGGTATTTACTTCGTTTTGTTGATTGTGTCAGCAGCCATGGCCAAAGGAGGATTCAGACAATTTTCTCTACTTTCTGGTTGGTTTCTTTTGTCGGATATTGTAGCATGCTAATTTTGTTTGGGCTCCTGAACGATACGGGGGAGCAGCGTCCGCCTCACAACCAATCTGTGACACCCAGTCTGAATTTCAGTCTGTTGCATAAACATAAAAAAATTCCTCACAGGAGTTTTTAAGACCAACAGTGTAACTTTGGTTGATCCTTCTGTTGCGTTGTACAATTTAACATAGGACTCAATGGGGATTGGCTCACTCTTGTGGCCGGCCTCGTGTGGCCATTACTAGAACTGCAGTTTTTGGGACTTCCGAGCTGGCTCCATTATTCTGCCCTGTAAGTGACAGCTTCCTGTGTTCATAAATTTTGGTTTTTTGATTGAGTTTATAATCTGTTTGTGGCTACAGACTGAAGGCAAATAGAGTAAATCTCATTATTTCTTCAGACCGGGTTTCCAATTGAGGTTGGAGTAAGGTTTAATTAAATTTTCATGTGAGGGAAAGAGTTGCATGTGAAGTCAGTGTGTATAAATAATTTCTCCCCTCCTGCGTGTGTCAGACTGACAGCTGTGTTTCCTCCAGCTGCAGCAGCAGGTGGTTTGGCTACAGAAGGTCAAAAGCTTCACATCCTCGGCGTTGATTAACACACACCTCGCTGTGTGTGCATTCACATAATGAGACCCACTGGCCTCACCTTTTGAGTCTCCCATCACCCCCTGTTGGAAGACGTTCACACACACGAAAGTGCAGAAATAGACACCTCTGTGAATTTATAAAGAGTTCAAAACCTGCTGTTTGATAATTTGGTGCCTCTGGCTCTTAATTGATAACCTGCATGAGGTGTAAATACTATCATCAGAGTAAACTGAAGTGTAACGAACCTTCAGGTATGGTGTTAAAGGTGAATATACTCTTTGTCTCTGGTTTGAGATACTGTTTTCCAAAGTTGAAATTGAATAGACTCCAAAAACGGTTTGCTTGTACAGCCGGACTTAGTCATACTTTAATTTAATTCTAAGAAAAACAAAAAAAACTTCACTTTGAGTCCACTCTCATTTTCACTCTCCAGTTCTTCCTCACTCTGAATTATCTCCATAAAAAAAAACTAAAAGAAAAAAAAAAGAAAACAGAGATTTGGAGTCGCCCACATTAGTTCTGATTCAGCGAGTTCACGTCATCATCATTAATCAGAGTTAGAGATCCTGTGGGCGGTCCTTGAGTTATTAAGGCCTCTGGATGATTGACAGCTGGCTGAGACAGACGTAGACACAGTGAGGAGTGAGAGCTGAGCCGTGTGTGTGTGTGTGAGCATCTGCATGCATGTGTGGTTGTGTGTGCATGTGTGTGTCCCTGGCCTGAGCTTTCTGACAGAGTGCTGAATCCACACCTGGATGATTAATACACCTAGAGAGAGAAAAACACACACACAAAGACACCAGCATGTGTGTGGGTGTGTCTGAGGAAAACAGGGGAGGCGTGTGCACAATGTGTGTGTTTGTGGTTGTGTGTAGGAGCCTCTCATGTTGAACTTAATGTGAATTGACACGTGAAAATACCCAGAATCCCTCAGGACAGGTCTCTGAGCTCTGTGCAGAGACAATCACTAGCTACTGACACAAACACTCGTACAAACACACACAATCATTTTGTACCTTTCTTTGTCCTTTACTGAGGAAAGACCGAGGAGAAATGAATGAATGAATGACAAACACCACACAAGACGACACTTTATAGGCATCAAATGTAGAGATAAGCAAAAGGGTCACCACCTGAGCAACACGTGGTAACTTCTAAAGAGTCTTGAGTCCATGCTGTGTATCAGAGTTTGAAATGCACAATCAGACTAGAAAAAGTCTGTTTAGATTTTGATATATTTCAATAAACATCATCTTTTAAAGTGTTGATGTTTTTGTTAGTGTCTATGTTTGATCATGTTGGCTATCTTGCTTTTCAACTCAAAATATACCTCACAGTACGCCCTCTTCTACTGGCTGAACAAGATCAGCAACAACGATCTCTGGATGAAGACACAACAACTCCCAGTGGCAGACGAAATTGGACGAAGAAGATGGAGATGGATCGGGCACACGCTACGCAAACCAGAGTCAAACACCACCAGGCAGGCTCTGACCTGGAACCCTCAGGGGAAGAGAAACAGAGGCCGGCCTAAAAACAGCTGGCGGCGAGATCTCCAGGCAGACACCAAGAGACTGGGATGCACCTGGTTGCAGATAGAAAAGAATGCCAGTGACTGTGTACTCTGGAGGTCCCTTGTCGACGGCCTATACCCCAACAGGGGTGTAAGTAAGTAAGTAACGCTCTCTCCACACTCTGGCTCTTAATCGCCTTTGTTGCTTCTTCTTATTACTATTATTATTATTGTTATTATTATTAATTTTTTTATTGCAAACATTTAACAAGACATGCAAATGAGTGAAGTGCAAAAATAATAATGAATAATAAAAGAAACAAGAAATAAGAAGTTTAAAAAACAACACCAACGAAGACACTAACAAGAGATAAAAACAAACCAAAAACAACAACAACAAATGATAATCAGCATAAAAAGGCAAGCAGAGCAGAAACACAAATGAGTCAGGAGTAGGGAGTATCAGTCACAACCGCTCAACATGTATGGTAAGGAATATTGTGGCTTGATTGTGTTGATAAGTACAATGTATGTGGTTTGTTATGTAAAATTAAAATAATAATAATAAAGAAAAACTAATAAGCAATTGAACCCGAAAGAAAATAAGATAAAATAATGATTAGAAGTTTGGGGTCCGGGCTCACAAGCAATAAGTGTGAGGCTCTGAGAATAGGAGGGGTCCAGGTTGCTTCAAAATAATGACTTTGGTCTTGGAGAGCAGCTCACAGCTTTTCCATAGATATGTATCCTGTAAGGATGTTTAACTGGTGTGATGTGCTAAGTTGCTGCTTATTAATCAGGAGCTTTGAATGACCTCAACGCCTCTGAACCTATTTTGCTGTATCATCAGTTCATCATAAAAACAGATAAGATGACGAAGGAGAAGCTGATCTCACTTGTTTTTTCACTTTCCATCGCTGCTTCTTTTCTTATACATTCGTCTCCTCTATTATTTTACAGGCTTGATTTTCTACCATTTTTCTATCTTTATTTGCCTCCTTACCTTCTCTACCTTCTCCTCGGATCACACCCTCCCATATTTCAAACCTCCATTATTCCTCGTCTCCTCATTTTCTCCTCTTCCCTCATTACCTCCAAATATCCTCATATTCCATTTCCACTTCCTCAGACTCTCCTCCTCCTCCTCTCTGCTTTTCTCCTTTCTCTGGGTCCAGATTAATAATCTGACTTCCTGCAGATAAATGGTCGAGCCTGAACAGATGGGTGGCCTAGTTTCTGCCTCACTCCTCCTCTTATCGATTTCTCTCTTTCTTTATCAATGAGCCATCATTCATCCTTCAGTCTGACTGAAACAGACCCAAAACCGAAAGACTTTTCAGAGAGCTTCACGAGATGGTTGTACAATTTCAAAGTGAAACTGGAAACCGAATTGTCTCCAGTGTGGGTGAATATTTACTGTTTCTGATGTTATTTAAACACAACTGAAGCGTTAAGCCACTCTCTCTCTCTCTCTCTTTCTCAATCTTTGGCCCACTCACTGCTTCCCTGACTTTTTGACATGATGAAATTTCATTATACAGAGAGGTTACCCAGAACTCTTCAGTGTGGTGTTACAGCTGGAAAAAACTAATGAGATTCAGTGTCAGACTTTTGCTATTTCAGGGTCTGCTGTCGTCTGCTGTGCTCCGACCCCCAAACATGTTTTATTATGTACAGAAAAAACTGTCCGATTGGATGTTAACCACACTAAGACTTGAATCTCACCTCACCTTTACATGGAGACAGCGCTAAATTCAAAAGATGATAAGATGTAAAGTAGTCTGTTTTTGACCTTTAGGAGGGGTTTTGGCATCAACTGTAATTGTTTTGTTTTTTTTCTAGCTGTGAAAATCTCAGTCGATTCTGTGCAGAATACTGTTGAACAAAATCCATCAAGTATGAAATTAAGAAAATGAGTTTGCCCTTTGGTTTTAAAACTGAGAGTCTCTCTTTCCTTTTTTTTGGCTTGTCTGTTTTTATTGAAAAGAAACACTCAACCCTGAGTGCCAATGATTAGAGAAGCCCAAAAAATGCAGTTCCTTTAAAAACCACTAGAGGCTGGAAGGGAGTGAATCTCCATAAAACGCCATTGTAAATGTGTTTCTGTTCAGCTTTTCAAGGAAGGAAGGAAAGAAAGAAAGAAAGAAAGAAAGAAAGAAAGAAAGAAAGAAAGAAAGAAAGAAGAGAAGTGGGGGAATCAAGGAAGGGAGTTAGGAAATGAGAAATGTACAAAGGAAGGAAGAATAAATAAAAAGAGTCCATGGTGGAAAGAAATAAAGATAGACAGGGGAAATATTAAAATGACATAAGGAGGAAAGAAGGGAGGAAATGCCATACGAAAAGGCCCGAAGGAAGAAGGAAAAGAAGGAATGTAGGGAGAGGTAAGGGAGGATTGAATGAACGAATGACCAAATGAATTCTAGGGGATGGGGATGGAAGGAAGGCGATAAGGAAGAAGAAAAGTAAAGAAGGAAGACAGAGACTTCAGAAGGTAGAAGGGGCGATGGAAGAAATCTAAGAAGACACAAAAGAAGAAAGAAGTGGAGGAAGGAAGGAAGAAAGGGGCAGGTGAAAAGGAAGGATTGTTTGAGGGAAAAAGGAAAGATATAATGAAGAAAAGGAAAGAATGGTTGGGAGAAAAACAGATTAAAAACTGGTGTTTTTTCATTCAAGAAGAAATAAGCTATTTCAAAGCAAAGATGCTTTGAGAAGGGTGTAAAGGAGAAAAGGCAGGAAGAAAAAAGGTTTGAAAATGAAGGAGAAGAAAGGAAATTATAATAACATAAAAGTCAAAGAAAACAGGAGGAAAAGATGTACTGAAAAAGAAAGAGTGAGACATGAAAGGAGTCAAGGAAATAGGTGCAGAAGAGGAACATTTTCTTTGAGCTGGCACATCCAGTCAGAATTGAAGGACAGAGGTGCAGCGCCCTCTGGTGGCTGCTGAAAAACCCTAACGTATTAGTTTTTGCTCATGGACAGACTCTGCCCTCTCTCTCTCCCTCTCTTTTTCTCTCTCTCTCTCACACACACAGTTGCACACACACACCTTCTGATCCTAAAGTTTCTGTAAAGGCTCCACATCATTACACTGATGGAGTTAATACACAATATCCTGTTTCTGCTCGCTCTTCTGATGAGAATAAATGAGTCCCTCGCCTCAAACAGCAAGGTAATGGAATATTGAATAAATGATGCTTCCTCTACGCAGCCTCAGCCCGCTGCTCGCATGTGTGTATGTGTGTGTGTGTATGAGTGTGTGTGTTTAAAATTCACTTTAAAGGATTTTCTGCACATTTAAAGTCTGTTTTGTTCTCCTTTTTTATCTGTCAGGGGGGGGTTTGTTTCAGCTCCAATACAAAAAATAATGAGAATATTTGTGCAGAGAAGACTAAACATGAAGGTGAAAAGGATTTTACAAAATCTTCAGAAAACACATGTAATGACAAGAACCATCATCAGACAGTTTTAAGGTACAAATATTCTCTATGATTCGTGAGTGTTTGAGGAAGAAACACTGCAGATAATGTTTAAAACAGTCTTAAGGTCCTTTCACACCGGGAGCGTTTTTTTCATGCGATTATTTCGGATGTCAGTATTTTTTTTTCGAACCCGTATCCTGTCAATACAAGCGTTCACATCAGTGACGTTTTCCCGTCCTGCAATATTGCGGCATTTATTTTTTCGGATCACGGTCGAATTTTCTAAAGTTTCGCATACTGTGTGTCCACTTCTGACCAACATGGCATATCCAACATATCCAACATGGCCGACCGGCTGATTGTTTACGTGTCGGAGAACAGAGTGCTTTTTGATAAAAGACACAAATATTACAAAGATAACGACCTGAAGGACAACTTGTGGAGAGTCATAGCGTTGGATTTCTCATATGACGATGGTTTGTGTGCTTTAACAGTTTGTTAAACATCTTTGTTTTAACTTTCATCAGTGCTAAGTAACTTTAGCTCGTAAGCTAATATGTTCAGATACAACATACCATATGTATTTTCACTGTCTCAAACTCAATACCTTACGTTTATGGATTATAGTTTAATGTGCTTATCTGGTACTGGCCCCGACTCAGTACATGCTATCATGACAGACAGACATCTCAACACTAGAGTCTAATCAGAACTGAAAAACACTCAGTCTGCTGTTGTGTCAGTCTTCTCGCTTCCACCCAGCGAGAAGACTGACAATCTCTCTTCTCGCTTACAATCACTCACACATAGAAGGCGTACAAAATCAAAGGCGAGATGTTTAGATCCAAACAGGAAAGAGAGGTGACAGGTGAGAACATTTTAAACCAACAGAGGAACAAACAGCTCAATTAAACCTGTTTTTTCCTCCCCTGGTATCATTTCACACGTCTTTGTTCATCAACTTGTGTTTGATCTTTTTTTTTTTTCCACACTTCACAGAAAAAAAAAACATTCATTAAAAGCTGATCAGTGACAAGAATTCAGTCAGAGTGTTGTTTTCCCTTTATATCTAATTTGATGCTGATTGCTGTAGTCATATTTAGATTCAAAATAGCTTTTAACAAGTTTAATTTTATATCAAGGACATTTGTTTTAACTGAATCTGAGGGCAAAATCATGTTGAATAAAGTCAGTTTGGTCTGATTAAAAGTAGGGTCGATTAAAAAGACGTATGGGTGTAAATTGCATTTAGACAAAGAAAGGAGGGGACCATTTATTAAGGAGAAATATAATATAGAATAAGAAAGACGTTCTAGTCAGGTTTCTTGTGATATCAAAATGTCTTATTTTCTGATCTAAACAAGTAAAATTCCTGCTGATCCCACTAGTCATGATGTTTTAAGTGTACTGTCCTATGGTATGCTATTCATCAGGTCTACTCAGTAAATTGGGTTCAATGAGTGATTCATTCACTGAACGTTTAGAAGAATTAACACTCAACATGCATCATTCCCCTGCAAACCACTGCAATGATCAGATGCTGCGGGTTTTATGCACTACTTGTTACATGTTGTGTCCTATTGTATGAAAGTTTTTGTGGCAATTTGGCAGTAAAAAAAAAGTAAGTTTTGTCTGACAAAATTATTCCAGAGAGTGTAGTTCAATGCCTGATTCGTTCACCAAGTGATTCAGGTGTCAGTGTATGCGGTCCCTCGTTCGCCGGCTGCTCGCCTGGCAATGCTGCGTGCTAGAGCATCTGCCCTGCTGACAGCTCAACTGAAGTGAGAAACGAAAGAATCACTTGAGGAAGTGATTCAGTTAAGTACGTTCACTTTAAAGATTCGGTTCTTTTGAACGAATCGTTCACGAACGACACAACACTATCATGAATACATCTTACCAGATCTCCTTGTGTTGCTCTTCCAGTCTTACAACTGCAACTATATTTTTGCTTTCATTTAATGACACTGGATGGCCTTTTTTTAGATCCAGAGTTCATAAGATGCCCTCATCTAAACAATTAAATGATAACACAATGTCAACAAGACACACCACAGTAAACATGTATGGTAAAACTGAACAATAGAATTTTTACAGACCTCAGTTTGCTTGTAAAACATATTTCTGTGTGTCTAAGTGTGTGTGTGTGTCCTTGTAGTTTCAGGTGTGACTTATGAACCTGGGCTGCAGTGGAAATATGAAAGAAAAGCCTCCAATCCCATCTGTGAAATCACTCACACACACACACACTCACTCACACACACACACACACACACATACACACACACACACACTCTGCAGTGTTCATTACTCTGATCGATCTGCTCTGTGATTGGTTGCGACGTTCTAATGTGAGTAGAGACTGAGTCAGCCAGACGATCTGATTGGCTGAAGGAAACAGAAATTAAACAATGATTGATGGATGAAAAGAGAAATCTGATTCCGTCTCTAATCTTCTCTCAGTTTGACCTCCTTAATTGGACTGATGCTGACACATTAACGACTTCTACCCAGACAAATTAGATGACTAGGGTGATAAAAGGGGCGGAGCTTCATTATATTCAATTACCGCATATATAAAAAGATCTGCTAATGAGGTAGATTCTTGTGAGTTATTTGAATTTTCCTTGTCTGTCTTCCTCGTTAGCAGATAACTTAAGCTGCTAATTGGTTGAAACTTCCCCCTCCTGTTTGATTAATTGACATCAACTGCTCTTTTTTCTCTGCAGAAAATGATACCTATGTTCAACAGCAAGTATGCACTTACATTCACAGTTAATTTATTTATATGACGGGAGGTTGTTCATAATTAAATCTGATTATACAGTTTGGTAATTTATTCTAGTGAGTGTTTGCAGGTGTGAGATTTCACTGTTATATACCGTCACACTGTCAGAGAGTTATGTTAATTATTGTTGTAAAACGCTGCAAGCAAAACTACACTTAAGTTCCCAGTCTGCTTTGATGGCATTGATTCAAGTGTATTTATAACTTTCTACCGCAGAGAGAGACGTGGTTGAAGGAGGCAGAGAAAACAGCATAAATGCCTTGTTAAGTAACAGATGTTACCCAAATTTTAAAGCCAGTGTGACTTTCAGAATAGTGATGGGCACGACAGTTCTTTTAGATGTACTGAATCACTAGAATCAGTTCACTAAAAAGATTCGTTCAAAAGATTCGTTCACCAAATCACTGAATCATTTAGCGGGAGATGCCTGCGACTCCGACCTCCTGAACTGATACACAGCTGAACAGTTCAGGATTCAGTTCAAGTCATAGCTTCTGGGACCAGGAGACAAGAGTGTTTGGCTTTGTTGCTTTGGCAAACAGGTTTGTAAAAATGAACTTATTTATAAGTCATGATGTTTTAAGTGTACTGTCCTATGGTATGCTATTTATCAGGTCTCCCAGGGTCAGTGAGTGATTCGTTCACTGAACATTTGGATGAATTCACACTGAACATACACCGTTCCCTCGCAAACCGCTGCAATGATAGGATGCTGTGGGTTTAATGCACTACTTGTTACATGCTGTGTCCTGTTGTATGCAAGTTGTTGTGGTGGCAATTTAGCAGTGAAAAAAAAGGTAGTTCTGTCCAACAAAAATGATTCCAGAGAGTGTAGTTCAATGCGTGATTCATTCACCAAGTGATTCATGTGGTCCCTCGTTCGCCGGCTGCTGGCCTGGCAACGCTCATTTTCAATGCAAGATATTTTTCTTGTGTGCACAAGTTACAATGATAGAATAAGTGAAAAAAGGAGGTAGTTACTTCCAGAGCTGTCCACAGGGGGCACCAAAATCAACACAGAGTTTCTGTCGCAAAGTTGTATTGTATACAGACATTTCTGGCAACACTGGCAGCTTGAAGTCATCGTTGCAACATTGTCCAGACTTAAGTTTTGTAGGTTCCTAGCCAGACTAATTAAAGAAAAAAATGGAATAATTAGACATGTAAAAACAAAATAAGCAAATTTTGAGTATGTTTCGACACAAATTGTCTACAAAAAATACGCTTTTAAAAACCTGCACAATGACATGCCTCTCATTTTACAGTTGGCTTTTATCCAAATCAACCATCACTTTCATTTAATCAACTGTCTCTTTATTTTGACACCTTTTTTCGTTCCGTACACTTAGGACATTTTAATCTTAAGGCTTTTCCTAGTTATTCTATATTGGTTTAATTATCACGTTAAGCGTTTACACCAGAGACTCGAAACAAATCTGATGAATTATTTTTGACTTGTTTTATTCAAACATTAATCCCCTCTTGATTCAGTTCTACCTCATGTTGTTCTCTCTTTATACTCATCAAATGAATAATAATTTACAGCTGGAGGCTTAATACTGAAATTTGCATAATTATTCACTTGCATTTGATTGCATACATTCACCCAGTGTGTATATAAATGTATTAAAAAGACAGGCAGGGTGAAACGCTGTCATTATTGATGGAATTAACACAAATCAACAGAGATAAAGATATAAATATTACAAACTAAAGAGCTGAAGAAAACTTTGAAAATGATGAGACAACAACTAAATTACTTTTTTAAAATTTCTGCTTAAAGAGAATCATGATCAAACCAAATAAACGTAGTGTCTTTTATAAGTGTAAAGTGTACAGGAAAAGTTTTGTACATCATTGACTGACAAAACTGTGTAGAGTTCTTTACTGTATAAATTTAAGCAAAACCATGCAAGAAACAATTCAATCAACCGTACACTACAACAGCATCCTGGAAATTTTGGTGGTTAAAGTGGATTTCAGTGGATTTTTTATATTCCTATCGATATCAGAGCCTTGATATTACATTTTCGTCAGTTTGAGAGTCTTTTTTCTCGATTTTTGTTGGTCTTGGAGTTTAGATGTACAGATTCAGTAGGTTTTGGTAGAATTCTAGATTTCTTGTTGTTTTAGTGACTTAAGTCCAGATCTCTGTTGGTTTTACAGTCCAAATTATAGACTCATGGTGATTTTCAAATATTGACATTAGAGTTTGGTTGGGTTTAAAGTCCTAAAGTTGGATTGTTGTTAGTTAGAGAGTTTTACTTCTAGATTTCTGCTGGTTTAAGTTGCTCAAAATTTAATGCAGTCAATTGTAGATTTCTGCTGGTTTTAAAGTCTTTATTATAGATTTAATTTTAGATATCTTTTGGTTCTGGACTTTCATTTGTAGTCCTCTGTGTTTGCAGCTTATTGTCTGTTTGATTAATCTTTGTTTTAGTTTCAAGATTTCTTTTGGAACTAGTCTTTTAGATTTTTGTGGGTTTAAGTTTGTTAAGAGGAGTGTCTTTTTTTTTAGTTTAGCAATTCTTTATCTCTTTTTCTATTTAGTTAGCCTGTCTTTTCCCTCTTTAACCATCTTTTCCTCTCTCTTTCCTGCTTTTTAGGTTTCAGTTTACTTGAAGAATTCACCTTGTTCCCTTTCTGACTAACAAGTTTCTCTGCAAAGTCAACAACCTGCTTTCATCCTCATCACTGTGAGTGTACGTGTGTTTGTGTGTGTACCAGGATGTGTAGGTGTGTATTTGTGTAGATAACAGTGCTTGTCTAATAATCAGCCTCAGTGTCATCTCAACAGAAAGGGACAGAGGAGGTAGGTGGAAGCTATCAGGAGAAAGCTATTGATATGCTAATATGTGCCGCACACACACACGCAGACGTAGGCAGTGTGGAAGCAGGAGAATGGAGGATTTCATATTCTATCTCTGAAGCCTTTTATTAGCAAGCAGGAGTGAAACCTCTTATTAGAGACACTGAGAAGAAACTCTAACTCAGCTCTTATTTGTTCTGTCCATCATCTCGACCACTTCTGATTAGATTTCTTTTTATTGGTCCTTCTCTCATATTCTCTTTTTACTTCATGTGATATTCCTCCAGGTTTCTTGTCTCTAGTTTGATATTACTGTCAGTGTTATCTCTTTTATATTGATTTTATGTGTCACTTTAAGTCTTCACATTGATAAAACTGTCACAGTTAGAGTGATGAGTCCGTTTTGTTTTGAGGTTTAAAAGTCTCACAGTCTTGTTTTAATGGTTTTGTAAGTTTTTAAGTCTCTGTTTTGATCAGCCATAAATTTTCTGTCTGTTAAAGACATTTTATTTGGAAATGTTTGTCACTTTTAGAGTCATAAGTTAATTTAACTTCACTGAAGGTTTTTATCTCTTTAAATTCCCTTTTTTTATTCCCGGCAGTCTTACAGACTTCATCATTTCTGTCAGTTTCAGAACCTTTAGTTTTTCCTCTCTGTTGGTTTAGGATTGCAAGTTTCTCGCTGAGTCAGATTCAAAGCCTGAAGTCTGTCATTTGTGAAGGTAATAGAGCAATATTAGTCTGATTTATGGGCCTGTAGTCTTCAGTTGTCATAGTTTTGGACCCTTGAGCTGTTGAATATAGGAAGCTGAAGTTTGAGTTTCTGGATTGAGTTCCATAATTTCTTATTTATGGTCATTTTCAAGCTACTTGTTACTTATAGGGTGCTGAATTGTTATTTTGCTCCTTTTATATTTTTAAGTTATTACATTCCCAGAGTCTTCAGTTGTGACATTGTAACTCTAGCAGTCTGAAGTGTTCACATTGTTCTTTTACAGTCTTGAGTTGTTACAGTGTTGTTTGCACGGTCTTGACTCTTAACATCATAACTCTCTGTTAAGCTGTTACATTGTAACTCTAGCTGTCTGAAGTTGTAACATTGTGTTTTTTAACAGTCTCGAGTTGTTACAGTGTTGTTCTAACAGTCTTGACTCTTAACATTTTAACTCTCTCAATCTTAAGCTGTTACTTTGTAACTTGAGTGGTAAGTTTGCAATTATTCGTTACTTCTGTTCATTTAAAGGTCTTTGATTTGTTATTTCTGCCAGTTTTAGAGCCTTTAGAACCTCTTTATCTTCAACTTTAGCATCTTTACTTTGTCTAAGTTTTTAGTTTTTTTTGTTGCTCTGGATCTAAATTATTCCTTATTCCTGCTTGGTTGTTTTTGAATCATTGATTTAATTCTGTACATTTTAAACTAAAATTTGTAACTGTCAGCTTTATAATTCTTGAGTTTATCATTCTGATATTATCACCATCTGGACTTTACATTTTCAATGTGTTAAAGTTGCAGGTTTTAGAAAAGTACATTTTTTTTACCATCTATGGCATGATTTTGTGTCTTAATTCACAGGACATTAATTCTTCATTAGTTTGGAGTCTTACCTCCATGTTTTTTTCCAGTTTTTAGTCTTAAATTTGAGATTTTATTCAACCTTTCAGTCTGTAATTTGATATTTTTTCAGCGTCAGAGCCGAGACTATCCTTTTTCTTCACCTGTTTCCATGAAGGCTATGTACTGTTTCTCTTCCTCTTAATGCTTTTTGCTCAAGGGCACAGAGGCAGCTGGTTTACGACCTGCTGCTGTCAGGACGGAGACAGGTCTGTTGCCATGGTAACACCAGAGAGAGGGAGAAAGAAAGAAAGAGGGGGAGTCCGTCATTCATTCCTCTCCTCTTTCTCTCTTGTTCATGTCAGTTCAGGTTTCTGAGCCTGGCAGGATTATAACCTGACATGAAGCCCACCACATGCACACGCACATGCACCCAGGCACGCACACACACACAGTGACATTGAGGGAAAATAGAATTGAAGGCTGCAGAGTCACAGTACGAATCAGAAGCTATTTACCCTGAAGCACACACTCACACACTGACACATACTCTGAAACACACACACGCACACACACACACACACTCACACACTGACACATACTCTGAAACACACACAAACACACACACACTGGCACATATAATGTAGCAAACACACCCCAGCAGGCAGCTCTCTGTGGTATGGATTAGCAGTCAGCTGGATGTGTGTGTGTGTGTGTGTGTGTGTGTGTGTGTGTGTGTGTGTGTGTGTGTGTGTGTGTGTGTGTGAATCTGAGGATTGAGCAGCACAGTAAACGTGGTGAGACTTTCACACTATCTTTTTAAACCCAGTTAAAGGTTTACACACCAAAATAATCTGGTTTCCCTGCTGAGATAGAGCCGCATTAACCAGAGCTCCAGCACCAGCATTATGGATTCTAAACTCTAAACTCATCCCAAAATATGGGCTGAGGTTCAACATAGTGACAGAATGCTGACAGCAGGCCTCTTTAAAGGAAAAAATACACTTTTTAGAGTTTATCTAAACAATCATGCCAGGCCGTCAATCAGCCAGTCAGTTCAATCAGTTATGATCGCAGTGGCATGATCCCATGAGGATACATCCCAGTGACTATTTTTGATGAGCCAAGTTTCTCCAAGTGACAATAATAGGCTAAAAATTGTTGCTAACTGCTGTCATATCTTCATTTTTTAATTATTCCAAGAGGATAGACCTTTGCTAGCTTTTCCTGCACAAACAAGGGTTTAGATTTTTCTTGACCCTCACTTCATTGCTAAGTACTTTTCAGTGACCGAGTCCCCAGAGGATAAGCCCTGTGTAAATGTTTTGGATTTCCAAAGTTTAATTCACCATAGATCTTTGTGTTTTGGATATCTTGAAGATAGTTCTTCCTGACTCCAAAGTGGATCATTGCTAACTAACCTCTTTTATCCATTTGTTCTCCAGTGCTAGAAGGTTTACACTTTCTGCTGAATATCAGGCTGTTTGCCCAGATAATACCAGAAGCATAGTTCTCAGAGGATGAATCTCTGTGAATTTTTAAGGCTTTATTTACACCAGTACTTCCAAAAGGATACAACAAAACTAACTGTAGTGAGTCGCTCTGTCTTAAATGCAAAGACGTTGATGCTTTTTGCTCTGAAATATACTCCAAGCATGGTCCACAGAGGATAAACCCTAGAAACAGTTTTTGATTTCCTGGGTTTTTCTATCATGATACCAGAAGCTTTAAGTTTGTTTCTAGCAGTCATCTAAATTTTCCCCTTTTTTTTCAGAAAAAGTCCTGGCTCCAAAAGACATTAACCCATTCAATGTTTGTTAGTCCACTGTATAGTATCATCTGTGATTCATGGTCCCCAGAGGATGGATCCTCTTGACATTTGTGACAGACAGTCAGTTACTGCTAATCTGATGTTTATGTGTTGATTTCAACTAAATTGCTACATTACTGGATGGACTACCATGACATTTTCACAGACATTCATGGCCCTAAGAGGATAATTCCTAGTTGCCCTCGGGATCATTTCACCTTGATTGTAACCCATCTGTAAGGCTATGATTTGTTACTTTTGCTCATGAAAAACTATGATGGATTGGTATGAAGGTTTCTAGTCATGGTTTGGAGAAGATGGACCTTAGTGAAATTTTTACCCACTTAACTCTCTGCTTGTTCCACCACAAGGTTAACCTTAAAATGTCTTTTCCTGCTCCTGTGTGTCATGTAGAGTGCTCCTTTCACCAAGTCTTTTCTCTGACTCTGACTCTGACATTATTTAAAGCTTCTACACTGAAGTCTCTTTCTTCTCATGCTGTACAGAAATGTACAAACACTGAAAGACAGACAGTTATTATACTGCAATAATTGCCCACACGGGCTCAGACTGACACTCTCACAGTAGTGAAGTCAGAAATGTGCCTCGGGCTGCAGATACAAACTTTAATCATCCATCAACTCTGACTCCTGACATAATTATTACACAACACACTCACAGTATCTGTCAGCTCTCAGTGTTTTCCACACTCCTCTTGAGGAAACTCCAATTTGCTCTGAACATCTCAATTCAGCTCCCTCTCATGTCTCCTAGTTTGCTTTGAAATATCTCCTGGCATAACAAACCATCAGAAAGAAATACAACTTACCAGAATACCAGAAGGAACAAAAGCAATTTGTAAGAGCGGTGGAGATGTTTTTGAATTTAATTTAACATCATACTGGAAAAAAACAAGGTTGTAACAGAAGCAAATGTCTTGGACTGCAAGTGTTATCGGCTGACTCTTGAGTGTGTTTCAGGGCCCTGTCTCAGAGCACCCGAGCCGGTTTTCATATTATAACAACCCTTTGAGCCATCACAACAGAAATGTTTTCAGTAAGACTTAAGGTTTCCAGTTAGCAAGAAAAAACCTCTCCTGCCAACAAGACGACCATTAAGTGGTAACCCCTCAAACTCTCTCTGAAGCTGTTTTGCCCGTGTTAAGTCAAACATGAATAAATTTTGTCAAATTACTATAAACAGTGAGTTTTGTTGGAAAAACATGGAGGTTTTATAGTATTTCACATGTTCAAATAGCCTTATGTCTTGTTTCTACTTCTACCAATCAGAAATCCACTTAATCCTATGTGAACCGGGATATCTAGGGCCTTTTCTTCTCTGTATTTCAGGCCATAATCCTCCTTCTATGTGTTAAAACGTGAAACTTTTGCAACATACTTCCGAACAACAGCATGCTCTCTGAGCTGCTGATTGACAAACTTTAATTAAAAATTAAAATTAGAATTAAAATAAGAGGGAAACTTCATCGCCACTTGACAGAGGCATTTTTTCTTCATCTTGATTGCTTTGGGGTCAATTTTAAAGGAGTCAGGGTGTAAGATTAACACAAACCTACCACATTAATTATGTTCAATTGTGTTCAGTTAATTGAACTCTATCGTATTAAGTTAACTTAATGTGGTCTCACTGAATCAAACATAATGTTGTTGTGGTTATGCAATATAATAGTATAATGTAGCTTTAAAGTAAGCTTATTAAGTTAGACTTACTAAATATGTGTTGTTCACATTCATAGTCTTTTGCTTTTCATGTTTAAACAACAGTTTTGTCTATCAATCAGTCAATCAATCTGTATTTGTATAGCACTTTTGATACATAACAATGTAGCACACAGTGCTTTACACAGAGGAATAAAACTTAAGTCTAGTTACAACACATGATGAATCTGAGTAATGTAACATCAGATTGTCTTTATTAGTTTGGTGTTAAATACAGTCGGATTCATCTGTTAGGGGACAAAATTAGCCTCCCTTCCATAGCTACAGGTATTCTCAGATTTTTGTACATCCTTAAAGAAATACACTTCCTTTCAATGGAGGTATCATCTGTTTGTTCACATATCCACAGGCACTATGTACACAAGTGGAAACAAGGTGTCAAATTCATATTTCAAAGGCCTCTGTGATCGTGCCTGTAATATCAGTCATGTTTCCATCCAAATTCTAAGCATATTGTGTTAAAAATTATTGGAAACTGGCTTTCCGTGACTGGCTTCGCTGTGCCAGATAATTTCAGCATCTACTGTCATATCCTTGCCAGTCTACTCATGAGTATCACAAGTTTTGAGCCTTGTCGAGTTTGTGTGTGTGTGTTACTTGCCACTAATCCCTGCTCTCCTCCTTTTTCCTCCTGTGCCTCCTCAAGCCACCTGAGCTTAGCCCAACCTCTGCCACGCTGCCAAACTCTCGCACCGGATTCACTCACCTGCCTTATCCTTGAGCTCTGCCTCCACTTTGCACCTCCAACCCTGGATTCCCTCCCTCACTTACCCTTTAATAAAAGCACTGGACCTTTCCCCTCCCTTAACCCTGCTTTTGGGTTTAGCTAAAAACTCTCATTAGGATGTCATAACTCGCTGGCTTTTAATTTTGGTTTTTAGGCATCACCACCTTGATTTTTGGGGACATACTGTATATGGATAAAGGCATTGATTTAGTCTATCCTTATGGGTCTTCATTGTAGCCACTTGTCAATTATAAGGTAGCCCTTGAGTATACCCTGCTGTATTGACCCAAACAGGACCATAATTCACCACTAACTGTATTTTTTTTTAAAAGGATCATGAAATGGGTGGGAAGAGTCATCTCATGTCCTTATAAACTCTTAAACTCATAAACTTGTCTTTGCAACCAGCAGCTTTCCCTTCTGTTGGGTGTTAAAAATGGTTTATAGCTGTACTTTGAAACCGTAGAGCTAAATCCTATTGCCATATATAGAGTTAAGGCCAAAGACACATAGCACAATGCTCCTGAGACTGTCTCCTCTATATTTTTGTAGTTGTATGATGCATATTACACCATTTTCTGGCCAGCTTTGTTACGCCAGCATCCACATTGGTGTTGGCGGTGCAAACAGTGAAAAAGTCCTTGGAGTGTTGCAGCATAGAGGACCTTTTCTATCTGGAAGTTCCAAGGATTCGGGTAAATAGAATATGGCTCATTTTATTGTTGAGTTTTATGTAAATCAGACCAAAAGCTTAGAGATTTCTTTTCCTTTTTCATCAAAGTCAAGAAATGCACACAGTCCTCATTTGATTCATTTCCATCCCTCATGAATACTAACGTTATTTTGCCGCTCTATAGATATGACATTGGTTTATATGAGCACATTGAAAGGTTTGTCAAAGCACATCAAGCCAGAAAACAGATAAATTTGTTACAACCCCTTCCAAAACAAACTTTCATTCTGTTTGAGAGACTGTGCTGGAGCTCATTATAAAACAGAATAAAGATTATGCAGATATCACTGAGGCTGGACTGTGATGAGTCGGCTAAAACCAAACAACACTCAGGGAGCAGCAGACAGAGATCCACACAGAGACGACAGAGCGGAGCTGCTGGCTGCTGCAAAAACGCCACTCACCATCAGAGGAGAAAGTTTGTGTAAATCAGCTTAAATAGACTTTGGCTTCATGCATCATTAATGGAGGAGCTGCAGTGGAAACTCTGCTGACAATACAGAGAGCTGTGGACCTGCCGAGCTGCGTGATGGCTTCATATGTGGAGGGATCATTCGGGTTAACTTGTTGGCTTTAGCATCATCAGGACAAGACCTTAAATCACCCAGAGTTAGTACAGTATGAACTGGATATAGATGTCTGTATACTCTATTAAATAGAAGGTGAAAGATATTGTGCAGTATTTATGTCCTTGAAGGCCACCATTGCTTTGCTAGTGGGAGGGGTGAGCAAGAGAGCTCTTGGAATCTGACCACAAGATGTCCACTGCTTAATATTCCCAATTCAACATACTATGCCTTTAATAAACTGAAAGCAGCATCATGCTTTAGGTGTTCCACAAGGATCAATTCTAGGTCCTGTCCTATTGACTTCCAGTGCCATTATTTTCAAGAGTGTCCAACCCCTCAAGAATAACTGGCATCTTTGTTGTGATTTTTAAAAGTCTAATGTGTGGAAAACTACTGCCAAACTTTGTTCGTTCATTCATTCGTTTGTGTTTGTCCGCTTACCTGGGTCCAGGTCGCAGGGGCAGCAGCTTTAGGAGGGGAGCCCAGATGGCCCTCACCCCAGCCACTTCCACCGGCTCATCTGCAGGGATTCCCAGGCGCTCCTGGTCCTGGGCCGGCCACGAGGTCCCTTCCCGGTGGGACATGTCCGGAACATCTCTACTGGGAGGCATCCAGAAGGCATCCTAACCAGATGCCCAAGCCACCTCAGTGACGTGGAGGAGCAGCGGCTCTACTCTGAGCGCCTCCCAAGTGTCTGAGCTCCTTACCCTACCTCTAAGGCTGAGCCCGGCCACCCTGCGGAGGAAACCCATTTCGGCCGCCTGTATCCACGATCTCGTTCTTTCTGTCATTACCCTGTCAAGTTCATGACCATAGGTGAGGATCGGCACATCGAGAGTCTCGCCTCATGGCTCAGCTCTTTCTTCACCACGACAGATCGGTTAAGCATCCACATCACCGCTGACGCTGCTCCAATCTGCCTGTCGATCTCCCGCGCCATCCTACCCTCACTCTGCCAAACTGGGGGCAGTTCTGCCAAACTTTAATAATCAAAATCAAAAGAGTGGAATCTTAAAAATGTTGTCTTTGATGTTGTGGACAAAGGATTAATGGCTGGCTACTCACCTGTATTTCTTCATTTTGGTACAACATACAACAGTCAAAGAAATGCAATGATCTCCCCACAGTGTGTTCAGACAGAGAAATGAGCTATTCTGACCATTTTTGTCACCAGACTGTAAATGTGTGTATGTTGCTGCAAAACTGGGAATTTTTGAATGGGTGTGTATGTGGCTTACAGGGCTTTTGCATCCAGCCTCTAGTGGACACTTGAGGAACTACATTTTCTGGTACTCCTCATTTTGCAGATCGACTTGGCTAAGATTGACTCTGTGCTCATTCTCTCTATTACATGCAAACACTGCTGACATTCACATTACAACATTTACTGTAAACAGCAGGAAACACGACGATTCCAAGTTTTTTCTCATCAAACTTCAAACTGTTTGGTTTCTTGTTTTCTACATTTCTCACGTCAGATTCAAAACTGCCTCATAAGCGCAACCTCACGGCATGCATCTTACAAAACCTGCATCTGAAAGTCTGAATGGATTATGGTAATGTGTCAGAGGCCAGGTGCATGATGGGAATACAGATGAGTATACTAGGGCTGGTTGGTTAGAAAATGAGGCAGATTATGGAAATATGATGGTCTGGATTTCAGATTTTCTGCGAAGCTCAAAGACTTAGAGAGTCTTATCTCTGTCAGATTAACTTTGTGTGGAGGTCTATCTCTCTGACGTTCGCTCTCTTGTTCTTTCCATCTCTCATCAAAGGATTGTCTCTCTCCCGTCTGTCTGACTCTCAGCCTCTCACCTTCACCTTTCAAATAAAACGAAAAGACAAAAGATGAATTGTGTCAACCTTTTCCGGCACAGAACCTGACATCCGACCTGTTCCAGCTTACCTGAATGTCACTTCAATTAACTCCGCGTGGATTTTGTTAAGCCTTTTAAAAAAGTTTAATGCCCAGAAATGTCCAGAAAAAAACAGCCTCTCTGCACACACTAAGGTTAATGATGGATTTAAAGTAATTACCTGGAGTGGGAGTTTTTGTGATATCTGGCTTTTGCACGCTGAGATGTGGATACAGTCACAAAAGCAGCTCTCAGGTCAAGGGAAACATCTCAACACTCTGCTTTCCTTTCTCTTCTCTCCTGTCAAGGGGTGATTTCACCGTTTTGAATTAGTATTTTAACAGTGAAGGATCCAAACACAGCAGATATTTCAACTTCGAGTGCATGTAGGTGTGTAGTTTCATTGGTTGACAAACTGGCATTCATAATCTAGTTTCATTGATCTGTCTCCATTTGTTCAGGCTGAAATATCTCATCAAATAACTTCAACGGTTTCTCTGAGTTACATGGGTTTCTCTCACCCTTTCTTTCTCTCTCTGTATCTCCATCTATCCCCTCTCTTTACCAACCCAGTAGCGGCAGGTAGCTGTCTAACTGGAGTCTGGTTCTGCTCGAAGTTTCTTCCTGTTAAAGGGTTGTCCGTGCCTTCACTCATGTTGGTTTGAGATGGTTAAGAGTGGGTCTACTTCTAGATGGGACTCATTCTTCTCCTATCTTAAGGTTGGTCTTTGTAATACATCAAACAAAAAGTTTGGTCTAGACCTGCTCTCCTTGAAAGTGTCTTGAGATAACGATTGTTGGGATTTGGCAAATTTGGTGAAGCAAAATTGATTGATTGATTAATGCAGGCATTCATGGTCCCCTATGGATAAACCTTCAAGCTTTTGCATCTCATTGGCTTTTCTATTGGTTTGGTAATCTTTGCATTTGTTACAAAAACAGAATATAAAGTATTTGCCTTGATGATCTTGGTTGATGCCACTCAGATGGCAGAGGCCACCCCTGAAGACCCTCACCGCATCCCCATACAAAGTCTAGACTTATGCCAACAGGGAGAGGGTTGTTTGTTTTGTACCTTAATTTCCTGTGTTGTGATGTGATGGTTGCATGGTCCTCTGTTGCAAGCCAAATTACCCCTTTGGGAAAAGAAGATTCTCTGAGCCAGTCCAGTTAGACAAAGTGTACAGAACATTTAGGTCCCAAATGGATAAATCAGGCAGATTCTTGTTCCCCACTGGGATGGTTATTTTAACATATGGTTGTTTTGATTCATAGGATCTTGTTTTGCTTGTTTGTCTTCAGTTTGCAGAGTATTGAGCTGACCCCTCTCTGAGGATCCTCCAAAGACCATCTCGAACTTATGTTTGGGATCATGTCTCTCTTGCATGTTTACTCCTTAATAGCGCTGAAACTGGCCTAAATGTTCTGTGCATGCTCCACAACGTTTTGGTGGATTGTGTTCTGCCTGATTTTGCTCTTCATACACATTTTTCTCTAACATGACTGGTTCATGCTGCTGCAATTATGAACATACCACAGGCACCAGGACACTCTCTTCAACAAAATCTGAAAATGGAGAGTACCCGAAGGACACTTTCAAGGTCACAACCCTTTTAGATGTTAAAAGAGCATCTTGAATTCTCTGTTCAACTTTCCTAATGACTTTTAAAACCCCCCATAGGAAGACTTGACCGTCTCCAAGTCCAAGTGAGACACATAATCTATATCATTTCCCCTTTTGTGTGTCTCCTGAGTCCGGTGTTCGGTTAAGGAGCCTCTCAGTCTTTGTTTTCAGATAAATTGGATCTTTTCATTCTTTTTTGTCTCAGAGAAAAGGAGTGAATCAGCATGGTCGTGTTTTACTAAATGAGGTTTCAATTACACACAGGCGGGTGAGTGTATCAGTGATGTTGTAGCTTTCGCTCATCCCTCCAGCTTCATTAACTTCCTGTTTCTGAACCCCGTCTCTCATCTTCACCACCGTGTCTGTTTAAATGAGCTGTCAATCAACACACCAGCACCCCCACCCCCGCCGCCCCTGAGCCGCAATTATTCCATTATTACCACAACGGCGAGGATTAAAAGCAGTCTCAGTGCTGTCGGTTCACTTTAATACAAGCATAAGCCGAAAAATACACCTGACATCTTGTGGGAGAAACGCCAGAATATTAATATCAACTTTGATTTTACTGGAAGAGAGAAAAAAGATACAGACGGTTAACTGCTCAGCTTATATCAGCTGTAGTTTCTACATCCTGACAGGTTTTCACTGATGCAGTGAAAGTGGGCATCGTCCTTGCACTAAGTACGCTGACAGGAAATGTTCTGTACAGTTTAAACTAACACAAGATGATACCGAATCTTCTACAGCATACATCAGACTTTGACAGTCTGAGTGTGAGCGCTGCACACACTTTCATATTTACAATTTACAACAGATTCTAATTTTGCAAACATTTCACCAAAGACATTTTTTACAACTCCAGAAGAGCAAGAGTGTAGTGTGAAATGCTTATGACAATTATTTAAAGCCTATATTTAATTTAAAAACATTTCTGGAGTTTGAAAAGTGGAATGTCAGCCCATTCTTTCCTGATTTTGAGTCTCCTTTTTCAGTCAGGACTGCAGGCAGGTCACTTTAGCAGCAAGACTCTTCTACTACAGTGCCATGCTGTTGTCATACCTGCATGTGGTCATAACAAGCCAGTGGGGGACACATCTCTCTTGGCACCAAACATGCAGTGTCCATGGTTTCCAAAAAGAATGTCAAATTTTGATTCATCAGACCACAGGACGGACAGATGTCCACTTTGTCTCAGTCCATCTTAAATGGATTCAGGTCCAGAAGAGTCTCTTAATGGCAATAAAAAGTCTGAAAATGAGCCATGTTCACCTGACAAGCCAAGGTCAACATCCCATTTCAGAATATTACAAGCCAAAAGTGAGCCCTGACTTGCCTCTAGTAAGCAAAAAATCTTCAAAAAAACTTCAACTTCAAGAAACTCAAGTGGTAAATCACTCTCAACCCATTGCAGGTTATTCTGGTCTTGATTTAGGTTTGTAAATATTTCTTGAAACAAGAAATCTATTTGGAGTCCTCAGGTAAATAAAGCTTTATCAAGTCTAATCTTACATTTTGAAAGACTCAGCCTCTCTGAATGTCTTTTTTATTCCCAGTCATGTTTCTAACCTGTTGTTAATCAGCCTCATGAGTTGTGAAATGTTCCTTAAGCTGTTTTTTTTTTCATGACACGTTTTTTGCATTTTGTCGTCCCTCTAAGAACTTTTTTTTGAGACATGTTGCTGGCATCAAATTTAAAATGAGTTTATTTTCCATGAAACATTTTTTTCGGTTTCAGCATCTGAACTCTTGTTGAAACTGCGATTGGATTCTATCAAAGCTCAACCACCTTCGGGTGTAATGAAACAACCCTCTGTCTTCTTTAAGGATCCCTACAATCTAGTCAAGCAACCTTACAAATCATCCAAGGACTTTTGAAAAGACAAGGATAACCTCAGTCGTTCCTGGACATTCTCTGGTCTTACAACCTTGTCAGAGACCAAAATAACCCACTCAAGGTCAGATACAATCTCTTCAAGGACCTTAATAATCTTCCAAAACTCTATTGAATGGAACAAACCTTTCTTTGTTGTAACCCTGAAACATCCCATAACCTCTCAACCTCAAAGACCCCCGAAACCCACTCAAGGCTCACCTCAGCCCTCCAATGACGTCCTAAGATGCCCTCACACTTTTTAGGATTTAAACATTTTCAGTAGCTATTTTAGCCCCCAGGAATAACCCTAAACTTCTTGAATTTACCTGGAAATGGCTTTAATAGCTTCAGCAGACCCTAAAACCTCTTTCTTTTAAGGGGAAAATCATCTTTTGAGGATCTCTACAACTTTCTGGAAATATTCCCCTTCACCTCCTTTTGGATGACTACAGTATTTCCTCCAGCACTTGTAGTTCAGGGCTGCAGTCAGCAGATGGCGCCTAGTGGTTATAAATTGGGTAGACACAGATGCATCAAAGGTGAGACCACAGATTTTCAGGTTAATGGAATAAAGTCACACGGACATCCAGTTAAATATTCAGTGAATTGCAGATGTCTTTGATGAGTTGGTGTGTGTTCTTGAGGAGATTAATAAGGCCTAACATTTCACTAATTAGAGTCAGACTTCTAATTAGTTTGTGAAAATCCTGTTCTTTTAATTGGTGATTAGAATAAATGTTTTGAACCTATTAGTGGTGATTAATGCGGTCAGTTTGGGCTGTACTGTTTAAAGAGATCTAATTTTAGAAAGTGAATCTAATTGGACACAAAAAATTGAATGCAGATAAAAATTAAAGTGACAGCGATGGAAAAGCCTTAAGCTTTTGTCTGCAGAGCCAGAGGCTGCAGATTTAGGACTGCAAATTTGAGGCTCTTGTTAATTGCAATGGCACAAACTTTTAGGTATATATATATATATATATATATATATATATATATATATATATATATATATCACCTACTCTATAAACTGTCACTTGGGGGCGCTGAAGTTGACGTTTTAAAAACTTAAACTTCCAGCAGCTAAAGTCATTAAACATTCACTTTAAATGTCAAAATCATGATGAAATTTGCTGTTTCTATGGGTCGATTTATGGGGTTAATTGCTCTTAAATAGTCAAAGTAAAAGCTCTGAGGGTGAACCAATCTACTTTTTTTTCTCTCTTGATTCAACATTTATTCATTTAATGGTGTTTAATGATAAAATAAAGTCAGATGAATAATTTCATGTGAATATCCTTGTTTTAGACTTTAAAATAAACCGCTATAAAGGAGAAAAACTGGATTATTAACTTTAAATCCAATCGTTTTAGGACTCAGGGTTGATTAGCTCCACTAACAGAAATAAATATGAATAAATGTGTTGATTTTAATCCTGTTTTTAATTCCTAAAATGAAATGAATCATCCCTGTGTTTAATTCAGAAACCTGTTGAATGTGTGTGTGTTTGTGCCACACACACACACATACACACTCACTCACGTGCACTGAGACACACTTATCTGTAAGCTCCGCCCCTCAGGAGCGAGAGAGGGAGACCCGCTGGTGAATAAGTAACATTCATTCAAAGAAGAAGCAGACAGTCAGAAACAGTCAGAAACACACTCTTCAAACTGTCCTCTTCAGGAGCTGGGGTCCTCTGGAGTCTCTCCGCCGGTGTTAAGTGCTCATTGTCCGGGTTAACATCGACTCAGGAGCCGGTGAGCGTACAGACAGTGGACAGGTAAGAGCTGAGCCCGTGTGAACTGAGCCAAGTCTCATTATCGATCCGCTATCAGCTGCTGCAAACACTCCTTCACTGTTGGTCCTCTCCAGTGTGGGAAAAGCATGAATGTTAAACAGGGAAATGTGTCTTTATTTTTGTCATAGAATGTTGTATTTTCAGAGAACCCATCAGTCTTGTGTCCATTTGAAGTCAGGGTTTGACTGTTTGAGCTTCATTGGACTTTCCAGAAGCTGGTAACCTTTAACTTAAAATGGAAAATGTTTCGGTTTTGAAAGTGGAGGTATATTTCCTTGACATTGAGCAGTGAGTGAATAATATGTGTGTTATTATTCATATACCCTTAATTAGGTGATTTGATTTTGAAACATGTCATATTTTTGCTCTTAAATAGAATTTATCAGTGCGTGTCAATACAAAGTAGAACTTCCAACAGTCTTGCAAAAGTACAAGATGCTTTGTAGATGTTTGGGTGAACCTTTTAATGGTTCCCAAAGCAGTTGTGGCACTTTGAGGATAACACAGGGGTCCTTGAAGAGGTTATTTGGGTTCATGGAGATTACTAAGAGGTGCAAGTTGAAGTCATGAGTGACCTTGAAGAACTTGTTGGCATTCTTAAGGAGATGCTGGAGAGTTTTGAAGAGCCTGAAAGACACTTAGGTTCCTGAGGACCTGGCGAGCACTTCCAAAGAGAGATCCCAGATGAGGTCAAAAAGTTTGTATACTGAGAGGTTTCTCTTATAACTCTGAGGTGTCCTGGAGGCTGATTAGGAATATTCAGCAATATTCATTAATGAAGAGTTTGGATTGGTTCTTGAGAAAGTTTGAAGGACATTTGGAGATGTTTGAGGGATCAATAATGAATTATAAAAGACTTCAAAGATCTTCCAAGAAGTAGAAAAGATGCTAGATGAAGTTATGGAGAGCCGTGAGGGGGTCAGGTTAGATATTGATAGGTTCTTTGAGGAACTTACAATGTCTGCTTTTGTAAGGATTCTGTGTGATGTGTCTTTAGGGGTGTTGGAGATGTGGTAAGGGTGAGTAGTGAAGTCACAAGGGATGTTAAAGAACATGAGGGTGTTTTCAAAGAGGTTGTAGAAAGTTTATAGGCCTCAAGGAGTCCTGGAGGACACTTAAAGCCTTGAGAATCTAGCTTAGATCATTGGTGGTCTTAGAGAAGAAGAATGGATTGCACATAAAGATGTGGGGAGTCTTGAGGAGGTTGTGTGAGATACTGTTATTGACTTTTAGAAATTCATAGTGCCCTTAAGGCTGTTGTTGAACCTGCCATTTTTTAAAACCCTGAAAAGATTCAAGGATAGATTTTGGATGGCCTTGAGGGCGTTTAGGTACAATGTTCAGCTTTGTAAGGTTCTTGGAAGAACCTGCAGTGTCACCTTAAGGTGTTTAAAAGCCTGTCTGAAGAAGATTTAAAAGCTCCTGACGGTGTTTTACGGGTCAAAAACGAGGTTTTAAGTATCTTGAAAACACATTTGGAGAAGGTTATGTAAAGAGGGGTAAGGTTTAAAAAGAAAATATGAGAACCTCTATTGAAAAACACATACATACTGTAACTTTTTCATGTCCTTTCACCAACATCATTTGAGAAACACTGCTTACATAACATGTCAGCGAGCACTCATAGACTGTAATGGGCCCCTATGGTGTCTGTGTGTGGGTGAAACTGTATAATTCACAGACTGGACATAAAAACCTGTCCAACAAGTCAGAAAAATATCAAAGTAGGGATCAAGTTTACATGGTGTTATAGATCACACACTTTACTTATCTCAAACCCTCACCTTGTTAGGACTCTAAATCTGCATAACCACCTGCTTACTGTCAATATATGTGATAATTCTTATCACTCTAAATAAAGATAAAAACTATAATCGAAATTTAAGATGATTTTAAAGATTTTTAAATGCCTTTAACTATAGTCCCTCTGATTCCTCAGTCAGTTAAACACCCATGGAAACAGATTCTGATTGGCCTACTTGTGGTTAAATAGTTATAGTGGTTATAGTTAAAATAAGGCCGAGTCAGAGCATATTCACATAAAACGTAATAATCCATTTCAAACACTAGCATGGTTGTCATTTGAACATTTCCACTTAAGGTAACTTTAGACACGGACTTCTGCAACAGCACTTCAGTACTGCCACAACTTCCTCCTTTTTAACCTTTGTTTATTTGATCTTGTGCAGTTTCATTTGTTTCGGAAGAACAAATGTCTGAGTATAATACGGACAAGGCAAGTGCTAAAAAATAACTTTCGTAGATGTAGCCATCTTGTTTCCGCCTCCGATTTTGCTTTTTTCCAACTTGGTAACTGAAACGCTGGTAAGTCGGGTGTGACGTCATTTTCAGTTCCAACATCTGACTTCCGAGGTAACTCGAACGCAGCAAAAGAAAGGAAGTTAATTTCACAATAACCATTCTTAAGAGGTTTTAAGTAGCAAAGGTTCCTTTAAAAACACTTGGAAAAAAAACTTTTATGAGAGCAGATGCAGATCAATGGAGTTATCTGTCTGCTCATCTCTATTTCAGATTATAACTAGAAAAGCACTGGGAGAGCGCAGACCTCCGCCAAGCAGCTCATGTCCCCCCTTAAACAAGAAATGCCCTGAGCGGGATTCAAACCCAGGACCTTCTGGTTGTGAGGCAACAGTGCTAACCACTACACCACTGTGTCGCCTATCTACACCACTGTGCTGCCCATTGCATATCTTTCAGCATTGACAATTCCAACGACACCTTTATTTTTGTGTGTTCTGGATCACAGTATCCAGAATTTTGTATGGATCACCACCAAACTTTAATGGGATCGTCCTGGGGCTGATGAAAATTTCGGGTCAATCCGTCTGTTACTTCCCCCGTAAAGTTGCTAACAGACAAACAAACCAACCAATGCTTCCTTGGCGGAGGTAATGAAAAGGCAGCCATGTTTCTCTGTATTTGTGTATCAGTTTATTTGACTGGGAAATTGGCTCCTTTACATATGTCCCCTCATTCAAAACCATCCCCATACTTTTGTTGTGTCTTTCAGAATATTTTAATACTGTTTTTTAAAGATGTTTCAGACATAAGCTCATTGAATATACAAAATAATCGATCTTAAATTCAGTGAGATGGTAACCAACATTCAGAACTGAAGCTCTATTTGAGATCGTGCTACCAGCTGGAGCAACAAGTCAATGATAAATTGTAGACTGTGACGTTAACCTGTTTGTTAACTCGTCTCATCACTCAGTGGCTGACAGTGTTCCCGGCAGTAATCACAGATGAACACGAGAGGTTTGAATTCCTGAACTGAAAAACGTCGACAGAAACACGTGCAGAACAAACAGTACAAATGAACACAACTAATGATGTGCGCGTCTGTCTGCACGTGAAGAGGAAAAAATCAAAATGACATTTTCCTCTTTGTGTCCTCAGACTGAAGTGTGCTATCGTAATTAATCAGTTTCATTCAGCTGAGGAGTTTAATTTGAAAGTCACCCTCCACTTCCCCAGTTTCTGGATGAGCGCTCCTCTTTCTATACAGCTGTTAATGCTCTGATCTCACTTCCCAGCATCCCCTGCTGCAGATAATTACTTTTTTTATGAGTTCGCAGCCATCCTCAAACACACAAAAGGCTTTATCAAGCTTCCGTTTCATTTCCTCCCCACACTTTATTGTTCCATTCAGACGCACTGACACAGGACTTTAACCCACCAGATCTTTCATTATTGATTCATCTCCCAATTACTTTCACTGCTAATCGACTGTGCTGCTGCGGGATTAGACTTCAATGTGGAATCAAACTCTTCCTAAAGATTTTTCAGCATCATTAAACTCTGGTTTCTCCTGCCAACAGGTGCAGCGATGTTGTATCCTCTCCTCCTCTTCCTCATCCTTCCATGTGCTTTGACGTTGGAGCTTCGATATCACAGCAACCGAGAGATTGAGCAGTACCTCCTCCAGTTAAACGCCTCCAACCCCGACATCACATACCTGTACAGCATCGGCCAGTCTGTCAATGGTAACTACATTCCTCAGTCTACTGCAGCTTCTTCCTGGTTTAAATAAACGCTTCTGAAGATGTAAATTGTTAGATTTGCATCTTCGAGAATCACATTTCAGCCACCACAGTCAGGGGCTGCATTCCCAATCCTTAAATGATAGGGTCCATGTGTCATACTTGTGACTCCCTCCCTGGTAATTACAAGAACGATCTCATAATTGTGAGCTGTGGTAACAGGTGCGACACTATCCTCTGTTACCTGTTTAAGAACTCCAGCTCTGACACCACTGAAAACATTTATATCACACTTTAAATCGAAAGCCCCCAGACTGATATTTATGCTCAGCTACCGCACAGCCGTGTAATGTCCCCAATGATCCAACAACCCCCTTGATGCCAGCTCCCAAAGGCTGCCATATCCAAACACCAACATGCACAAGGAAAGGAAAAAACTAGAGATTACTACAATTAGAGCAAGTGCAAAAAGGCTGTTCAGTCCTGAGCACACTCCAACCAGGACATGGTGTACACTCTACCTCCCCTGTTTTAATGAGAAGATGAGAGGGGGAGAAAAAATGATAGGAGCTAATAGAGTGAAATGATAAAGAAGTAAAGGAAGGCAGAGTCTGGGAGGGACGGCTTTCTGGACTTGGAATCACCCTTTACAGGATAGACTGTACACTCCACCTCCACTTACACTTCTTTTTCTCATCACAGAGGAAAGAACAGAAGACAGAGAAAATAGGGGTAGACTCTGTGAATGTTGGAGAGATAAGCAGACACAGGGTGAGAAACCTGTTTGGACTGGTGCTCACTCTTTCCAAGTTAGACTGTACACTCCACCTCCACTAACACTCCTTTTTGTCACCACAGAGGAAAGAACAGAAGACAGAGAAAATAGGGTAGACTCTGTGGATGTAAGAGAGACAAGCAGACACAGGGTGAGAAAACTGTTTGGACCGGTTCTCAATCTTTCTAAGTTAGGCTGTATGCTCCACCTTCCTTCACAAGTGTTTTTTTTTATTTTGAAGAAAGAAGAAAGAAAACAAAGAAATAGAGTAGAGTTTGTAAATAAATGTAAAAGAGAATATAAGAAGGGAAATGCAAGGGCAAGAAGGGGCCATAGAGTCCCCCTGCAGATTTGGGTGTACACTCTACCTCCCCCGTCTTCCTCCCACTTAGATAAGCGTAAAGACACAAGACAAGATAGACATGTTGCGAAGAGGTTTTTATGTTTTGTTTTTTTTTTTGCAGTTGAACTTTTCCTTTTTAGTTCTAAAATATATGAATTAATACTTTTGAGCCCGTTTATAATACAGATCCACATACTCACATATACAAGAGGTACGACACAGGATAAGGGCCACATTAGGGGGAAAAAATATAAGACTTGGGGGATCAAGTTGCGAATTTACAAGAAACAGGTCCTAATTTTAAGGGAATTAATTTGTGTGTAAAAAAAAATAGTACTTTTTGGTGAACATACTTCAAATTTACAAGATTATGGTTGTAAATTTACAATACAGAAGCTGCACTTTTAAGAGGTTGAGGTCATAAATTTACAAAGATAAAATAAAATCTATAGGACAGAGGTCGCCTACTCTGTAAGTAGGCTACAAGAACATGTAGGGTAAAATCAGGGGAACAGCCAGCCACCTGCACTACAATAAGGAATGTGGATTATCTGCTGAAGTTAAAGACAACAGCTGAGGACAAACACCGGCTCCAGAAGTCAGTACAGACTGCTTATTAACCCGTCCTTTCTCACAACAGACTCGGTAATCCGGTTATTTATGAAACCCATGATGAAAGTATAATATTTTGTCATACATAAGCACTTGATCCTTAAATTTGTTTGTCTTGAGACTCTTAGATCTTTATGACTTTACATTCCTTCTTACCATTTATAATGCAAACTTACTAATCGACTGTCTGTGTGACATTATTTAGCAGATCAGAGCAGGCTAGTGTTGCTGGGGCTGCTCAGTTAAGATCATAATCATGAATACTTTTATCGATACTGATATCACTGTAATTAAAAAACCATGCAATAAACATCCAACAAACACACTCTAAGATCTAAGGGAGATATTTCAAGTGAATATTTTCCAGCCGAGGGGGAAACATGTTTAGATAAATATTTAATTTGAAATGACTTTTTCCTGCTGATACTTTCTTTATTTGTGGTGAAATAGGCAGAATAATATCCAATGTGCATCGCATCTTTAATCGTCTTTCTGCACATAATTTCTTACATGTATTATTGATGTTATGTAGTTCCACATGCATGGTAACACAAACTGTGCTCATCCTACATTGAAGCTCCTGACTTAATTCAAGCTCCTTTGCCCACGCGCTCACGCACGGGATGATAGTTGAGTGCTACAGAATCAGGAGGATATTGGTCACTAGGGCAACCATGACACACAGTGACTAAGTGTGTATGTGTGTGTAGGTGCAGTATGATCACATAACTGGACTGTAAACGGTCGTTAATTATATCTGGGACGGATTAACCTGGCTAATCACTCACACACACACACACTCACACACACAACGAGCTAATCTGGGCTAATCTAGTACACCAGCTGGCTCGAGTCCAACATGTGTGTGCATGCGTGTGTGTTTGTGTGTTTCACCCTGTCTGCCTGCAGCTAAACATCATCCCTCAGTCTGATGAGTCGTTCACTCTGGTTTGTAGTGTGTGTGTTTGTGTGTGTGTGTGTGACTTGCTGAGGCTTGCAGGGCTCCATTCATTCAGCAGCAGCTCTGACAGTCAAAATAGTTACAGTATTTGTGTATGGATGGAAACTTAAGCTCATTAAAAATCTGCAGCAGATGAAAATAAAACTATAAATCCTCCAGTCGGCCTCTCTTTCTCCTCATATAATCTGATAACAGGATGAATAAGTTATTATCTCTAATTCATTAGTTCCCTCTAAAAACACTTTCCGCTGCTTGATGATGTTATTCTTGGCGACGAGGGTGTATTGGTCTTGTGTTGGTACCTCTTTTAGTTCAGGCTGTATTTTAGCAAAAGAAGGAGATTACACAATGAGCTCTGTGCGGCAGTGTGAGGTGAAAATCATTGGTAGAGTTATGTATGGTTAAGGTGCAGTCAATAATTAATGACCCTGTGTCCAAATCCTGAATACCCAAACACTTTAGGCAACTTTTCAGGGTAAATATTAGCTTCAATTTGAGTTGAGTCATGGAGTTAACCTTTGGAAACCCAGAGAATCATGTCGGAGCGCTAAATTTATTTTTTAGTGAGTAAATTCTGTCAGTAATGGATGGTGTTGTCAGGATCTGGTCAAATCTCCAACTGCAGTAAATTCAGAAACTAAAATTCACTCCGTCATCCTGATATATAAATCCTGTTCACTCTCTGCCTCTCTCTCTCTCTCAGGTCAGCAGCTGTGGGTGTTAGCCCTCGGTCTCAGCCCTCGCAATCACACCATCGGCATCCCAGAGTTCAAATATGTGGGTAACATGCACGGAAACGAGGTGAGAGAACACACACATTCACACACATTTGAACCCACGCTCACGCACACAACGGGACTCCTCCCTTTAAACAGGAAGTGGGACTAAAAAGAGACTAAAGAGATCAACAAAAGGCATTCAGAGTCAAACACACTCTGCGCACACTTTTGTATTCAGCTGACAGCAGGCTGTATAAGTGTGTGTGTAGATTTGTGTAGTTCCAGTTGCAAACATTGAGTCAACATTGAAATATTTGACCTTATTGATAAACAAATCATTGCAAACTGCAGCAATAACCAACAGAAGGGAATCAGTGGGGACAGTTGATTGTAGTTTACATGTATTGTGTTGGAGAGATAAACCTTAGTCTGAGTTAAAAATCGATGGTGTTTAAATCTGATTTCAAGAGGACAAATTCGCTGCATCATCTCTTTCAAGAAGTGTTTGGAAATGATATAATTTAGTCTCTGATTGATAGATCTAATAATGCTCAAGAGGAGCTGTTTTCCAGCTCCAAAACAGCTAAAAATGTGCTTTACATGGAAAAAAAATCAATGTCATCTGCTCTTGCACTAACAGCGCATCACAGCCTTGCATTGATTTCTTTAAAGCCATGGTTGATGATTGGAGAAGAAGTTAATAAAAAAACTGAGCCACTGAGGCAGATTTGAAAAAAAACATCCCCCCACACACAAACCTCTGCCCCCTGTGCTCCATGCTAACTCCCCCCCAAACCTGTATCACCCTCCCTACGACAGACCCCCTCTGGCAGAGCCGGCCGGCAGACTATCCAACGCTAGCTTCAAATAGGATTCACCATGTCGGATTGCTTGTGACTAGCGGCAGTAAACACCAGCTCTGTTCGCGAGCACCGTCTGCAGCTGCCTGGACAGCTACCGTGTTGACATTACAGAGACTAATAAGACTTCTTAATAAGAGTAATCGTGGCGGAGCTTTCTCCACCGCTCGAAGAATGACCCGATGTTTATTCGAGTTAGATTCCTCACTTGGTCACATTTCCTCTTCGTCTCTGCCCTTTCTTCTGTCAGCTTGCGTTTTCTTCCCACTTTGGCGGTTGGGCAAGCAGAGATCGCACTATAGGACCATGATCTCCATATGAACGAGGTTCATAATAATTACCAATCTCTCCAATCGTCAACCATGCCTTTCAAATGAGATATATTTCATTGTCTTAAAGGTAGATAAGTTACTTTATTGTTAACAGACTGATGATAATTGATAAAGAAATGGTTACTTAAACTGGTTACTCTTACACTTCAGACCCCATTATGCACATTCCAGCTCTCTGATTGGTCAGTTTTAATTTGACCTTTTTTCCTTGATTCAACCCTCAGCTCCGTTTGGTGTTAAAGGCTTTGTGTATTTGCTAAGAGTTAGCATGCTATTCACTGTAAGATGTTGCACATGGTAAACATCCAGGTCAGAATGGATTGCACCTGTGCTGATATGTAGGGCACATCTGGATGCCCATCTGGGACTCTACTAACCATACCCCCAGTTCACAAAAAGCCCCCACATGGGATAACCCAGATTGGGTGATGGAGGGAAGTCCCTTGATGGGTTGCATACAGGGTTCGTAATGTACATCAGTAAAGCTTTATTTTTGTGGTGCATTCAAAGCACTGTGAAGCAATAATTAAAACATGAATAAAAACAAACTAAATGTTTCAACGCAGCCCCATTGGGACCCATTCAATACGAATGTCAACTGATATCCCCATTTCTAGCCCATCAATGTTCTTCGCTGTTGCCCATTTGGGGCACAACAACAGTCCTGTTCAAAGCTCATTTAAGCCTATGCATAGATGAAGTCCACCCAACACACACACACACACACACACACACTAATGAACCAAATATTTGGGGTCTGGTTCCCCTCCACAGCTCCTCTGAGGATGACATTATCAACTAAAACCTTAATGAACCATTGTGAGAAACCTTAGCACGATGCAACCCAACTTTTTTAAAGTTTAAACAATCCTTGGTGGTGCCCTGGACATGAACTTGCCCCAGTCTTGCTTCCGGTTCTATCTTTGGTGCTTCCTTCCCTGCTGGATTTAAATTGGCCATCCTCAGTTTCTCATTAAACTCCCTGCGGATTGAGCTGCTGCCTCCCCAAACGTCGATGTTTGGTGTCTAAACTGGTGTCAGAACTTTGAACTTGTCACTTCCTGTAGCACTTCATCAGAGGGATTGGGAACGGATGATACAAAGTGAAATTTGGCTGCTAATGTGGGATCTTTGTTTGTTTGTTTGGACTCCTGCTGGATTCCTCAGACTGTGCAGAAGCTTTTCTTTCTTAAGGATAACTGAGGGGAGGAGGATTTCTTTTGTTCCAGGAAGTAACAGTCAAGCTCTGCTGGTCTTGTGCTGCAAATTCAGTATTCGTGGTGTTATTAGTGATGACACAAAGACGCAAAAGCGACAAATGGATGATTCTGAGATCTGTTAAAGGGGAAAGAAAAGCCGCAGACGCGTGAAACAGTCCATAAAACATCACACAAACTGTAATCTAAAATAAATCACATAATATAAACAGATGGATTAGGAACAAAGCAGGGAGAACTGTGCAAAGGAAACTCTCAGCGACCTCTGACCAGCATCTGGTTACCGTGGCAACTGCCTACAACAGCTGACCGCACACTGCATATGTGTGTGTGTGTGAAAGTAAGTGGAAATGTCCTTAAATAGACAAGTCACGCCCCGACACACACACACACTTACACACACACCCAGCAAACAGAGTCAGTGGAGTGTGTCGGGTCAGAGGAAACTTCTAGAAAAAGGCCTTTCATAGAGTTCACACACACACACACACACACACACACACACACACACCCACACACACTTAAACACACAGACACTCTAACAGCAGGAATGGAGCCTCGCTGAGAAGTTTGCTGTCATATAATTGAATATTTGATCATCTTTGGACGATTATCAGGACGGATATTAGCATTTGGCCGATAATCAGAATCAACTTTTTGTTCTACAGAAAGCTGTTAAAAATTTTGCCACTAGAAAGAGTGTTAACTGTGGCTCCTCTGCCAGTGTGTCCTCCACTCTTTTCCACCGGTGTGGTCCTGGTGCTGGTTCAGATCGTGAACTGCCCACAGGCAAGGGCTCCAAAAGAGCCATGTCATCATGTCACTGCATACGTATCTAAGTACCTATCTTATTCCTACATACTTGCTGCAGAATTTAAAACAAAAATAACCATAAGAGTCTGAATTTAAGACAAACTAAGACTGATTTGCGCGAAATGGATTGCTTAAATGTTTTTGCAGTCTGTGAATTTGCTGTCAGAGTTTTAGGCGTGAGTTTGTTTGGACAAAAACTTTACAAATCACCTGGTGTTACTGTGGTACGTTCGTTTGTTTATTTGTTTTTATAACCTTGTCGTTTCAGTATCGATGGACTGGCAAAACAGGTATATTGTTTTGGTTGTTGCCAGTGTTTTTTCAGTGTGACTTGTTGTATAACCAAAGAAGTTGCACGTTAGGTACAGTGCTCACGACTGGTATTGCAGATTTACACAGCTGTCTAAACTAAAAGCTATTATAGTGAACAGTTTAGAAAGTAATCCAGTAGAATAATTACCAAGGGACAAGAAAAGTCTACTCAGAGCGTACAGCATTCAGTATTTAAACAATATTTAAACATAGTGGTTACCCAAGTAATTACTCTTTTATGGCCATCGTTTTAACCCCCAAAGGATGTGCAAACTAACTGAAGGAGTCATTTATGTAAGCACTTATTGTGAATAAAATAAACTGGACACCATCTGAAGGCAGCATTAAGTAATTTGAGCTGCGTGCTGCCTTTATCGTGGTCAAAATATCCAAATAACTGCAGGATAGATTGCTACATAGTGAGTGTGGATGGTTATAGGAAGTTGAACCCAACTACTCCAGTGAGTCCCAGTCTCTTTTGTTTGCCAACATGACCTGGTCAAAGGTTTCATTCTCTCATTGACACGAACTGAACTGGAAATTCAACATGCATTGTTTCTAGAGGGTGGATCTGGTGAAGGTTGGTACCAGATTAATACTAATCATATTATGACTGTAATGTTTCCTTGTCCACATACTTTTAACCGTTTGGTGAGTTCGTGGGGCACGCCTGTTTCCTCCTACGTGAACTCTTGTACATTTGTTGGTGAAAACAGCCCAACGTACAGTCCAAAAATAAAAAAGTGTGTGCATGCTTTTGGATGACACGCCTAGCTTCTGTATCCAGCTCCAAATAGGAAACCGTGCTGATTGGCAAAAAAGCAACACAGGAAACAAACAAGATGCACTGTGTTGCAGAAATCAAACCGCTAGAGGTAAAGAAAGAGATCAGATTGGGTGAGGCCGCATCTGTCATGATTGCTCAGATGAGGAAACATTAATTTGACTCAGACAGGATTGCGTTCAACTGGTATCGGGAATGCAGTTTGGCTTGTTGGGGAAAAAAATTACCTGAGCTTTCATGTGTTTGTCAGCTGATATCACTGATCTAGAGTTCGCTTGGTGCTGCCAACTCAAACAGATGTCTTTCAGGACTGTTTAAACAACACTGATTTGAATTTAAAAAGAGACACTGCTCGTTCCTTTCACACATTAAGCAAACAGTCAGACTGCTAATTTTAACCTTTCTGTAATCAGCTCACATCACTACCGCAGCTCCTCCAACACGCTTGGATTCACTCAGAGGTCTGTTGGTGATGTTATCTGCTCTGGAGCTATGTGGAGTTATCAAGCTAATTTGCATTTTACTCAGCTCTCAATGCATATTTGTAGCCATGACGATGCCCAATGGAAGTTCCAGCCACTGCTTCACTTTGGAAATTATATCTATTAGAAAGATTGCCATGAATTTTGACAGAAATTCAGGATTTCTGGAAAATAAATCCTAAAAATTAATACTGATTGATTATGCAGCTCAACAACAGGTTTCACATTCCTTGTTTTGCGTCAAATGTCTCTGCAGCTTTTAGATGGAAAACCATGAAATTTTGTCCGGAAACAAAAGGTCCCTAGAAGTTACACCGTTGTGATTTGGCACCACACTAGGATTCATATTTGTGGCTCTGAGTAAAACAGAATGTCATAGATACATGCATGATCACAAGAGGATGACTACTGTGAAGTTATCACTTGAATTATCTTAATATACTCATAAACAGTCACGGTCCCAAGAGGATAAATCATCAAGAGGTTTTCCTGACCTTAGCTGTCACAAAAAAAAATCAATAATTTTATTTGTCATTTGTTGTTTTGAGCAAAATGTCTCTAGAGCATTAGATGGACCCAATTCTATGCTATGGGGCACTGATATTGATGTCCCCAGAGGATAGATCCTAATGACTTGATCCTGTCTTCTTATTTAGCACCACAGGAAGGTTCACACTTGTGGTTCTGAGTAAAATTATTTTTTAAAGTGACTTTCATGATCACCAGATGACTAAAAAACTGAGGCTATCTCAACCTTATCATATGTAAGTAATATATAGACAGTCATGGTCTCAAGAGGATGAATCATCGAGACTATATGGACATTTACTGTTGTACCAAATCTATAATTGTGGTTGTTTTGGGTTGAAAAGTCTTCAAACTATTTTATTTTATAGTAGCAGTAAATTGTCTTCAAAAGTGTTTAGTGGGTTGCCATGACATGCTGCACTGGCATTCATGTTCACCTGAAGATGGATACTTTTACCGTGACTATAACACTACAAATGAGGTCCGTACTGTATGTTGTTTGGATGAATATATCTCAAAAACAATTTGATAGATTTTTGTGATATTCATGATCTCCTGAGGAATTTAATGACCTGATACCAGCTCTCCTTTTTGCACAACAGAGGATTTATAATTGTTTTATTTGGTGAAATATCTCAAAAGCTACAGTGCAGTTTATACACTATCATTCATGGTCCTCAGATGATGAACACTCTTGACTTGATTCCAACTATTCTTGGTTCGTTACAGTTAATATTGAGGTTGTGAGTAGATCGATTTTGGGTGTGATTGCAAGGTTTGTTTCCTGGTAATCATAGTCCCTGGAGGATGAACGACATCTCGATCCTGTTTTTCCCTGGTCTCAGCACAGTGGGTCCACAGTTTTGGTTTGGAACGATATATTTTCAGAAAAATGACTTGCAGTAAAACTTTGGGTTGACGTTCCTGAATCCTCAGAGGATCCCACTTTTTCCTGTTGTGCCATGATAAGGTACATAATTTGTTTTAAATTGGGAAATGGGTGGTCATTGGTTTTACTTTTTACAATCCTCATGACCTGGTCCTGGTTTTCTGTTGTCTTTGAGTGACGTTCAACCTGTGGTTTTCATTGTCTTTTAACTCTGGATGGATTGTCATGAAATTTGGCACAAAAACATGAGCATAAATTCCCGAACATGGGCGATGTTGATTTGGGTTTTGTAGAATTGATGATATAAAGAAAAATAAAACATCAGGAGGTTCATCATCAGGATGTTCATTATCAGAAGGTTCAGGTCACAAGTTTAGGAGTACAAATCATGTATTGTGCAGTGATGGCTGAAGAGAGAAGAGAGGGAGGCAGTTAAGACAAGTATTGGAAGAAAACAGAATGATGGCCTGAGGCTAAGCTAGTCCTGACGTGTGTAGAGCAGCTGTATACACACACCTTTCCCACCCTTCTCTCTTTCTCCCCCCTGAGGCTCTCATTCATTCACAAAGTTTTTTTTTTTTTTTACTCTCTCCCCGACCATCCAGTCAGCCTGTCTCCCTCAGAAAAACAGACTCTGACTCGTCTCTGGATCACATTTGTATTTCTCGCTGACTCACAACATCACTTCCTCCCCCGCTGTTCTCTATCATGAGGGAACATGCCGGCCTATCGAGCCAAGCCATGTAGCTAAAGATCACATAAGTGTTGAAAATGACTAACTGTGACACTTGGAATCAAGGGTTAGAGGTAGTTATGGTTTCTGTTCAGTGTCCAGCACCAAATCCCATTCAACTTTTGACCAATTAAATTGTTTGAACACCTCAATAATCCTTTTATACTGTCTCATTTATAACCACAGATCGTATTCGGTTTACACACTGGGTATCATTTTTTAATAACTTAAATTTCATTCTGTTTTTAGGCTCTCGGGCGGGTGGTGCTACTACAGCTCATTGACGACCTGGTGCAAGGTTTCCGTAACAAGGAATTGTGGTCATTGCAGTTACTGAACAGCACGCGCATCCACATCCTCCCGACCATGAACCCCGACGGCTACGATTCATCCAACACAGACTGCACATATAGCACTGGCAGGTACTAGTACACACTTTAGCAAGCTGTTATTCAGTAATTTGGCAAGTGTGTCGTATGTGTTGTCACTGATGTCTGCTCTATTTCGTACCATCTTTGCTGCTGCTCTCGCTGCCTAAAATTTTCATAATATTTTTCCATGTTTGAGGGAAAGCAGGTGTTCTCCTTGCCTCAGGCTTTGGCATTCCACCTAACCGAGTGAAAGGGCAGGAGACTCTTAGAACAGAGCCATACAACTAAGAGGCCATACCACTAGTATTACATTATTATGTAATGTAATATTGCGTGTGAGAGAGCCAGCCTATAGTGGATGGACAGTTGAGGAAACTGCGGTTTTTTACACTTCTGCATTTCAGTATCTGTGATTGCTGCTTGGTTAAGAGTCTGGTGCGAACATTTGTTATGCATGAGCAGTTTGAAAGACAGCTGGGTTTGCTGTACTGCAGCTGTTTTACAGGTGGTTGAACTATGGCTTTGTCTCCACCTCTTTTCTAACTTTTAAATTAGATTCCAAATTTCCTTTTCTGAAAAAAGAGAAATTTCACCACCATGTTTCACAGCATCTATGGTGCAAATAGCAGCCTTTTTGTTTCTGCATAACTTCATACCTTCAAGACTGCTCTAAGGTATTTTAGAAGGATTTAAATTACCGATGTAGGTCTGCTACTCTCTGATTATCAAAATGTTATGAAAGCACTTTGCTTTGGAGGACAGGAGCTTACCCTGTTTCTAGAATAACAGAAGATAATAACCAAAGCTAAGATCCTTTATCTTTATGAAAAAATTGATAAAAAGGACACATCACGCTGTTGTGGCTTAAAATGGTCGAAAAAGGTCCAAATGGAAGTATAAATGTATAACAAGTGGAACTTATGGGTAAATTTGGATGCATTTGGACCAAAAACCTAAGGTTACATATATTTTTCTAATTCAAATAATGAGTCTAAAGCGTTAAAACTGCATAGCTTTGGGTCATGTGACTACTCTATAATCTAAAAATATCAGTTTTATCAGCTTTAGGAGCCTCTTTATGGTTTAAAAACAGCGTCATTGCCTTTACTGTCATGTCATGAGTGTTTCAAACAGGGTTAAAACCCATGCATGTGTCTGTGTGACCGTGTGTGCCAGCTCAAATGTCAAAACCCTAAAGACTTGAGACGACACACACACACACATTCACGCACACACATGTAGTCAACATGTTGACTATAGACTAAACTATGCGACGCTCCAACGCCCAAAACACTCTGATAGGCAGGAACCCAGACACGCTGCAGATCTGTATCTCACACACACACACATACACACACAGACATAGATTACTGTCACAGTAAAAGCCTTTAAGTATCCAATTATAAATGTTTTGACTTCTGCTAATGTACCGTATATGAGTGTTTTTTAATGTCATTGTGGGGACCTTAATCTGTTCACACACGCTCATTATCAGGACTCAAACCATGATGGTCCAGACAGGGTTTTAAACACTGCAGTTAAGGGTGTAGATCAGAGTTATGTTAAAGTTAAGCATGTTTGTCTTTGAGGTCGACCCTTTCCACACCGTATAAGGAAACATTCCCGTCTCAGCCAATAAGATAAGATTATATCTCAAGTTTGGGATAGAAATAAATCATTTTATCTTAATTTTAGATTTACTTTGACTTTAGTTTACATTTGTCTTTATGTAGATACAATCTCTTGATCCTCAGGCTAAAGTACATAAGCTGAATTTGTGTTTGCTTTGTAAAAAATAAGATCTGTTAGGTCTGTTTCATAACTCCTAAAAAAACCCTCACAGGTGCTTTAAATTTAAATGCCTGCATGTCTCAAAAAGTTGGGAAAGGTGGGATAGGGAGGCAGCAAAACACAACAAGTTGTGTAACAGAGAGCCGCGGGTACATCTACAAACTAATGAGGTTAATTTCCAACAGGTTGGTAACATGACTGGATATAAAAAGGACACTCAGAGAGGCTGAACTAAGTTACTAAAAAATTGTGGATTTCATCATCTCCAGTACATATTATCATGAAAAGATTCAATCGGATTACTGGATGACACCATTGTATTAAAAACAGGCAATACTCTGTCATGGAAATCACTGCATGGGCTCAAAATAACATCTTAGTCTGTGAACACAGTTAGTTTCTGTATCCAGAAATGCAGGTTTGGCTGAATGGTTACATTTCATGACACGTTTACTGTTATCCTCAAAGTCAGAGTCAAAGTCTCATCCCACACCACTCTGATCAAATCTCATAGTGTCAAAGTTACTATGTGCTTATGCTGGTGACCTGTGATGTCAGCCGGCCATGTGATCGTACGCATCTTAAAGCCCCTCGCTCCCCTTGGTTGTTCTCTGCTAAGGTCAACCCTCTCTTAACTGTCCTCTGTGGAGTTAAATGGAATTAAGTGTCTTCTTCATAAATAAAGACACACTCACTTCCTAGAAGGAGGTCACATGATCATGGGAAACTGTTTGTTAACATAAGTGCCTGGCCCGTGGGAGCCTCGGTAGCAGCTGTTGTTTCTCTCAGACTGACTTAATACTTTTTCCATGTGTCTTATATGAAATGTCTAAAAAAAAAAAAAAAGTCTCAAGAGATGCTTTCAGATTGACAGCCTAAAAACCAGAGAAATACCTAGAAGTTGAGAGATATATTGTTTATTCGATCAAATATACATAGTCGCCAAAAAGTAACCAAAGTTCCAAAGTCTGACGTGAATACGTAACAAATCATTAATACTGAAACAAAGACCTTATATATACATCTATACCTATATACACACACAAATATGCACTTTATATATACCTAGAAAACTTCAAATCTCTCATTTGTACCATACCCATGTACAATATAATAAGTGTGGCAAAACGAAAATCACTTAAGTATTTTTCAATCATATTTTGCTTCAATTTACTTTTTAAACCTAAAGTTAAAAACATACTGTAGATCAGTTGAAGTAGGACTTTGCTATGTTGACCAAAAAACAGCCTTGGAGTTACTCATTTCCCAGTCAAACTGTTAATGGTTTTCCTCCATCCTCTTGTCCACTGCAGGTTTAACGCTAACGGCATAGATCTGAACAGGAACTTCCCGGATGCTTTTGCTGGTCTAAGAAGGAAGCAGCCGGTGGACGAGGAGAAGAGGGAAGCAGAGGTTGGTTCAAGTTCAAGACTATTTAAAAAAAAAAATCCTCATATAAACAAAGACCACTTCTGCTTAAACATAGTGTCGTCATGGTTGTACACCAAACAATAGAAAAATATTGATAATGAAACTGGTTGACTGTCTGCTGCTGGTAAGTGGCATTAGGACAGTTCAAGTAGTGACTGAGGCATGGGCAGTTTGTGTGAATATGATCATATAGAGTTGAGCTACTACAGTTTGAAATATCATAGTGTTAAATCATGGCAAAATTAAAATTCACCACACAACCATGACCATGACCGCTGATGAAAAATTTTTAGATTTTAGCTCACATCAAGACCAAAATCTCAAGGAAATGTTTGCAGAGTTTCAGGCAGATACATCCACCGTGCTTGAAGATACAGCCTATAGAGTGAAAGCATGATATTTCGTAAATGGATGAGTTGGCTAAAATTGCCACATTTTATTTTCAAAGAGTTTCAGTATGACCCAGAAGTTTTCAGACTTCTTAGGGGATTTTATAACCATATGATATTGATAAATAAGTTTTTTTTTTTGCCTTATTTTTTGAGAAGTATTAAATAATGTGTTTTCAGGTGAGAGCTGTGATGGCCTGGTTGGAAATGGAGAATTTTGTCCTCTCTGCTAACCTCCATGGAGGAGCTCTGGTGGCCAGTTATCCTTATGACAACAGCAACGGAGGTAAACAAATACTGCAATACTGTGTCATTTGGAAATAAAGGGAAAAAAATAGATTAGATGTTCTGAAAAAGAAAGTATACGCTCAAAATAACTCCGTGTAGGGTTGCATTGTTTTAGAGTGATGCTCCAGTGACCATCCAGACAGAAAATATCATCTAACATCAAAGTTTCTCGCAAAAGTCAACCAGGTGTGCCTGGATAAACTCGAATAGTTTTTGAAGCTGTGTAGTTTGACTCTGTTCTGTTTGGTTCAGAGCACAGAGCAGAGTCAGAAGACATGACTCAAAAGTTTCTCAGACTATAACTTTCTAAAACAATACGTCCTTGAAACAGAGACGAAAGTAGGTGGTCCACAACAGCCCAGAGACAGTGTTTGGTTTTCAAAGATTAGATTATGTAAAAGTACAAAGCAGAGACATTAACAGGAAACAGCCTCTGTACCACCAGCATCAGACTCAGGACTGTGACATTGTTGAACAGCGGAGGATAAATACACAAATACAGCTGAGCACTTTGCCCACACACTGCAGTCAGAGAGGCTTTTTGAGGGGTCGAAATCCCATTTTTATGCCTTTATAAAACTCTAAATTTGATCTGAAACAGCCCTGAAGCACATCTTCAATATTATTTTTACTGGTGAGTGTGTGTATTTCTACTTAATCAGACACTCAAAGGCCCTCAGCATCAGTTATTTCTCGACACATTCTCCACAGTCTTGCTCATGACTGCGGTGAAGACAGAAAATATTTCGTTTTCTTCAAGCACACTGTATCTAAACAGAGCAGAGGCAGCCTCTAGTGCTTGATGCTTTCTGGCATTCTGGACCAGAGTTGAGCTTAGGCCACCAACAAACCATCACAGAATGTGCATGCACATGAAACCAGAGATTGTAAGCTTAAAGATAGTAGCGTATAGGGTGAGAGAAACACAAGCTAACAGGTGTCAGATGAAGTCCAGTAAATCACTTGCGCTGTGATAGCCAAGAAGCATGGAGGTCCCCTGATGGAGTATGTCAGTTATGGACCGGCAGAGGGTCATTCATCTGGAAAATGGAAGAAAAACTGAACTTGACAGTATGCAGCTACTCTGAGTTATACAATCTGCTGTTAAACCACAAATAAAAGCAGATCTTTGAACTTTACGCCACTTATGTGTACATTTAGAGGCTTGAAAACTACACAAAACATGACTCTGGTTTTCTCCGTTACTTGCAGGTGGTGAGCTAGTTAGCGGGGCCAGCGTCAGCCCTGATAATGATGTGTTTGTTCACCTGGCCAAGGTGTACTCCTACAACCACGGCTCCATGCATAAAGGTGACCGGTGCTCTGACAGCAGGCCATTCCTGGATGGGATTACCAACGGATACCAGTGGTACCCTCTGGAAGGTAGTATCAAATACAATATATAGCAGATTCATCCAACACAAGACACTGAAGGGAAAGTTAAATTTTAAACCTTCATCTTTTATAGCGCAATATAAATGACTCTTCACATCCAGCTGTAGCTCTTAACGCCTGCGTTTGACATGCGTTAAAAATGTTCTTCCGAGAAAGACTTCACTGGAAACCTGCAGAGGAGGAAATGGAAACATCCTCCTCTGGTTTCCTGCTGCAGAAACTTGATCAGTGCAACTCGATCACCTAAACTTTACCTGAGAGAACTGTGCAATGCAACAATGTTTACCTGGGAAATGTGTCCACTGATTTACATAGATCCAAGTCTAATTATAGGATCGTGTAAAATGAATCATCATGATTGACAGGGATAACTTTTTTCCATAACCCCCAAAAATGTGTGTTTTCAGGTGGGATGCAGGACTATAACTATGTGTGGGCTCAGTGTCTGGAGTTGACTCTGGAGATCTCCTGTTGTAAGTTCCCTCCGGTCAAAGATCTTCCTGGTATGTGGACGGAGAACAAGAAGGCTCTGCTGGCCTTCATCAAGCAGGTCCATCTGGGTCAGTACATCTGTCCATCTGTCAACCTGCCTGTTTGTATACATGTATCTCTCTCTGTCTATAAACCTGCCTCTCTTTACTTGTCTGTGTTTATATCTCTATCTTTCTCTGTTCACTTGTTTGCTTGTTTTTGTGTGTCATCACCCATGCACTCGTCAACCTTTATCTTAACCTGCCAACACTGAGGATCAATAATTGCTAATCTCCTGTTTGCACACAGGTGTCAAAGGTCAGGTGCTCAATGGCTCAGGCGTTCCAGTCCAGAATGCAGAGGTGGAGGTCAAAGGTCGCAAGAATCTGTGTCCATTCAGGACGGACAAAAACGGAGAGTACTACAGACTGCTGCTGCCGGGGAGTTACACTTTTACGGTAAACCACAGAGAAGTACAGCATCCTCTAGTGGTTGAATATAGGACTTCAACTGCCAAACAAAGTAGTTGATTTCACGTTATGCAGTTTGAAAAACGTGATAAAGCTGTTAAAGTTGCTTCAGTGGTACAACTATCTTTCAAAACATTGATTTATTCATCAGCCGCATTTTGGTATTTTTAGACGTTTGTTTTGCAGACTGTGGAAATATGAAGTTGATTAGAAAACTTTTAAATTAGCCTTTTTTGAGCCGTGAAAATGTATAAAATTCCCCCCTAAAAAATTAAAAAAGTATAACTGATAAAGGTCAAATACCTTAACACTGCTGATTTTTCCAAATAAAACAGTGCGTGGGAGTTTACTTTTTTTTTGTAATCTCCTCGCTCCTCTCCTTCTTGCCAGTCCTCTTTTAAATAGGTTTTCCAAGGTTCTCCTTTTTCACTCACGCATATGAAAAAATCGAACCTTCATTTTCCACTTGGGCTGCCACGACTGTAAAATTTAAGATTAACGTGCAGTTAGTAAGTGGAAAGAACACTTTTTATCTGTTCATCATGTGTTTTTCCCATGAGGCCAAAAAGTGGAGCATTCATTCTCTGCTTTTTTGTACCATCTGACACAAGTATGAAGTTTGTCCAGTTCTGCTAGCTGGCTTTACAAAGTTTTCTTTCCTGATTTTTGTATCTTTTAATAGAGCTCATCTCTTTTTAACACTGACTTTTTTCTGTTCCTTGATTGGCAGGTGAGGTACCCAGGCCATGAGGTTTTAACAAAGACTTTGAACATCCCACATGGCCCTGATCAATACTCCGCCTTGAAACATGACTTCCAGTTGCGACAGATGAACTCAGCAAACGGCAGCTCCACAGATACAGCCAAGCCCACCCAAGGCATCATTACTGCTACCGGGGTCTCCAATTTGACCTTGGCAGGAAGTGGAGCCATCAGCCGGCAAACATGGACAAGGATATGTTCAATACTTGTACTAGCGGGAGTTCTGCGATCCTTAATCAACTGATTTAGCCTTGAACCTGTAAGAAGAGATCACAGAACAAAGACATGCAGCCCATTAGAGATTCCCGAGGAGGCGTTTGAAGCCCAAGTTTTGGGTTTACCACTCGCCAACAGCTTTGTCACCACCAAAAAGTTCTTAAAGAGGGTAAGCAGGCTGGAGTTAGCCCTGGTGACCACAGTGAACTCTTGTCCATGTGGTTTAAAGACGGTGGTGCCTTCTCATCTGCAATCCTAATAGGAGGCATGTTGAAACTTGAACAAAACAGAGGTATTGTTGGTGTTATTAATAACACTTTATATTTTCCTACTATTCACATCATGAATATGTGCATCAAGACTGCTCCAGCTGGCAAGCTAAGATTTGGCATGTTGGCAACCAGGAGCAAGCTAGCTCATGTGCTAAGAGGTCAGCAATGGTAATAGAACAACTTTTGCATTTGTTCTATAAGTTTACTCAACAGGCTATTTAGCTCAAAAGACATGGCAAAAAAGAAAAAAAAACTGCAGTAGGCAAAGTTTGTGTAACATATAAAGTCGAATACACTTTTCACATGAGCACAAAAGTCCTGAAAATTTCCCAGAATTTTTCAGATAGAACTTTGTGTTACCACAGACTGCCAAATTTTTTACCCCAACTTCTTGTATTTTGGCCATAAATTGTGCGCACACAGTAGGTAAAAATCATGAAAATTTGCTAAATATATTTCTTTACCCAGACTTTTCCTGCCAGTCATGTTGTAAAATTTTAGATGGAAGTTGTGGTAAGGCAGCCTGTGAACACAGTAGGTAAAAGTCAGGGAAATTTTCAGTAAGCAGGTTTAGGTAGTTGTGTTTTTATGTGACCAAAATGCACTGTTTTGTGAAATTAATTTTTCTTTTTCTCTCATGCTCAAAAGTCCTGAGAAGTTCCCAGAATTTTTCAGGTAGAGCTTTGTGTGTGAACACACACTGCCAAAATGCTAAAGTGACAGGTAAAAGTCATGAAAAATTGCAGTAAGTGGATTTGGATGATGATCTTTTGATCATGTGATCAAACCCAACACTACCCGGACTTTCTCGTACCCCCCACCCCCCACCCCCCTAATGAAATTTCAGCAGGAAGTCATAGTGAGGTGATATGCAAGTACAAGTCAGGGAAATTCATCCTGGGTTATTGGATAGGGGTGATGACATTCTTAGCATGCAACCAGTGCGCACTGACTTCAGACCCTGTGGCTTTGTTTGCCATTTTGGATATTGTAAATTTCATGTGAAATTGCTACTCTGGAAGCTTCAATCAGTATGCCGTCCTGAAATTTTCTTGATTTGTTCAGGAGTGCATGTGTGAAAAGGCTTTAACTTTTTCGTATTTATAGGGAATCATTTGTTAAGGTGTAACATTGAACAAGTAAAAAAAAGGAAGAAACCAGCAAGCTCACACTTGTTGACAGCAGTAGCCATGATGAGGGGGTGAACAATTCAATGTTTGGTAAAGTCTGCCTCACAATGAATAGGAGAGCACACATCGAAGGACCAAAAAGCACATGGCTTCAAACGCTCAGCTGCCACTGACCAGTTATCCAGTGGTGACTTTTCTGTTGTCTTCATCTCAAAATCTAAAAAATCAGAAGGATTGAAGCAACCTACAGCTAGGTTTTAGTTTATTTCAAGAAGTTTTGTACCTGCCTTGAGGAGCTCTAAACCATTCCTCTTTTCTGCCTCTTGGAGCCTCATGGTTGCAACAAAACTTTATCACAATCAGAAATTTGAAGTGGAACTTTCCTGCAGACTCCATCAGAAATAAACAGTGTTTGATCTGTTTTGGAATCAGAGCGCTGACAGGAGGAAAAACTTTGCTGTTGCAGTACTTTACAAGCCTTTCCTACTGGGATGTTCCAGTATGGAAAGGAGAGGAGTTTGTGATAAGGTTGAGAAAGTGTGCTGGAGCTCCACCATGTAATCTTATATGTGAGGAGGAGCAGTTCAAAATAAGCACTTGGTGAGATGCCGTTTTTAGAAAGGGTTTATTTAAGCTGCAGAAAAGGACATTATAGTAATCAAGTGTTGAAATTTTTATGACATGAGCTGTGAAATTAAGCGCTCCTGGTGACGCCACACATTAATCATCTTAACTCAGTGAGGTGCGTTTGATTTATGATCCTGAAGTATCAAGTCATGAAACGTGTTCATGCAGGCATTCATTCTTTTTGCTTAGTTCATCTTTGGGAGTGTTTAACACCCCATTCTTGCCTACAGCAATGGTTCTCAATATGGGGTTTGAGGTCCTCCATTTGGTCTGAAAAATTAGTCTAAAGGGTCACAAACGATGCACTAAAAAGGAAATGAAAGCTACATATCATGACACTGATCAGAAACCCATAATACTTGAGCATCTGATTGATCCAAGTCTTGCTAATGTCTGCAATCTTCTTCCAAGATGGACTTTGTCCCCATTAAATGCTTTAAAAGCTAATGTCAAATAGAAATAAACAATTTAAAGCAGCTTTGAGTATCTTCCAGTTGGGACTTTGGTGTGTGGACTATGGACAAAATGTGTATGAAGTTTCATTTACAACACTGGTAATCTAGACTTGGTGATCCTTAACATTGGATCTGCATCGGGTTAATCCAATCCAGTTTGTCTTTGAAAAATAAGGACAAAAGTGAGATGGATGACCTGATAATGCATAGCGAAAGAGTGGGTTGTCAAATTTATATTACTCTTATCCTGGGGCAAACCTTTTAAACAAGCAGATAGAACACTCTGTTTTTAGATCCAGTGTGATCACATTACCCAAGGGCGTGATTTCTCTCATGTTCGTAGTAAGCATGCATAAATAAATTCATTACTGAATAATTCATTTGACAAAAGCAGAATTTGCTTGGGAATTATAACATTTGATTTGACACACTTGTTGTGGTGCTGATTAGCCAAAATGCTTAGAAATAGGTTTAAAATACAGGGGACAACTGAACTGATTTCATATCAACATTATACCTACCGCTTAAATCCCCAATTTTGGGATGTCTCTGGACTATTTTTGAAAACTCTGTGATATGTAGCCCCAAATAGGGTATTCCCTAAAATTAATTTTAGAAAGAAAAATTACAGTATTGACTAAAGTCCCTTATAATGAACTTTTTTTCATGTCATGTTGTTAGTTTGTCCCTAAAAACCCAGCATATACAGCCTCTAATAAAGGGTCTCAAGTAGCCATGGCTAAGTACAATGTGACCCTGGTTAAATTAAAAACCAGGTCAGCTTGGTGAGTGGGAATCAACCATCTGTAATGTGAGAAGGCTGGGCCCTTGGCCACAGCTAGCACAGTATCTATACACAGTATATATATATTTATACACAGTATTTAAATATAGACAGATGTGACAATTTGAGAGTAGGTCCAATAACACTATCACAGGTGTCATGTCTATTTTAACCCAAGTTCAGGGGTCAGTCCTCACTCAGCGGCCTTCTGCATTTTTTCCCTTTATATTTGCCAAATAATGTATCAGGTTTTTCTACTTTTGTATGGTTACTAAATGTTGATCTTTAGAATCATCTGTGCCATGTTGTAGTTGTGACTGCAGGTTTCAGTCATACTGATAACACCAGACCTCTTCAGCTTTTACAAATCCTGTTTTACGTTACATTGTAAAACATCATGGTGGATCAACTACTTGACTTGACCTAAACTGTCACTCCTCAGTTCGCCTGATTTTTGAAGGAAATCTCATTAAAACTTCAGAAAATGACAGAGTATTGTACAAATTGTGTTATTTACATTTGTTGACATTTTTTACTTATTAAAAATCTATAACATGTTACCTGAGTTATCAAAAAAGTGATTTTTTTTCCCCCTTGAATTTAGCTAGGCTCACTGTTTCAAATCCATTGTGTTAGGCTCACTGTTTCCAAGCTAGCCAGTTAGCTAGGCAAACTGGCTGGCTTGGTACATTTTATTCTTATAAAATAAATTTACTCTGACCAACATAGAGGGAAAAAAGGCTAGTCACATAGGTCGTATTAATGTTATGTGTCTTTCTTGCTAGCCACCAGTTATGCATCCTTGCTAGGTTAATTTAGTGCTAGCTGTAGCTACAGTTTCAGTGAAATGAGATAATTTACTTTCTTGACTTTAATATCTCGCACTAATTTATAATGTGGCTCATTTGTTCGTAAATGTTACAGAATGAGTAATTATCTCGATTTTAGTCATGCTATGTAGAAGTCATTCTCCAAGCTAGCTGTCAGCTATAATACCATATGATTAATTGCACATTCATCATTGATAGCTTTTTATGAACGACAGTCATGCTAGTTTTGCGCTTCTGCGACAGGTTGACTTATTTGCTGGTGACAGTTGAGTTTGTAGGATGTTATACACAGCATTTAGTCACAATTTCCACCATCACTATCCAGAATGGAGAAGAAACAATACTTCCTAGCTCTGTGGATCAACTAAACAGCTCTTAACCGGGTTAGCAGTCAGGTGAACATATTGCTACAATTTAATGCTAAAGCCTTATGGTTAATGTGGTGTCCTTTTCAATTTAAATTTCACTCTCTGTGGTCAGTTGACTATGAAAGTATTTTAAATATAAAATATGACCCCATATTCATGACAACACTGCCACCCTGTGTTCTTTCTACATAACTGAAGCTTGGCTTCATGATTTCTTCAGTCTCTTCTTCACTTGTCTTTTTATTACTATATTATGTTAAGCAAATGTTGGATCAGAAAAAAATTCACTTTCTTCTTTTCCATTTCTATAAATTTAAACTTAAAGATGAGGAGATAAATCATAAATAGATCATAAATGTTCTTCCTTGAGCTGCTTCCTCCCGCTGCAGTTGATGGACCCGCCCTGGAAGAGAGTAGGTGAGTTGTGTTTAGTCTCTTTACTAAAGAAATTGTGCAAAGTTAAAAAGATGTTTGGTGGCTAGTGCTGGGACCCTATATGTACTGTTGATGAAGTTAGGTGCTGTTCTGAGCATTATTTGTGGCTATAGAGTGGCTTTTTAACCGAGCGCGTGGCTCTCTGTATTGCTATCTGCGGTCGTTACTTAAGTTGGTATAACTAGGGAAGCAACTGGTCGGCAACATTCATCTCTTGACGAGTGTCTAACTCGGTGTTACAGTGTGTTTGACCATAACTTAATTTTACACTGGAACTTCCTTTTAACTGGGAAAGACATTCGAACTTTACGTTACATCAATACATGAGATGTTAGCAAAATTATGGCTTTAAAAGACTCAAAATTCCAAATCATTACGTCCAAATCAAATCAGTGAAAAAACAACTGAAATAATTCATTTTAATTAATATTTACACGATTAATGACAAAGAAAAATCATTCAGTTTGCCAGCAAAACTACTTCATGGTATCAAAAGAATGCATTATGTATAAACTTGCTTTAATGTTCAAAGGAGTGAAGGTTAGTTCACTTCACAGCTGTTAAGAGTCTCTTTGGCACTGCAGGACGTCAGCATTCACATTTCATCCAGGGTTTAAACTTCAGCCATGTTAGTCTGTTATTAACAAGTTCACACCCCACTTTAAAACAGGGGACAGAAGCAGCAAAAACGTCCATCAGGGTCAAGAAGCAAAGACTGAATTTAAGTCCTCCATCCGTCCTGCTCAGTCAGAGCCTTCCTGGTTCTCCAAGATGGGATCTAAGGACACAAACACAGGTATCAAGACACTTTTTTTGTGTCTGTGTAAAAAAGAAGATATTTATAGGCCTATCAGGTGCTGAGGAACACATATTATGTTACTAATATGAAGCTGTAAAGGTCAGAGGTTACCTGTTAGTGTGCTGCTGATGTTTGGAGGTGATACAATGAGCACGGCACTGCCAGGTGTTATGCCAGAATGCACCACCGGAGCCTCAACTGAAGAGGAAGTCAGCTCCTAAACACAAACACAGAATGCTGTGTTCAGCACAAAAAAACTGCACTTGTCAATCAAAAGAGGTTGTTGATTGTCTCTAGTTTTTGTACCTTGTCAGTAAAACCACCCGCCATTGGTTCCTGTGTTTCTGTAACGACGCCCTCTGATCCCTCTAGAAGACTTGTAGCATCTAGCTGGTCCTCCTGGTTCTGCCCTTCAGTCTCCACAACCAGCTGTGATTGGCTGAGAGGGTCGGAGGAGGCAGGGTCAGAGGTGACGGTCTGGATGATGACTGAGCCATCGCCTGAGCAGAGGCTGTCAGTCTGAGGAGCGAGAATAAAACATTCAGTGATGTAACGGACTAAAAACAGGTCACACATGTTTGTTATGAAGACTGACCGAAAGGCTGTGGAGGATGATGTGCTCGTGTGATGAGGGGGAGGAGCCTGTCGTCAGGGTAACAGTGCTGTTGTTAGATAAGCTGAGAGGGAGGCCTTGACTGGTGGAGAGGCTGAGCGGCAGGCCTTGATTGGATGTTGTCTGGAGGTAGTAGGTCCCTGGGGTGCCGGTGGGCTGCAGATGGAAGGACTGAAGAACAGGGACAAATTTCAAGAAATGCAAGAGAACAAATAATAAGTTACAGCTATGACCACAAATACACTCCTGTGTTTATCTTACAGGCAGAATCTCGAAGGTCTGCAGAGCTCCTGTGTTCAGAGTGATGGTTTCACTGTCACTGGCTGCAGTTGATGTTGAGTCCGACGCTTGCAGAGAAACAAAACTCCAAAGTCAGTGATCATTAATAATCTTGGAAACAAACAAAAACACTTTGTTTTATCCGTTTCTGTATGTGCACTGCATCCTACCCAGGTGTGTGATCTGCAGAGGGATCTGTACGGGGATCTGCAGCGCTGCCACAGAGCTGGGGGCGGGGCTGCTGCCTCCGTTCTCCTCCAAGCGGGTGAAGCGAATCTGGAGCGAGGAGGAGGAGGACGGACTTCCTGGTCCAGATGAGGTCTGTGAGGATGCCATTAGCTCCTGGAGACCCTTCAGGAGGACTGAAATACACACAGGTCTCTGGTTAACACAGTGGAGTGTCATTGTCTCTGAGTTAGATTTGTTATGAAAGTCTCTAAGTTCACATTTGAGTGTATGTGTGTGTTTACCACCAAAGGGGATCTCCTTGTGATTGGCTACTTGTCTCTTGATGCTCCACCACTTTGATCGCAGCCACTGAGGCGACCTTACGCTGCTCCACCCGCCTGCGAGGTCCTCCCACTTGATGTCATTCTCATCTTCAACCCCCAGCTCTGCAATCCTGAAAGACATCTTTAGCTTTAACGTACGTCATTCACAGCACACACAAACACGCTCTTCAGCACACTCTGTACCTGCGTATGAGGTTGAGGTCATCTTCCTTCATCCACTCCGTCCCCCCGCTGTGTTTCCAGTTCAGGTAGTTCAACCACTTTGACCGACATTGTTTCTCTGAGCGTGTGCGAACCTGGTCGGCCACCGTTGCCCATGAAACGCCACCTGTGACAGCTGATCCTGGAGTCACACCTGCCATTTCATACACGACCTCCGCCAGGCGCCGCTCCTCCTCCTCGCTCCATTTACCTGATTTGAAAAGACAAAAACACCTTGAATATCAGATTTAAAAACAGATTAACAACCATAATATAAATAAAACATAAAAAACAAGTGTCAAACTTCAAATTTTCTCTAAAATTCAGTCTTAACGCTGTTTTTTTTTTTTTTTTGGGATGCTGTAAATTTTGCCAGAATATCCAAAAGTTACAAATTTTAATCCGTCAGGCTTAGTCATTGATGCCTAAATGCTGGCTCATGGTGAAACAACAGAAATTATTTCACAAATTTGATCAAATTGTCACGTTTTTTATGCTTTAAATGATCTCCTATACCTGTATTACATGTGTCCTTCATCAGTCGACAGCGATCTTTAACGGAGGAGGCACTGCGACCCAGAGCAGCTCCAATAGTCGCCCAATCATTCCCATGTTTGTCCCTCAATCTGAAAAAACACACCAGATATGAAGGCCAAGAAAACATACATATTTCTCAGAAACACAAATTTTGTTCAAACTATTTTATGAAAGGATACACAAAGTCTTTACTCACGCTTTTAGCTTCTCTATCTCCTCAGGAGTGTATCTAAGCGGGAAAAGCAACACAATACTATTCAAACTGAGAAAAAACACCAAAGCCAATGTTTTTTCAGTCACTGTTTCTTCATAAACTTACTTGCCGACGTGGTTTCTGTTGTCGTACATTCGTAGAACTCGCCTGTAAACGGCGAACAGTGGCCTGTTTAAACCTAAAGCCACTGAGCGGTAGAAATCCTTCCTCTCCTCTTTGGACATCTCAAAGATGATCTCTGCTGGGTCCTCGATGCCTCGGCCCTAGGATTGTATGCGCACACATATTAAGAACATCAACTGAACGGAACATGACTTTTCTGCTTCAACAAAGACGGGAAAAGCTGCAGAACATTACCTACCTTTACATATCGTTCAATGTTGCTCATCAGGATGTCGATCTCCTCTTTGGACCACATACCCTGCTTCCATTTATGGCCTACAGAGGAAAAAAACAGTTACACTGTTCTGCCTGACTCAACAAAAACATATCAAATGTGCAAAAAATTAGAGCCATTATCGTTTCGAACATGTCTCGTGTGTACCTTTGTTAGCCAGTGTGTCTTTGTCTTCTTTGGTAGTGAACCACGCCTGACTGACAGGTGACACCTCTGCTTTCTGATTGGGCGAGAGAGAGTCCTCGTCCTCATGCAGAATCTGGACCACAACCACAAATTGACAACATAAGGCCCTAAAGTTAAAGGCAGCTCTAATGACTCAAATAAACAGCTTGTCAGATCAGATTTAAGGGCTTTTTGCCACTTGAAGTGAAAAAGAAAGAAAAAAAGATCAATACGCATAAAGATTTGGTAAAAGTTACTTGAATCTGAGCGACGCTCTCATCAGAGAGATCTCCGTCTGCTGTGGCTGTCATCGTCACCTCGAAACCTTCATCATTTTCCGACACTGAAAAGAGGAAGACCCGAGAACTTCATACAAATACAGGGAATAAGATGTTACCCATGACAGAAAAGCATACTAGTGTGTGTTTTGGGGGTTGTTGATATGAAAAGCACACCAACAGACTGAAACTAGCGGTTAATCAGTATTAATAAAAACACAGTGTCAACCTTAAAACTTCATGCCGTGAAGTTAAAAGAAGCCTGAAAACTTGGTTTCACTTGTATTGTAACCGGCAAACTAATAGTCAATGCTCTGGGACTATATTTCCTTCAATAGTTATCAGTTTTATATGAAGCCAGTGGGTGTGTCTCACTAGGTAAGGTGACCACAGAGAACTGAGGCGCGTCTGAGTCTTCATGTTCGTCTGTAGAGAGGCGCAGCTTCTTCTGGAGAGGCTCTGAGTCCTCATCTACAAGAACATAAACATTTTGCTTCATCAAAGGAGGCTCAAAGTTATATTTATTAACATAAGAAGCTAAGATCACATGAGACAGGAAGGATGAGCAGGTAAAGAAGAAGTGTGTGAACAGACCGGTTGGGGGGCAGTGGAGTATGATGCTCCCATCGCTGTCCTGAGTCAAAGTGACGGACTTGACGGTTTCTAACGCTGCAGCTTCTTCATCCTCTGCTGTTGAGCTCATCCTCAACCTGCCAATAAATAACAAGTCAAACAATGCAACTGCGCAGGAATATAAAAGAGACAAAACAGAGACATGGAGCTCAAAGTTCCTCATTTTGGTGGTTCACGGAAGCTGGCTGCTCACAGTAAACCAAATTATGACTCAAACACCAGTTTATTCTCAAAACATGGTGACTTCAAGACAACTTTATCTTTATATTATGACTGCTATGAATAACAATACAGCTCATAAGAAAAAGACTTTAAAATATGTAATTCTGAAAGATAAATCTTAATTTTAAATGTGGCGCTTGTTCTCAGACTTTACCTCTCCTGTATAATCGATTCATGTCTGAATGAATCATGCTCAGTCTTATGAATAAGCTACCCCAGATCGAGAAATTAAAGTTGTGAAACTGTATCAAATTGGACTAGGGTATAACTTCTTTAACTTTCACTTAAGTGGAAATAAACTGCTGATGTAAGACAGTTGGTGACTTAAATATTTTGTAAAAGCAAAAAAGGCAAATTTGCTAAGTTGGAGCTGCACAGGTTCCAAAAATCTTCTTGGATATTTTATTGAGTATGAAACCTTTAAAAAAAACTCTCTTGCTGACATTTACACCAAACCTCCCTCTATCATTTTCTTTGCATTTGTTGTGTTCCAAGACGTCAAAACTTCTGATGTTTTACCTGATTAGTTCTTGTTAAGGTTAGATCAGGAAAGAAATACTTATAGGCAAGTTACTCTAACTTAATAATGAACTCAAACTGTTTAATACTGCCTCCTATTGTTGTCTATTGGAAGTCAATGATGTGCGCTATTACCGAACCAGACCGGCCACTGCATTGGCTTAAATTTGTCCAAATATTGTGTGCATATTGGACGTGAAGTAAGCCGAATTGTAGAGTATATCTTATATGTTGGTTTTATAACCACAGCAACTTAGTAGCATATGTATTTTCAAGGAATCTGAGAGATATATTAGACTTTGTAAATTTTTAAAGGGAGTTCTGCGCGGCGTCCGGTTAAAGCTTATAGAACACTGCGGAAAATACTGATACGGTATTAAATATACATTTTAATATCCCTATTTCACAACCACGTTTCATTTCAGATTTAATCTACCAAGCTCAAGAGTACTTATTTGAAGTGGCGTTTGATTGTATGGATCACTATGATAGCTCTGATGCTAACCGTTAGCATCCACAGAGCTACCCTGTTAAAGAGGAAAAATCTCCGACGCCATGTTAGTCGACAAGCTGAAGCTTATGGCGTCTGAGCGGTTTGACGGTATTCGGGAGGTTCATTCTCGATTTTTTTACACTCGTAGCTTTCTGTCGTGCGCCCCGAGGCTCCGACTACCGAACAGAAAGTCAATTTTACTTTTGATTTGGCTACTTACTTCCTGTTTTTGGTCCGGGGACTTGCGAGTTACCAGGATGAAGGTAAGTGCCAGGATGGAGGCTCGGTCGTCTGCGGGCCGACAGGTTGCCAGATAAGACAACAATCCGCAAATTTGAGGGTCGTACTCCCTCAGTTCTTAATCTTATTCTTACTCACATTTGCGTTGAATTAATCAATTGAAACCAAAATCAGGTCAGAATTCATAAAATTAAATCAATTAAGATATATCGACAGTATAGACAGCCTCTCTTTTGATCAGTGATCCTTCTTGTTGATGTCTTTTGCAATTGTAATCGTGTTGTTTCTTATTTTAGAACTGTTTGAAAATTATTTTAACCTTACAAGAATATTAAGATCTAATTATACTCGAAATTTCTCCAAAATGACAGAATATAGACTCTAGAGACGCAAAAATATGAACATTTTGATTTTGCGTGTAATTTTCGTACCTGGCAACTACGGTCACCACTGTAAAATCTGTTCGGGTAACATCTTGGACAAATTTTTTTATTTTCTCGAATCACATGTAGAAAAAAACACAAATTCGAAGTAATAATAGAGATATTATGGTTTTTGTAAAATGTGACACCTAAAAATATAATTTACAGGATAACGAAAGAAGATGTGATAATTGTTCCGCTATCATTTTGCTCGGATTCTTTTTGGCGACGGACTGAAAATCGAAGCTACAAAAATCCGAACCGCACATTTCAACTCTTCAGCTCATAATCTGCCAAAACATGGCAGATAAACCCGTGAGAGTGTAAGTTTATAATTACCATAATATAATTTTTGATATCTTTACGTTTCATATGTCTAAATGAACCAATATTTCCAACATTATGAGTAATGTTAACGTGTTGACTTAAAAATATGTGAGAAGGTGTTTGAGTTTTTGTCTGAATGCAAAACGAGATGCTTTAATAATTGTCCGAACAAACAAAGTACTACTCAAAGGATGTTTTTTATGAACGGTTGATAAAATGGGTTAATTTCATTCATCAAAGTCGAATTGAACTCGAAACTCCCGACTAACCGAAGTCATATTCGATAAGTTGAGTGTAAATTGATCATCTGATATTAGGTTGTGCCTTTGAGTGAGTGGGATTAATGCCGTCAAGTGTGTGTTCCTGTTACAAAGGCTCAGATTAAAGTGTATTTATCTGCAGGTTGGCATGTGGGGACGTTGAAGGCCGACTGACTGCTTTATTCAATCGAGTCCAGACCATCCAGAAGAAGACCGGACAGTTTGATGTAAGCTCCTCATTCTCTCTGTCAGTGTCCAGAGATGCTCCGACTTTTATTTAACTGGAAACATTATGACAATGTGGATCATTTGCGTACTCTTGTTTCTTTGCAGCTGTTATTATGTGTTGGAGAGTTTTTCGGGACGACGGCAGAGGCTGAGGCGGAGTGGCAGCAGTACAAAAGTGGAGCTAAGAAAGGTACAGTATCTCACAGTTTTCAGAAACCTTTTTGAAAAAGTCAGTTTACCTTTAAAAATAAAATTATAAACAGTAGTCATGCAAACTTACTGCTATTTTTGTCAGGTAGCTTGCTTGTAATGCAGTCCATTTTTCCCTCCAAGCTCCCATCCACACTTACATCCTTGGAGCAGCGAGCCAAGAGGCGGTGAAGAATTTCTCCAGCGCTGATGGCTGCGAGCTGGCTGAAAACATCACATATCTGGGTGAGACTGAGAGACACTAAGAGGACATTAAGACTCTGATTCTGAATGATAAAATGTGGATGCAATCTGTCGATCTGTGTCCATTCTAGGTCGGCGTGGAGTTTTCACAGGAGTCTCAGGGTTACAGATCGCATACGTCAGCGGTCGTGAGGCCCTGCAGGAACCGGCCCCAGCTCACTGCTTTACACACAAAGACCTCACGGCCCTTGTGGCCCCGCTGACCAGCAACTCCAAATTCAGGGGGGTTGACATCCTGCTAACGTCACAGTGGCCTCGAGGAGTGTGGCACTATGGAAACACGCCAGTAAGAAGACGCTTATATCCACAAGTCTTTCTCAACTTCAGGGGACTTTGAACCTCATGTGTTGCTTTCTTGTCTCTCTTTCGCAGGAAGTTAACACAAAGTCATGTGGAAGTAGCGCCGTCGCGAACATCGCCGACAAACTGAAGCCACGATACCACTTTGCTGCACTAGAGGGCGCGCACTATGAAAGACTCCCATACAGGTTCGCTTAAAGCTACAGAGCGAAAAACTGAATCTTTCATTTGAAGGCATCTTTAGTACAGCATGATGTTCATTTACTTAATTATGGTCCCATTTGATAATATAAGGTTCCGTGATGGAGACTTTAAGTTCGAGATATGTATATATATATATATTTATATATATATATATATATATATATATACACACACACACACATACATATATATTTCCCTGCTCTTATTATTATCTCTGAACTTTTATTCTGCTCTGGATTTTGGAGATAAAGTCTGCTGCACTTGTGAAAAAAAGTTTATAGACAAGCGTATAGAATAAAGTTACTTTTGTGTTTTACATTAAATGGATACTTTTTACACAGTTGGGTACTATAACTGTAGTAAAACATTTTAAAACTCCTCCAACACCTCTAACTGGTTTCACAGTGACTCCTCCCATTTTAAACTGTTGGTTTCTCATAACTGTGTTTCTATTTCCATCCTCAGGAATCACATTGTCCTCCAAGAAAATGCTCAACACGTCAGTCGCTTCATCGCTCTGGCAACTGTTAACAACCCTGCCAAGAAGAAGGTGCGTCTGTGTTTGAGCGTTTCTTAGAGTCATGACTTAATCAAATGTAAACTCTCATACTCATTGACTGAGTTTGCTGAACATTTGTGCATTTTTAAGATTTATTCTGCATCAAAGTAGTCCAGCTGAGGTTTTCTGTAAATGTAATGATATTCTGTAAACAGGAGCTCCATATAGCTAGATAAGAGACAAAAGCTTTAAGACAGCAGGGTTTAATTTGTAGCATGTTTAGTAAAATCACAAGTCAAAGCTTTTTGAGGCCTGTAGTTTCAGAACATCTGGCTTTAAGTGCCGAAAGTCAACAGATGCAACTCAAACTGAATCCTCTCTTTGTTTCTATGTGGTTCTTTTATTTTTGGATGCAGTATTTGTACGCCTTCAATATCATCCCCATGAAGACGATGGATCCATTAGAGCTGGTAAAGCAGCCGCAGGACGTGACAGAAAACCCCTACAGACACCCCGCGAAGGACAAGACAGAAAAACAGAAGACGAGCTTCAACTTGGCAGAGGATGAGGTACAGCTTACCCCCCCAGGAATGAGCATCCTCTAAAGTGAGCATTGAGACAAATCCTTACTGACCTTTCTGCTGTCTGCTCAGGAGCCGGCTGCTCAGTTCTTCTTCGACCTGAGTAGGCAACAGGGTGGGGGTCATCGGGGTCGGGGCCGGAAGAGACATTCAGATGGAGGACGAGAGCATCAAGGCGAAGGAGACGGACGACATCATCATCAGGGTCCCAAAGAGCCACGCAGACACCGTGAGTCCAAGAGGGGTCTAAAATAGATAGATAGATAGATAGCATAATACATCAAAAAGTCATGATGGATGGATATGTTGTCTTTGTTTGTGTGCAGCTCAGCCCACTGGTCCCTGCTGGTTCTGTCTGGCCAGTCCTCAGGTGGAGAAACATCTGGTCATCAGTATAGGATCACATGTAAGAGAACACTGATTGACACCAACAGTAATGAGGACAGAAATATCAAACTTTCAGTCTGGATTTACCGGTCTGACGTGCGTTTCAGTGCTACCTTGCGATGGCTAAAGGCGGCCTGACCCCTCAGCACATGCTCATCCTGCCCATCGGTCATTACCAGTCTGTGGTGGATCTGAGCTCCGAGGTGGTGGAGGAGATGGAGAAGTACAAGAAGGCGCTGAGGAGCTTCTACAAGAGCCGAGGAGAGCGCTGCGTGCTGTTTGAGAGGAACTACAGGAGCCAACACCTGCAGCTACAGGTGACAAGCACAGAATAATGTTCAGTCTTCTAAAGAGGAGTTTCTGTCCGGCCATCATCATTACAGATTTGTCATGGTATTTCAGGTGGTCCCGGTGCCATTGGACCGCTGCGCTACAGAGGACATCAAGGAGGCGTTCATGGTCCAGGCGCAGGAGCAGCAGATGGAGCTGATGGAGATTCCTGAGCACACTGACCTCAAACAGGTACGAGTATCCGAGAACAACATGCGCACAGAGCACCGATGTTTGTGATTCTTAATCTTTGAAACCTGTTTGTGTGTGAACAGATTGCTCCTCCAGGGACACCGTACTTCTACGTGGAGCTGGACTCAGGAGAGAAACTCTACTATCGTATCCAGAAGCATTTTCCTCTGCAGTTTGGAAGGTAAATGTGGCTGTTAATGGTCAGTAACAGACACGGACGTTCAGCAAAACAGACAAAACAGTGGTTGCTTTATGATGTGGTGAGGTTGCTGGGTTTTTTTACTGCATGTGTGTCACATTTAACAGAGATAGTAAGAGTGCAAAATATCACCTCAGTGCCTTTTTCTTCATTGGGATTGGAACCATACGTTTACGTTGCCAAAGTAGGTACAAACAACAAGAAATATACAAAAAACATGAGTTATATTTTCAAATATATCCATATACAGAAGATAAAAATACATTTACATAAAAAATGACAGATTCTTAAAGATAAAAAATATAAACATTTTTGTTTCTTTATTCCCCTGGTTGCTAGTTTACATAAGACACTCTGAACAAAGATAACAAGTACATGTGATGTCTCACTCTTCAACAATGTGTACAAACACACACAACATGAAAAAACGACTTAGTCATCAACATTGAAATTTGACTGCAATTGCTCTATTCAGCTTTGTCATCATTTTTGTGACTGTAGTGGTGAATTATTGCATCCTTGGTCTGTATATTCATGAGTACACAGCAAAAACTGCTTATGCTTACTTTAAATGCAGCCATTAGTCAGATTTGATGTCCTGTAATCAAGTAAACTGGGCTGTAATGGGATCCTACCTGAGGCCGATCCTGCTGTGATATATTAGATGAGCTTTCTAAGGTATAATTTGTTCAGTAGTCGTTTCCCCAAGCTGCACAAACTTCAAACTTAACGAGCCCTGAGATCCACTTTAAAATTACAAAGTTGCTCCAGACTTAACTTATGATCAGCAGGGCGAGTGAACTGATAAACAGGAGCTGTAATAAAGACCCACAAACACTCTCCTGATGAGATTAAAATTAAAGGGCCATGTAGCAGGTCATTTTGAAAACATCCAGTCGGCTTTATGCTTTCATTAATATATGTGTGCGTGTGTGTGTGTGTGTGTGCGTGCGCGTGCAGGGAGGTTCTGGCCAGCGAGGCAGTGCTGAACATCCCGACCCGAGCCGACTGGAGGGAGTGTAAACAGAGCAGAGAGGAGGAGGAGGAGAGCTGCAAACAGCTGAGAGACGAGTTCCAGCCGTACGACTTTGCCTGGGAGGACTAACACACACACACATGCACACACACATACATGCACACACACAGGCAGGATGTCAGCTTTTATTTCTGCCCCTTTTTTTCAGCCTGGTGACTCTATCCAAAGCTCACAAAATCCACCACAGTCAGTGTCTTTGACTGGCTAACCTTCAGTGATAATGATTATTTTTGTTAAATCTTACCTCACAAAAACCAGCAAAAACTGCAGGACTGTTCCAGAAGAGTCTGACCTGTTATACCAGCAATTTTTTAAAGAGATGCATTTCATGTGAATCAGCAAGGCAGGTTTTTTCTTTAGACGTGTGTCCTTTTTTTCTTCTCTCTGTTGTCAGCTCAACTAACAAACAGGCTTTCAGCTCCAGTCAAGGACTACACATCAAACTTCCAGCAAGAAAGCAAATAAATTCCAGCCGTTTTATTTTGTTCTTTATTTTTCGAGTATATTGCTGCTATGGTGACCCTGAAGGTAAAAAAACAGATATTTCACAAAGGCAAAAAAAAAAATAAAAAATAAAATATTTCCTAAATTTTTTTTAATTAAATGTTTCATTAAAAAAACACAGTACTTTAAAATAAAAAATGAAAAAAACTAAAAAAAAAAAAAAACTATCCATCCACCTGTCCACAGCTTGTCCTGTTGGGGGGTTACGGGGGGCTGGAGCCCATCTCAGCATCTTTGGGTGAAGGCAAGGGACACCCTGGAGATGTCCCCTGTTCATCGCAGGGCTGACATATAGGGATGAACAACCATCCACACTTACATTTACACCAAAAAAATTCCAGAAATCTGGAAATATTTTGGAAAACACAAAATGTCTCAACGTAAAAAACTATATATTTTCATTTTTTGAAAAAATACGTCTTCTAAATTATATTCTGTGTCCCTGTGACGCATTTTTGTGTTTAGTGAAATGCTTTTTTATACTTCATGAATACATTTTATGGCCTTCCTGAAATATTTGTGTCATCAACCTTCAGGGCCACCATAGCTTCTTGCAGGTTTTTTTTTAATAAAGGGAGCTTTGAGACTGTAAAAAAAAAAATGAAATGCTGAAAATATCAGATTGCCTTTTTACAAATGTGTCTAATTTCCCCCCTTTTCTTCATCTAATCTACGATAACATTCACAAATTTAATCAGATTCTGTAAGTTGTTGTTTACAAACAACCATGAGTTTCAATATTTAAAAAAATTGAGGGAAAAAAATTAGTTTGTATTGATTTAAAAATATATTTGTGCTGCTGTTTGTTCAGCAGACTGTATACATAAGACTTTTGACAAATGAAAAATAATGTAAAGAGAAGTTAGCAGTACTTTTTCTATTTCTTAATGGCTCTGGGGGGAAGTAGTTTTCAAATGTGTGTATTGTATTTTGTAAATGAACTACAATTAAACTGTCTTTACGTAATTTTTGAGTCATGTTGTTACAGATTGGTTTGCCATATGAACAAGGCAGATGGAGCTTTTGTTTGTGCAACATTTCTACCTGCAATACTTTGATTTAATACTATCAGGTATTCAGTCCAGTATATGCTGTATTTTGTATTTTACAAGCAAACGTTGAGTTTAACTGTCAGCGCTACATGGGCAGAGTTTCTGATTGTGACATAAATGTGTGTTTGTATACTCCCAGAATGAGACTCAAGGACCCGAACAACTTGTACAAGCGGTCACAATGGAACAATGCAAAAGCTGCGCAAGATTTGCTCAGATCGTGATGCCAAAAGCAGAGCGTATTTAACATTAAATTTACCCAAAAGAAACATCCTGTTCTGTCCTTTGCAACTATAGCCTTTTTTTTCCTGTTTAGACCTCACATGTCAGATCTATTTTAGTTGTATGTACTCAATTTGAGTGGCATGAATATTTCTCTTTTGTCTTGTAAGCAGCTTGTCTCATATTTGCAGTAAGTTTGTGAGTTTAATTATGCATGTATTTTGTCATTTACTGTCCTTAAATCTGCAGATCTTGCCTTGAACAGACCATTTCAATGTAAGTTGCAATTTTTCAACCACTAGAGGGCACTGTTATCACTGCAATTCTAAATTGTGTGCAGTTTTTCCAAGACTTGGGTCCAAGGTTTTACTTTGGTGCACTATGTTTAGTTTTTTTAACCTTTGCCGGGTCATAGTCCCAGATGATCACTCTTTACAGTAACTGTTTGTAGATTAGCTCAAGATGTTGAAGCCTTGTTTCTACAATCACGCACTTTGAATGCTAATTTTAATAAGCACCACTGATAAAATCTCTCCTTTTTACTGGGATGTGCTTTTCTCCTGTGAACTAACCATTTATAATCCATATCCACTCCTCCCAGGACAGCTTTTGCAGTGTTCTCCTTTCATGGTGCTCCTGTCATGTTCCCCCTTAAGTTTTACGGTGCAGCTTTATCTCCCTACATCATGTTTTTTTTTAATATCTCTCTTCACAAAACCTATATTACTTTTTTATTAGATTCTGTGCTTTTGGGCTGAGATTTGTTATCCGAGCTGCATTTTATCTCAGCTTCTTGCATTTACTTGAGATGTTCACAGGCAGCACACTGACCATCTCTCTAAAGGAAATTTCATGACTGTGATTAAGCGCTGCGTCATGAGCAAAAGTGCACCTGTACATTTTATTGTTGTTTCTACATACTGCCAGTCCATTATCCCTCTCTGTAAAGTTCAGTTAAACAGTCAATTCATCCTGTACTTCACGGATTTCATGATGGGAACATGTTGTCTTTTCATATTTCATAATACTCCCTAATGCATGTATAAATCTCCACAAGTTTCACAGGAAACACAAGGACATCACTTAAAATGAGACAAAATATCTGACTTTTGGCACATCTTCTTGGTGTTCATGACATTTTCCTTTATTTATACAGGAACTTTGAACTTTGTGGGCTTTAAAGGTAAAACTGCAGCAATCAATATTTCATAATGTATCGGCTGGTTTTCAACTGATTATGTTCAATCCAACATAAAGGTCAACATAGTTTAACCATTTAATCTGTCAAAGTTTAAATAGCTTCACACATTTTCAACTACCATTTATGAACTATCACCTTTCATGTTCTGAGTAAATTTCATATCTTAGTGATGTATTATACATTACTTCTAGCTTACTAGCTTTAACATTAAGCTAGCTATAAGACAAGTCATTACTTTTTTATCTTACTTCTACGTCTATCTGTGACTGGATGGACATTTGAACCTCAACCTGGTACAGTATATTTTATTTTTTGTTTTATTATGTAGGCTGTCACTTTGATCAATTACTGTTAGCTTTAGAGACTTAAACTAGCTCATAACTGCTATTACTGCCTTACTGCTATGATATTAGCATATTAGCTACTTTTTAGCACACTTATGTCACTATTTAGCCACTGTCTTGAGACTAATTAGTTTACCAAACGTTGTAATATTAGTTACCCCTGCTTCCACACATTCATAGTTTCATGGCTACGTAAGTGCTACTTTTAGATATTAATTGTTCAAACAGTCAAGAGTATCTGTCCCTTTCTTTTAATCCCTTTTAACATTTTTTTTATCAAGAACTTGAGCAAATAACTAAGATCATAAAATGCAGCAGCAGAAACAGCTTCCTTTCTGTGTCATGGTTTTTGATCAAATCTTCTTTCTTTTCCAGTAACTTTCCTTATAGCTGCTGCCAAATTTTGGATAATCCCCAAGACATAAGGTAAGTAATCTGCACCTTACACCTTCAACATTAAGTGAATTATTGAAGTTAATGATACATTAATAGAATAAAAAAAAATGTAATGAAGCTGCAGAGTGGCCCTTTTAGTACCCACACAGGAAGCAGCCTCCTCGGATCACTTTGCTCTGATCAGATTATTCATGCATCTTTCCACTGGGCTGTTTATAGTAGCTGTCAGATAAGGCTGTGTTTACAGGTTATTATAAATGGGAATCTGATTGCTGTTTAATGCGCTATCTGGACTGGACTTTCCACCTGCTGACACATAAAGTAATACATGGGGGCAGATATTTATTTTTCCATTTGATGCCATGATGTTGCAGGATAAGTTCATATTTATGTAACCAAAAGCCTCTAAATGTAGGACAAACATAACTGTTATGCAACACAGTGAAATAGCAGTGACAAAGCAAGAGTCTCTGCAAAGTGTTACAACACATGAACCTTTCACAAATTTATTTTGAATTAAAAGATTTTTTTTAGAGAATTGGTTTGAAAAGTTTTAGATAAGTTTGTATATCAAGATCATGCTGTTGCTAGCATATCTAATAATTCCATTTTTGCTAAATTCTAAAGCATTTAATCATTTATTATCAAGTTTTTTCTCTGAAGATAGCCTAATATAAACATATGAATAAGTAGCAATCATTTTTAGCTTATAAATTCAGCTACTGATGCAAAAATCAACCAAGTTAAAAAATATTTTAGGTTATAGCCCATTTTATTTTTGCCTTTATGACCTCGCCAAACACTCTCACATTTTTCTTGTCTGTAAAATATAATTCAGCCATTCCTCTGACCATGGGAATGCAGCAGTGAAAAAGCCTTTGCAGTGTGCCCAAAGCTCATCTACTGGGAAAACAAAGGGTCTACAAGGGAATTTGAATTGGCTCCTGCGGTGATGTAACGATGGGATTTACATAGTTATGCATGAAAAACCTCTCACACCCACTTTCCTCATGTACTAGCTTGACCAACGCTCCGTGGTTTTCCACTTGCTCAGTAAGATCCTGGAGAATTTGTGTGGTGTACTGGTATTGGTTCTCCTAGAGAACCAATATCTTTATCTTATCTGTATCTTTGTGTTTTTCCACCTCTGCGTCCATCTGACCAGTGTGCATCCTCTCCCAAATACAACATTTAGACAGCCTGTAAGCCAATCACCTCTATGCATTATCATAGCATCACCTCCCAGTCAGATCACTCCATGAAAAATGAGATTACAAACTGAGAGGCTGCAGGTACTTCACAGAGGCTGAAATTATGATTCAAAATGTTGCTACATAAATTAACAGGGACTTATTAAAATGCTATCATATGACACCTTTACACCTTGTGGATGTGCTCTAAATGTTAGAAATATAACTAAACCTAGACAAAGAGGGTAAAGCTTTTAGATGAACTAAGATTTAACCCTTAAGAGGAACTATGAGGGACAGTTGACGATTTGAGTTACTGGTATTAAGGTTGTTTGAGAGCTTTTTCCAGGAGGAAATGGTTTACAAAATAGGCAGCCTTCATTATAAAGGGTCCATTTATAGTATAAATTGGCAAGGCCAGACAAAGATAATCAGTCCCAATGGGAAAACACACTGCCATGCATGAACAAGAGTCAGAGTGAGGAGGCTGCACATGGATGAGCGCCCTCAGCCAGGTCAATACAGACGGACAACCTATAATTTATTCTCTGAAATATTTTAAAATACCCCAGAAAAGTATCTGAAATGTTGTTTACTTGCATAAATGTTCCTTGTGTTTATTTTTTCCTGGTTAAGAAATTACAAAATCCTTGAAAAACAAGAATAATCAGAGTAGATCTTGTCGTTGAACCTTAATTTGGTCCTATTTTTTTTTTTATTACTACAATCTACTTCAGCATATAAGCACCGCTGTCCTAACCCTCAATCAGTGTCCTTGTTTCCAAGGTTACACTGTGTGTTACGTGTGCCTCTTGTCAAGCTTGGTGCTCTCACAGATGTTTTACCACCTTGAAAAGAAAACACCGGCTCCATTTACACTCTTTAATTGTTTTAATGGACGTCTTTTGGAAGTTCAAGTATCATAACAGAGTAGCTCTTGTTTGACTACACTTCCTGCAAAATGTGGAGCAGTGTTGTTAAATCTGTCATGTTTTTTTTTTTTGAGAACAGGGTCAGTGCGCTGATTCCTGCCCTCTTGTTGCTGGTTTTGATTATCTTCCTGTCAGTTATTTTTATATAAGAGGCTCGTCATGTAAACTCACACTGACAGCACCTTCCCCGCCTCCTACATCACGAGGTTTCCCAGATGTAAGTCCTTATCAAGATCTGCTCCCTCATGCTCCTATTTCAGCCTTCAGCAGAAAACAATCTGTGTCATCTGCACCTCCTGCAATTTCTCCCGGCATTTCAATTTCCTTTGTACTTTCAGCGCCTACTTTCAAATGAGCATCCATCACATCATGTCTCTTGTACATCTCAGTGAATATACATGCTGCATATAATTACTTAAAAATACCTGTCACTTGGACTTACTATGACTGCTGTTAGAGCATTGCCTTTTCAGTGTATAAGAGTTATGTGCCCGATATGTCAAAGGGTTAGGGTTGGGTAGATTGACGACCCACAAACTAAGCATACGGGTGCAGCAGGTGACCACACCACAAAAGGTGAAATAGTGCTTCTTTGGGGTGTGCAAGCAGACCTGACCATTCATTTGCTTAACCATCACTAGGAACAATAGTTTTAGACCACAGGACCTGTATGAAATGGAGAAAGCAACCAAAGTGGAACTCCTAAAAAGTGCAAATGCTGTTGCATTTACCAGGAATTAGTCAGTGGGTAACCAAAATTATCCTAGAATAACTTATATTGACACTAATTACACATTTCTTACATGCTCTCCTGTATATTCCTTGGTGTGTAAAATACAAAAAAGGAAACTGTGTTACATACAATAAAACTTGGAAGCTGACTCCTTTGGGCTCACAAACTTTTTCACCCACAACCCCAAAAATAAGAGTGCCAGACACTGGCAGCGCCCACATCCCCAGGGGTGGTTATATATTCCCCACAGCTGCGCGGACACATTATTAAACCGGGTCAAATGTGAACGACGTCTGATGTTATTTGAACATTTATTTGAATAGTAAATCTAGAAACAAAGACAATTAAGTTTATTTTATTGAAATCATTGAAATTCTTTGGGTTCACCTTATTTAGCTTATGATGAGTAGATCTGTGCTCTTGCATAGACGCTACACTTACACTCTGATCTGGCAATTTCATTTTAAGATATTGACAACATATTATTGTAACGACATTCACACTAAATGAAACAACATCTATTTGTTTCATTAAGTGTGTCTGTTTTATTATTATTTTCAATAAAAATTAGATAAGTTTGGTTTTTAAAAAGCTTTTTCCTAGGAGTTCGTCCCGAAAGGGGGGTTGATTTATATTCTGGTCAATACAGTGGTTGTCTGACAGCTCTCCTCTTATCCTCTTTAATTCTCAAGCTAAACTAAAGAAAAATAAAGATGTAAAACTTCACAAATTCATGTAAAGATCAAAATCAAAACATTAAGTAAAAGACCTACTTCCACCACAGCTTTTTACGTCATCTTGGCTTAATTTTAGCTGTTTTGAAATGACCCTAAAGCATAAATTAGGCTGTTGTCCATTTTGCTCCAAGCAGTCAGTGTTTGTCCCCGGGGCCTGAGGTCTGCGATAGGGAAACCACTTCCTGAAAACACGAACACACAGCACGTAAACAGTGGAAGTGCCCCATTTGAACATACGTGACATTTAGAGGCTGTTTGTCTGGAGGATTGTGCCATCAAAATCAAATCTGAGAGCTGAAAAAAACGCTTAGTTTTTTTGTCTGAAGAGATTTTTAAATTGGAAAGATAAAGTTAAAATGAACATGCTTGGATGTCTTGTAGAAATTTCAAGCATGCCTCCAAAGCCTTTTTCAAAACTTTCAAAAAAAAATCTATTTCCTTTTGTCTGGAAACAAACAAATTGTAAAAATATAAAGAATGAGGAAGTCTTTTGTGATTTATGTGATAATCTGAAAAGCAAATGGAAGAAAAGGAGTCTTGGAGATGTGTAGTAAGATAGAAGCCATTAAATCCTCATCACAGGACGGGACTCCACCCGAGGTGCTTAACGATGAAAGAGGCTCCACTTTAAAGCCCTATACATTTGTACTTCCTTTCTTAACAATGTACTTCCCTTTCCTGGTTTCCTGCATTAAGCTCGTTCATAAAAAATGTTTCCCAGTGGACAATGTGATGAACAAAGGTAACCAGGAGGGTAAATTCCTTCACGTGAAGTGTTGGCGACTTTCATATCCATCATTCCTATGTAATTTAGCGTCTTGGTGAGGCTGCGTTTTGAGGTCAGCAGTCTTGGGGTTGAATCACATCCATGTGGTTTGTGAAGTTTTTGATACGCATTCCTGTTTGCAGCTGCTTTAGGTCAACTCCTGCGTTACCTGAGTCGGCCTGGGTAGCCCCTCTTGAGGTTCCAGACCTGCAAGATCTGCTGTGTGTCAATGTGAGCCATGTGTTTTCGGGAGAATAGGTTAGCAAGAGGGTGAAGAAAGGCCATGAAGAACTTGTTGAACTTTGAGGGGTTTTGCTCAGAGACGTTTTCAGTCAGAGACGGAGCTACAAATGCTCCTGATTTACGTGTTCAATCTGTTGACATGATGGTTGTTCCTTCTTTTGTTGTTTTACTGCATTTTTCTAAGAGTCCTGTGGAGTCAGTTACGTGTTTGTAGCATCTGAACCAAGGACAGTTTTATTACCAGGTCAATACAGTGTTCAGTATTGAATTGTTATGTATCAGATCATTTTCTATTGGAAGGTATGATTGTGTATCAAATCATACTTCAAATCCGACCCTATCATATCTCATTGGACGGTACTGTATTATACTGAAAGGGATGTTTCGGTGTAAAATTAAGTTAGGGTCAAACACACTGTAACAGTTAGACACCCCGTTGAGAGATGAATGTTGCCAACCGCTTGTTCAACCACACACTCAACCAAAACGCCACTCTATAGCCACAAATAATGCTCAGAACAGCTCCTAACTTCATCAACAGTACATATAGGGTCCCAGCCGTAGTACTAGCCACCAAACATCTTTTTAACTTTGCCTGATTTCTTTAGTAAAGAGTCTAAACACAACTCACCTACTCTCTTCCAGCAGCCACTTGTTTGTAGCAAGACCTTGTGCCAGTCCATTACGGACTGCTGCGGGTTGACGCAGCTCGAGGAAGAACATTTATGATCATTTCTTCATGAAAGTGCAATCAGACCAATATATTACGGCAGTATAACTACCGCGTAGTGCATAACGATTAATATGATGATTATTACTTCAAGGAAATAATAAAGTAATGATCATAAATGTTCTTCCTTGATCTAAAACAAATGATTCAAAGTTAAAAAGATGTTTGGTGGCTTGTACTATGGCTGGGACCCTATATGTACTGTTGATGAAGTTAGGTGCTGTTCTGAGCATTATTTGTGGTTATAGAGTGGCGTTTTGGTTGAGCGCATGGCTCTCTGTATTGCTATCGTGTGGTCATTACTAAAGTTGGTATAACTAGAGAAGCAAGCGGTCGGCAACATTCATCTCTCGATGGGGGATCTAACTTGGTGTTACAGTGTGTTTGACCCTAAACTAATTTTATGCCGGAATATCCCTTTAATCATATTAAAAGGTTTCATAACATAATGTGTGATATCTTACTGTATCCCATGGTATCAGATCAAATCAAATTGTATCATACCGTATTGCATTGTTGTATATCATATATATTGTATCATACCGTACTGCAGCATATGATACCATAACCCACTCAACTCTATTTAACTGCTTTGTGCATCCTGTTGTATTGTATAGTGACAAAAGCTGAATGTGTAGAAAACACTCACGCATCCATCACTGCAAATCAACATAGTTTTGAGATATGATCATTTGTTGCTCCTACTAAAACAATAACAAATCAAAAAAACATATCTTTGTCATGTCTAGGGTGTTGTCATCCTCAATTCGCAGTTTGACTTGTGCCAAAAGAAATCACAGACTTTGCTTGAGAGCAACAGATGGAAGTGCACAGCTGTATGTGGAGTTGTTGCTGCAGTCCTTTCACAAACATATTGGCATTCAGGTTTGCAGTCAATGAAATATTGATGAGCTGCAAACTGTCTGCTGTTCAATTCAAGGCAAAAATCAAGAGTCCTTCAGTACTGAATATAACATCATACTGAGTTGCTCTCAACACCCACAACTCTGACCTCAGGCATCCCTGATTCAAATGTTGAAGCTCACTCAGGGAGAAAACCGTGGCTTCTTTCATCACCAACATTCAGATTCAGACGGAGCTTCCATGCAGGTTTCTTTAAAGAGAGTCAATCAGGAATCAAAACATGGAGCGTGTGATTGCAACACTGACAGCTCTTTTTTTATTTTCTCTCTCATTTCAGATAAATCAAGGTCAGACCATCAAAGCCGTCAGATTCTCAGTCAGAAATGAAAAGAGGTGAATCATGGACCAGCAAATCATGCCACGGCCTACGCCATCCTGCGATCAAATAGAAAACATGTTTTTCTCGTCTGTTCCTGTTTGATAATGAAGGTAAGATGGATGATTGTTAAAGCAGTGAAATGGTAAATATAGTGAAAAAAGACGTCAGGAGTGAGTGGAGTCAAAAGCAGAGTTAAAAAAGGGTGAATATTTAAATGTAATTAATCATCAGCTGGATATTTATTAAACCATTGGCAATGAATTAATATACCCTGTAAAAGGTTCTGCATACTGTTTTAGTTGTTTGTGGAATATGTTATCTCTCAAGAAAGGTTTTGAATCCAGAGGCAAAAATGATCACAATTCAAAGGAGATTTTTTTTAACCTCATTATCCATGTAGTGATCTGGGTGGCATAATCATAATAAATGGATTTGCTGCACTGATTGGCTGCCTCTAGAAAGGAGGGTGCTGACCAATGCAGATGAATGCAGAGGCGGAAAAACACAAATGACTTCAATAACCATCATTTTCTATTAGAGTTGTTGCCCTTATAAAATCAAGATTTAGGTCTTCAAAAAGTAGTTTTGAAAAAAATGTTTGTCGTCGTTGTTGTTTTCTGTCTGGGTTGTGGGGGCAGCAGCTTCAGGAGGGGAGCCCAGACAGTCCTCACCCGAGCTTCACCCACTTCCACCAGCTCCTCTGGGGGGATTCTCAGGCACTCCCAGGCCAGGCGAGAGATATAATCCCTCCACCTGGTCCTGGGCCGGACACGAGGTCTCCTCCTGGTGGGACATGTCTGGAACACCTCTAACAGGAGGCGTCCAGAAGGCATCCTAACCAGATGCCCGAGCCACCTCAGCAGACTCATCTTGACGTGGAGGAGCATAAGTTCTACTCTGAGCACCTCCCAAGTGTCCGAGCTCCTTACCCTATCTCTAAGGCTGAGCCCGGCCACCCTGCGAAGGAAACCCATTTTGGCCGCTTGTGTTCACGATCTTGTTTTTTTTGGTCATTGCCCAAAGTTCATGACCATAGGTGAGGATCGGCACGTAGATCGCCTTAGACTCTCGCCTTAAGGCTCAGCTCTTTCTACACCACAACAGATCGGTTAAGCGTCCGCATCACTGCTGACGTTGCTCCAATCCGCCTGTTGATCTCCTGCTTCATCCTACCCTCACTCGTAAACAAGTTCCTGAGACACTTGAACACCTCCACTTGAGGCTGGCCCTCCCCTCCTACCCGGAGAAGGCAATCTACCTTTTTCCGACTGAGGACCATGGCCTTGGACTTTGAGATGCTGAATTACATCCCAGCCGCTTCACACTCGGCCGCGAACCGCCCCAGCAAGAGCTGAAGGTCACTGCTCGACAAAGGTAGAAGAACCACATCATCCACAAAAAGCAGCAACGCGATCCTGCCTGCCGAACTGGACACCCTCCACTTCTGTTCCGTAATAGTGTTTATAGTCCTATTTATCCCAAAAATACGTCAATCCGCTAGCATGTGCTGAATAACGTGTATCACACAGATCACAATGTTTGACCTGATGGTTGCGAAAGTGAAAACAACTGAAATTTCAGGGCTTCAAAACAACAATTTTGAGACCCAATCTGCTTGGTTCTCACTCCACAAATCATACCTGTTGAGAGCTTTTGCTTTCTTCTCCTTTAACCATCAAGGTTGAGAGCAGCTTAGTCACTGCAGTTACATAAGATTGTTTTTTTAGAGAGATACAAACAACCTGAAGCAGGAATGGTAGCACAGCTTGAGGACTTTTTATCATTTTTATCATTTATTTACAATTCAACCAACATATCAGAGGACGTTACAGATGGAAAACATCTTACCAGTAGCAACTCACATCCATAAATGAGTCTCTGAAGAAGCTTAAAAGCTGAAGCATTAAACAGTTCAGAAAGAACAATTTATATTCACAGGGTAAATTTTACTCAGACATCTTACAAATAATCACAATACATTACATTTACTTATCTTTTTCCACTCCGTCTATATTACAGTCTCCACGGTGAGTACATAGATTTATCATGTCTTTTGAATCACTGTACAAAATAATTAAAGATATTTACAAATTGCAGAAACAACTTATGAACAAAAGCTGGTGTAAATTTACAGTTTTTTGTTTTTTTTGAGTGCGACATATATGTTTTTTTTTTTGTTTCTTTGTTTCAGTTTTTTTTGTTTTTTGTTTTTTTTTCAAATGTAAAGTAACCTTCTTGGCTCGGCCCCATACAACATTTTTTGCTATTTTTTCCTGTTTTATGAGACTGTGTGCTGAATCATGTTTGGGTTTGGATTGATCCTTGGCCAGGAGTTGTATTGAAACCTTTTTTTTTAATAAAGATGAGTTTTCTATGTAGTCTTGAAATCTTATCCATTAAGTAACTGAACAATGATAAGATCAGATGATAATAAAATGGTCATTAGTACCTTTGACAAACGCAGTGACCGTGATTTAAGGCAATTATGTACAACTGACTGACTGATGAGGCTGGAAATTTAAAGTGAAATATTCAACAAATGACAGTCTGCAGAATTCACTGTATATCAATACAGACAATGCAGCTTTACTGTCTCCCCTTGTGAGTAAAATGCAGCTGCAATTGCTGCTGACATATTGTGCTGGTGACCTATTATGGAGCCAAGGCATGAATTGAGAAGCAGCGTTGCTTCTGCTAACCAGAGAACGTATTTAACTTTGCTATAAAACATCAACATCATTCCTACAGTAGGCTCAGATTTACAGCAGAACAGATTCTTGTGTCAGTTTGCAGCAGACACTCACGGTAAAAAGAAATTCAATGACTTGTGTTTTTATTTTTTTATGTTTTCTCCCAGTTCATCTTCTTCTATAATAATCCAGAAAAAAAAGAATAAAACTGTGTAAAACAGTCAGACATAAATCAGCAAAAGAAGTAACTACAGTGACAGAAACCATGTTTTACAAATACTTCTGTGGCATATATTTTATAGTTTTATAGTTTGACCCATGTTCCATCCATTAACATGGAATGAGTTGGGTTTACAGCCTTTGCAGCAGCTGGTCACTAGAGGGAGCTTTAAGTGTTTTGGTTTAACGTAAGGGGAGTACTTTTGATGTTTGTTTGTTTTTTTTTTTGTTTTTTTTCTGTTCATAAAGAAAATACCCCCAGTGGCTGAATTTAGTATGACTGAAGAAAAACCCAAGATTTAGTTGATGCAGTTTGACAAACAGTTAAGTCCGACACCAAAATGGCTGAGGTACATCTTTGAAGTGACATGAATAGCGTTACATATTCATGTCATTTACACCAAGTATATTAAGTTTCTATATTAGCTTACCAGATTTAAGTCAACCATATCAGTTTTGCTAAATTTGCATAGGATGTGAATGTTTTAGGAGGTCCATCTGTAGGTTCTCGTAGGACAGTCTCCTCTTGACTGTCATGACATTGGATTTTCACTTCACAAATATCATGGCTACAAACTACCATAATGACAATTTAGTCACGATAGCTTGTCAAAACTCATTCACTGCGCTTTAATACCAATATGCTAATCCCGGTTGATCGTAACTTACAGAATTGAGTTAAAAGAAATGTGAGACAGTATAAATATTTGACTTATTAGTGACCCAGTGAGGTCAAAGCTCTAAATGTTAGTACTGTAGTGTTTGTTTTTGTAAGTGCAGAGTCGTCTCTCAAAGGGCTGCTACAGCTATTTTGCAAGCTTCCGCTGCTGCTTCTTTATCTCCTCTGCTTTTATGCCATCAGTGAGAAAGACTTCAATGAACTCATATTACAGTATGTTTATTTTAATATTACTCTCTCTTGCGACATATTGCGACAGACCTAACAGGAACCAAGTCCCTCAGCAGAAAGAAGTGTCAGACTACTTAATGCCTATATGAAAAATTAAAGGTGTAAAAATGTATGTAGGAAATGTCTAACAGCAGCAGGGCTGAAAGATGAAAGTTTGGACCCTCTTTGTACCACACATTTTATGATTTTATCTACCGACTTTCAACACCAGCCAACCCAGACTGGAACCCGTCCAAATGACCCAGACTTGAACAGATCTGGTCTGACCCCTGTTGCTCCAGAGCTTATGAGAATACATGTTGACAAATGGGAGGCAGAGTTTCCTCATGTAGCACATAATGAATCTCAGTGTTGATAGATTTCTTATTTTCATCTATTTTTCATAAATTTGACAAGTTAAATTACTGCAAAGATTGCGATCAAAGCCATCATGTTAATGGCTACGCTCACAGTGGCTGGACTTGTTTTGACTCTGTCCAACCTAGCGGGCTGAAAGGAGTTCTTTATTTTAAAGGCCATGTGAACATAAACAACCCAACACTAAAAGTCTAAGTGGACTAAACTTTTCCACTCCAGATCGGACCCAAAACAACAAAGTGTAGGTGTGGTCGCTCCCTAGGATAAGATATACCTTCTTTCTCTGCCTCAACCAGTAGATACAGACCAGTTCATGTTTCCTGTGTCCCCCCAGATAAAACAGTAACCTATACAAACAGAGAGAGGGCTAGGTCAGGATGTAGACGGGCACGTTTTGGGAGTGGAATTGAGGTCTCTGAAAGGCTCTGAGAGGCGTGGACCCTGCAGGCGTGACAGCAGCGTGGTTCGCCGGATGCTGCTGTCCGAGTCCTGGTGGGTGAATTTGTTTTGGAGCGGGCGGCAACACGGCATGGTGCTGGCAAAGTCCGAGAGGAGGTGTCCGCTGAAGATCATGTAGATCCACGGGTTGCAGCAGCTGTTGAGGCTGGCGAGCAGGGCGGAGAGCGTCACAGCGGCGTTCTCGGAGTCTGTGGAGGGAATAAAAACACAGATTTGTTAATGGGCATGCTCTCAGATGTCAGCAGCTAATCTGAGGCGTTTACTTTTTCTCTTTAGGGAGTTAAACTGTGTTTTGGAGTTACTGATCCGGTGCCTGTTACGTGTTTATTCAGCCCATGTTTGAACACCTTGTTTTATCACTGGATTTACATTTCGGACATCTGCACTTAAAACTCAACCCTATTTGGAAATAAGTTCCAAAGACACCCTATATAACCTCGTGGTTTCTAAAACATACCCTTATCATAACATACCCCAAAATAATCATTTCCATCACAGATTAATTCACTGTGAAGTATTTCTTAAATATGCATTCGCCGATCCTCTATTTGTCAAAGTTTAGGCAAATGTAAGTTGTTTATTTCCCATTCAATAGAACTTTTACATAAGATGATGTTGTGTTAGTTATGTTGACAAGAAAACAAGCTAACCACTTGTTTCTCACTGACAACAGGAAGAGTGGGAACAGCTGGTTACACAAGCCGGAAATCCAACATTTCATTTTAGCTTAGTGGTCCAACTGAGCAATATTAGCCATGTCAGTCTTCGCGGGAAGCATCCGTAGAGTACATTTCAAGATGAATTGTGTGAAATTGGCATGTTGTAGGCTGTAGGCTGTATTTAAAAGGTTGGTTCAAATGAACTGACAGACATGCCCTTCTTTTACAAGTCTTCATATGATTCATGGAGCCCAACTTTAATGGAGAGAAATGATTTTTATCATCAACTAAAGGAGGCTGAGCATTTCCTGTTGGGAGTCCAAATCTCTCAAATGACCCACTTGAGGGTATCAGGCCGGTCTTTTGGATCTCTTTATAAGAAGCACTTCTAAGGTGGATCTTCTTTGATTCTGCTTGAATTTTAATCTTTTGATAAATTCCCCCCCCAAAAAAATGCACATCTGTGAGAGTCCTTTCGAGTAATGTTGTCTCTAAAATATTCCTTTCAGTTTGCTTTGCTTTTATGTTTTATGTTTTCTTTTTTATAACCTACCAGTTTGATTGGTATCCATAATTTTCCATCTATAAATCAGACTGGACATACTGTATAAATCTAGTGTACTTCCATCAGGTTTGGGTCTGGGATCTTGGATCCACCCGCAGAAACGGGTTGAATTAGATTTCACATTTTACTGAAAGTTAAGTTTCTGAGGCTTGATACTTTCTGACAACCACTTTTCATTTTTTGGGATGAAAGCTTGTGGTGCTGCATTTCACAGTTATCGGTTTGGACGGTTTTGAATCCAGAGGGAGGACAAGAACTTGGTATTCCTCTGAAAATGTATTCCTGTCAGGCTCAGAGAGCCCCTGAGCAGCACTTGAACTCTCGTGGGTCAGAAAATCGTCTTTGGTAGCTAGATTGAAATTCTTCAGGTGGGCGAGCATCTCTTTCAGGCTGAACGAGGCCAATTTTAACTGACTTTGAGCCTGCAGTGCAATTTGCATACCCTTATCTCCACCGTATAAAATTCATGCTACACTGATTGCTCATTTATCTCTAGAGCAGTTTGGCCATATTCATAATTACCAACTTTAATCCCTTTTTCCCCAGTGTCACTTCATGAACTTTACGACAAATTCTGACTTTGTTCAGCACTTAAAATTGTGACTGTTCTTGATATAAAAGTCAATGGCTGTGTGGTTTTCTAGAGCTATGGTTAAGAATTTTCTTTCGGGCTGAATTAGAAAAACTTTAGCAATTATCTGACCACTTTTGAAAACTATCCTCTTTACATAAAGCCAATGAAGTTCCCGCCAGTATGAGACTCGGATAGAGTGTTTTTCATTGACTATGCCAACAGTCTTAAAAACTACACTTGGATGATCAACATAAAAAGCCCATGTTAGTATTGTCTTTTTTTGAAGTACTGCAGATGTTGGCTCATCAAGATTTATTGTAAGGCTTAAGAAAAGTTCATTACCACTGCACAAACAACCCAACCACTGAGCATGGTAGGCTACCGCACAACGACGCAACCTCACCCCAACTCATGTTCGGATGAAGATAATGGCGAAGTAGTTAAACTCAGTGTAACTTTACCCCTTTGGGAACTTTTCAGCGTAAGGCCAAATGACAAAGCAGAACAAACGTAGATGAAGCAATGTGCACAATTTTCGGCAAAAAGATCTCTGTGAAATAGTTAAACACATTCAAGTTGTACCCTCCCTATACTCAGCACATCATACCCATAAAGATTCATGGATTAATAGATTATTCCAAAACTATGAAGGCTCACGTTGTCAGCGACCCACGTATGTAGAATTGAGCAGGGTTCAGGTTAACATCCTCAGTGTAAATACAACTAGTCATGAGAATTCAGTCTCTTTTTGGTGATCCACAACATTTGACTCAGCAAAAAACATTCATTTTCAAGAGCAGTGTGCTTAGCCAACAAGTGGTATTTGCAGCGTACTTTGGGGATAACTCATTTTACATTGGCAGAAACTGCAAATAACTTTGGTTTTGTGGAGTTAGCTACTTGGCAGGGCTCTAAAATTGAACTTGCTGTCTGTTAGCAGGAGCCAAAAAATGGCAGTTTAGCACATGAGAGTTACCAACAACCCAGTGGGGATTTCCACACAGCAGTCCACCAGAACTAAACAATGTCAATACAATCCCGGGTCTTCACATCGGTATATTTGTTGATTATTCTCAAGCAGTAGAACACAGGCATAACCTGATCGTCAAATCGTCAGTAATAAGTGTCCTTCCTTATCGTGAAGCACCTGCAGGTCTCAAAAGAACAAAAAAGGCGACGCCCCCTTGTGGTACTCTTTGGTACTGCAGTTATATTACATCTCTAAAACTTTTGACTGTTACAGCATATTGAGTCATCTCACAGAGCATACCTGGGTTACCTGGGTGGATGTGTCATCTTTTGCAGCCTTAGTTAACAGTTCTCTTTTCGTCCATCAATTTTAAGCCATTTACTTACCAGCTAAAAACTCCTTACAGGAGCTTTAACCTTTAATCTCCTCTGAGATCCCAGCTGTGTTATCTCTGCAGACTAGATTTTAGCAGTGTAATTCATCAGCACTGAAAGTTCATGAAATTTTAATAATTGCACCTTAATGATGAAGTTGGTGTCTTTTTTTCCATTCAGTTCCAGGTTCATGGTCAGTGATTACTGAAACCGTTAGAGGCATCATGTGCTGCACAGTCTCCAATCCATATTTTCATTGATATATAATTCAAAGAAGGAAAGACAAAACCTTTTGTTTCTGTTATAATTCTGCTAATTTTGTAAGGAACAGTGATCAGCTCATTGAAAATGTAGGCTACTTGAAAGAAAGAGAAAGAAAGAAAGAAGTACTCGTGTCTATGTGCTAAAATGGGGACAAAAGAAGAAAAAACTTAATCCTGCTCACAAGATTTGTAAAATAGGTTTTGATTTGAGACCTTTTCTTAATCCTTGCCCTTTCCATATGATCGTCTGACCTAATTAGCTAAAGAACCTGATGTTATAAGTCATTTCGTGTGTGAATGTTGTCAAGTATTTGTGCGTTTCGTGTGGCTGCATCACATCACCAACTAGGTATCGAACTCATAGACAGAAACAACGTTTAGGGCGTCACTAGAATTACTGTCCTTATTGGGTCTTAGCGCGCTGTAAATTGATCTCTATGACCTAATTTTGCTGATTAATTTGGTATGACTTCAGTGTCACACACACTCACCATCCCAGGAGAAGTTCTCGTCCCACACTGACCACATCTGCACGGTGAAGAAAGGCGCCCAGCACACCACGTACGCCAGCACGATCACAAAAGTCATCTTCACCGTGCGTAATTTGGCGCGGGAGATGGTGCTGACGCTGCTCACCGAGTTCCTGCTCAAGATCCCGGTCTTATTGGCCTCTGCCACGGCGCTCACGCTCACGCTCTTCCTCCGGGTTTTATATTTGAGGTTCTTCCAGATTGTGTGGCAGATGAGTCCGTAACAGAACACGAGCACAGCCACAGGCACGAGGAAAATCCCTAAAGTGATCCATGTGATGTACGCGCGCACTCCCCACGGCTCCACGAAGTGTCCCCAGCAGTCGTAGACGGCCGATCCGGGGTGCACCTCACTCAGGGAGAAGATGAAGTACTGCGGGGTGCTGAGAACCAAGCTGCACAGCCACGTGGAGCCGATCATAATGTGCGCGCGCTGGGTCGGCTGATGGAGCGTCTGGAGTGGGTGGCAGATGGCGATGTAGCGGTCCAGAGTCATCATCACCATCATGTAGGTGGAGGCGAACATGCCCAGGACCTGCAGGTGCTTCACGATCCGGCACAGGGAGTCCGGGCCGTAGAAGCGGAAGGTGATCTCCCAGCAGAGCTGTGGCAGCACCTGGAAGAAGGCGACCACCAGGTCCGCGAGGCTCAGGTGCTTCATGAACAGGTGCATGCGCGACAGTTTCCGACGAGTTTTGTACATGGCCAGCAGCACGCTTACGTTCCCCACCACCGCTGCGATGAACGTCAGGCTCAGGACGGTGATCTCGATCTTTGCCACCTCCTCATTGCGCCCAAACGGGTCGGTGTCGTTCCGTTTCACGGTCATGTTTCTGGTCTGGAGCTGTTGCGTCAAGTTCAACTCTTCTGTGCAGTTTCTACTGGTGATGTTGCAGGAGTTCTCCCAGGGAAACAGCATAGTAACCGCTTCTCCTCCTCCAGGCGCACGGAGTTGGCTGTGCGTAACCAGAGACTGTGGCTATCAAACTCCAAGATTACTCCAACACGAATGAAGTGAACACCAGCTTTAAAAACATGACCAACAGAAGAAAGAGCCGCTCAAAACAAAACCGCAAACAAAAGTAAATCCACGGTGATTCTTCCTCTCTTTACGCACAACTGCTCTGGTTTGGATCTGAGCTGCGCTGCTGCAGATCCGCGTCTTTTAAAGGCTCCTACCCCCTTAGACCAAAGACCAGCCCCCCATGTACCCACTCATTCAAAACACACACATACACAAACACACACAAACCCCACACACACTTAATCTCTCTTCCTCTACCCACCCACTTAAAAGATAAAGTGCAGCCTGCAGTGGGAAATGTGCGCAGTGTTGGAGAAAAAACTCCAGATAAATCTGGGGATGATGGATGATGGAGAAATTTAATTCAGAATTTAGATTAAAATGGAAAAATATTTTTTTAAAAACCAATTGTAGACCAGAAAGCATAAAAGATTACTCAGTTTAAATAATTGCCACCCTTTCAATTTTTTAATTTGAGCTTTTGCATCCAAGGTTTTCTACTTAAAATTCTGTTATGGAAATGTCACGTTTTATGTCCAAACAGCAATGGCACAGCATCAAATTAAGATGGAAAACAGTGATAATGTTCATAATGAACCAGAGCCAGGCCTCACAACATTTTTCAAAACTCAAACAGTGTCTTCTGTTTGAGAAATTATCGATACGACTGTTTCACAACTTGTTTCTTTCTTGAGTTTTATTGTGAGAAAAATAATTATACTGTACGTACAAGATCACTATAATGTGCACTCAAAGTAACTTAATTGTGTTTACAGGAAATTGAGTTCATGGGATAATTATAGTGTGCACACAATTAAGTATAATTGTTCCCACAAGGTAACAGCTTGTGCATATAATACAATTATCATGTTGAAACAAGTCAATGCACAAGTCAAAGTCAACTTTATTGTCAAATATGTTATACATGTTAAACATACAGCACGGATGAAATTTCAGTCCTCTCAGACCCACGGTGCATAAGAATGAACTATGAACTATAAACCATATATTGAATTTCCCTTCTGGGATTAATAAAGTTCTTCTTATCTTATCTTATAAGAATAAAAGTATAAATATAAGAATTAACAACTAAGCTTAACAAAAGCCTACCTTAAATACTCTCAATTTACAAAATAAAGATAACAATATAATATAGATATAGATAATATAGATAAACAATATAAACAGCATAACAGTATAAACAGTGTAACAGTATAAATATAAGGGAGAAAGTGAATGTAAACAGTATGGCAGTCCTAATGTGGACACAATAGGGCAGTTGTACAAGATATGAACTAATGCATAGAAGAAAATAACTTTTATGCACAAAATAATAGATTTATTTCCTCAAGTTATATTGATGTGTGCACATCATGAACAATTTTAACTTTCTGGGACTTAAAGAGCTCTGCACAAAGTCTTAAAAAACAGACATTCAAGTGTCTTGTTGTGAAACTGCGTAGAAAACAAAGATATTAAGACAACAAATATGTATAGGAGAAAATAGAATATCTTCAAATATGTGAGGTTTGTGTCCAAAATTTGAGTCATTCTGATTTGATTTGAGATTTTGTTGCACTATTAATTTTACAGAAGAAACCTCTGTGTGACAGAGGGATATTCCTGGAAATCATCTCATTAACAACAAATTAACGCTCGCTAATCCAGTTGGATGTTTATGTAGCCCTCTGTTTACTCCGACCATGACATGCTGTGTGTGTATCTTGCGTGTCGGAGGGTTGGAGGTGGTGTTAGTGAGTATGTGCAGCATTAATGTGTTTATGTGGTGATAACCTGATAACCCCCTTCAGACAGGGCTTGTTTTTTCAGCAGTGAGGGAGAAACCAATAATAAGAGAGAGGAGCGGGAAACTCCTGCAGGCAAAAACATGAAGATTTCTAGTTTTGACTTTTCTACAAACTCCATAAAAAAGTTTTTCCGTCAACAGCAGCCGACATTTGATGTTCTGTCCTCAAGACAGATTCCCATAAAAATCTAGATTTTTAAAGTTTTATTCACCCATCTTAAATAAACTCCATAAAATCCAAATCCAGCTTTCTAATAAAGAATCAGTGATAAAATGAAATATATAGATATGGCGTATGTGCCAGGGCAGGCTTTGTGTGGATACTTATGAAAGTGTTTCTCATTTCAGCTGTGCCTCATGTGTCATCTACTGCAAGTGCAAATCTGTTGATTTCATGTTTCCAACAGCTATACCCCCTCCAGGAAGGTGACTTTGAATGTACTTAATTGGCATGATAACCAGTCCAATGAATGCCAGAACAACAACATATAAATGCAGATTAATAATAATAAGAAATAATGCCATTTCAGGAAATGTGCAGCCAACTTTAACAATCCTCAGTTTTAAATGGTGTTTGGATTGACATATTAATAGGACTTCATGTAATGGGTCATTCATAACCAGGGAAAAGAGTTTTTGTTTTTACAAAACTTTAATTTTGGTCTAAACACCTCAACAGCAAGTGTCTATTGTTTAAAAACAACAGCCTTATCACATTAAACTGGTATTTTCTCCATTTGTTCATTAGATAAATGATTTTGTATGCTGTTGCACGCACGAAACAACACCAAAACATCAACTCATTGAGGCAGCTATTAGTGATAATTATGTCAAAATCTGTTTTTTTCTCTCTTTAATTTCAGGTTTGTTTCCAAAAGAAGATATACAACCAACTTTTACAAACTTCACTCTTAATGGAACTTAGATTAACTCGTGTGAAAGGCCAGAAATTTACATGGCACTGCATTTACAGCTAGAGATAGGAGTTTTCATCAGTTTCATCTCCTTATATAAGATAGATTTTATTTGTGCATCCACTTGGTTAAGTTGAACCTGATCAGGTGATTGAAAGTTTGTTAAATATATGTTTGCCACAGCCCCCTATCTTTATGTTTGTACATGTAGGGAAATGAGTTTTTGTCAGTTTCATGTTCTTCCATCAACTTAAGATGTAGCCACACGAAACTCAAACGTCACTTCTAATGAAGTTTGAATACACCTTAAAAGCAAAAGTTGGAGGTTCTTGTTTAAAACACAGACTGGTTATATAGCAAATTGATATTTTTTTATATTTGTGCACTAAAATAAAAATGTAAAAGATAGATTCCCCTCATGTGTTTATCTGTTTGTTGGTTTTAATCAAGCAAAACTATATCAAGGCATTGAAAACTGAGACAAAACAGTAAGAGTGACTGTGGTGTAAAAGCAGCAGGTTGCAAGAACAGAAAATACACTATTTATAACTTTAAAACTGAAAGAAACACTCTCAAAATTCAACATATTAGTGAGCTGTTAACAGAAAACTTTGCTCATTTCAAATTTATATTTTAAACAATTTATTCTAAATGGGAAAATGCTCCAAGAAACCCATAATAACATTTAATTTAAGTTACAATGGAAAACTATGATGTTTTTCATTAGTGAAAATACTCAATGGAGAAGAAGAGGTGTGATAGTGCTATACGATGTCAGAGCTGTAAATTTAACACACAGGACCAGCTTCTGTACAAATACACTGTAGATTAAAAAAAAAGAATAGATTATTTGCAATATTTTTGTTTCTTTGTTTGGATTTGTACCTTTTTTAAGGCTTGGTTGACAATATTTTTGTGCTCAGCTGCTTCAGGACATCTCACATCATCTTTAATCCTCTCATTGTCCCCAGACACCGAGGTAAAGAACAACATAATTCCTCGTGCTGGCTGCCTTACAAGGCCGCAACTTTAGTATCTTAATTTTCAATCTATATGCACGCAGCACAAGTGAAGAGGGGATTTAGAAGTCACAGAGGCTGACTGTGTTTTTCATGTCAAGTCCTCATGCAGAAGCAGAACCAGCTGCAGATACAAAGCCTTACATAACGTGTGGAGGTGAAACAATGGTGGGTAACGGTCAAAGCTGTCCAGGGTTATGAATTTATGAAGCTGCTATTATGAAACCTGTCAAGCATTGAGATGATGCATACTCAGGGTTGGTTTACTCTCTGATAAGGGTTTGAGACACTGGCACACATGAATAATCGCAGGTATCTTATCACATACCCCCTCAATTTACTGTGTTTGAAAGGTTATGTCAACAAATGTATCAAAGAAAGTTATTTTTGCTGAGTATGAGTCAGGTTCTTATATTTCACAAAAAATATGACAATCCACCGAAAAAGTTGAAGTCATGCAGCGTAACCCAAGCAGAAATGAAAAATGTCACATACAAGAGGTGACATTTACATTTCATTAACATTTTTATGAAATCCTAGTTGTTTTATTTTAATACAACCCTTTCAGCTGTATTCATTTTCCTAGCAGAGTTGTCTTTTCATCATGATTTGCATTTGCACCAGGGATTGGCAAAAATAGATGCTATCTTTGGCATTGTTATTGAGAGAAAAAGTTGACAAGCAGCTACTGTGGGGTGGTAGAAGCTCAGGAGGTAGAGCAGTCATCCAATAACCAAAGGTTGGTGGTTCGATCCCTCCCCTATCCCAAGTCTGTCCGTTGTGTCCTTGGGCAAGACACTTAACCCACCTCCCTCCCAGTGTGTGTCCTCCACCGGTGTATGATTGTGAGTGTTGTGTGGTGGTGGTCATAGGCGCAAACTGGCAGCCATGTTTCCGTCAGCTGTGACCACTAAGGTAGTTTACCACCACCAAGGTGTGACTGTGTGAGCGAATGAATGATGTATCCAATGTAAAGCGCTTTGAGGGTCTCTGATAAAGCGCTTTATGAAATCTGATGCATTATTATTATTATCTTTACAATGTCAGAGTGCTTCTTGCTTGCACTATTGCTGCCGGGCTCTACAGGTGTCTTGAACATGACTATCTAAGGAAGCATAACTGCCTCAAGTCTGTTTTAAGTTACTCTGTGCTTATTTGTGTATTTTCATCAAAGTTTTACCAAAGAAATCAGTAAAAATATGTCCTGGTTATAGCAGCACTAGATCTTGATAGTGTGAACACAATGATGTGACAAATTCTACTATTTTTGCAGACAAAATAAAATCATTGTTTTAAGAAACAGGAGATGAAGTAGCCCAAATGCTTGACAGAAATAATGTTAGATTAAAAATATGACAGATTATGGTTTTGTG